GAGAAAGCTGAAGTTCTAGTTAATAAGTAATAAAACTTTGTACAACAGAGAAATATTAATACTAATTTAGCACGTGTGGAAATATAAGGTTATGTAAATTACTATGAATATACCATGGTGGTGGAGTAAATCTATATCTCGATGACCACTGTTCCTTTCTTCAAAAGGTAAAGTTCAAGCACCCTGAAATATACTGTGAGAATCGGGAGGTGGTTATCCAGACATTAAACAGTATATTATCCCACATTAAGAGTTAATTGTAGAATTCTTCAGGCAAGAGTTTGTAATGCATTATAGCTGCAGACTTTTGAAGAGGAAAGCAATGACATTAGGCATAATATTATTTACAAATAGGAAATGTATGACATATGAATGTTATACACTGACTGTATGGAAAATGTGGTTGGTGAAACAATGGAAAATGAGGTAAGGGTGGGCGAGTGAGAATGAGAAGGATAATGATTGAGAGTTTAACAAACTGGCAAACGGAAAAGGTAGATGTAAGGGGAAAAATAATAACAATAATCCTTGCATTTGATATAGCGCTTTTCACAATCTTCTAAGCGTCTCAAAGCACTTCATAGAATATACTGTAAAGTGAATTGACTGTATATTTATGGGCGAAACGTGGCAGCCAATTACGCACAGCAATGTCCCACAAACAGTTGTGGATTGAAAATGACCAATTTATTATTGTTGTTTTTTCTTGAGGGATTATTATCAGTTGTGTGGAGTAAGGAAACTTGCCCAAGGTTTCACCTTATGGGAATTGAACCCAGATCTCTTGCTTGCAAGGCGAGCACTCTAACCACTGAGCTACAGGACTCCATGGCTAAAGTGTGCAAAGAAAGAGGGAGCTTGTGCCTAGAGAAGAAGGCAACAATCACTAAAGGGAGGACCTCTGCCAGAGACCTCCGGCTCTACTTCTGGCTCCACTCCATTCCCTGGCTCTACCACAAACCTACACGTCTGTATTTTATCAGAGCTGGAGATAGTAATCTTTTATGGCACTGGGAAGAACATGTTATAACATGTACTCCTGCTTCACTTCAGCCAGCCGTGGGGGAGGGTGGACAAATCTCGATATCCCTAAGGCTTGGCAGCTCAAAACTCTATAAATTCAGCCTGCAATGTCAAAAACAATCAGTGTACATCGCAATTTGATGGATTATTTGTTGAGGAGAGGTAGATTTAAGTTATGGTTAATGTATAAAATAACATAGCGTAAGCTTGACACGGTTGCTGACACTCTCACCTCTGGGTCACAAAATTGTGGGTTCCAGCCTATATCAGGACTTGAGTTCATATTCCAGACTTATTTTCCAGTGCAATATTGGGGAGCTCTGCACTGTCAGAGACCCCATTCATTGGGTAGTTCAGCCACTAATTGGACATTTTATCCATCGAATGGCATACATGTTAAACCAAGGTGTTTGCCATCTGCTCATACATTAAAGATCCCATAATACTATTCAAAGCACTTCTTCACTCCCTGACACCTCCCTACCTTTCCGACTCTCTTTCTCCCCACTCCACTACCTGCTGCCTCCGCTCGGCTGGCTCTGGAGTCCTGTTCATCCCCTATGCTCCACCATCGGTTGCTGGGTTTCAGCCATTACGCCCCGAAACTTTGGAACTCTCACCCTCAATCACTCCACCTTGTCCCCTCTTTCAACAACAACAACAACAAGATTCCATTTATAAAGTGCCTTTCACGTCAGGAGGACGTCCCAAGGCGCTGCACAGTTGGGTCATGACCCGAGCAGGGGGGAAATGGTCAGGGTGAGGGGAGGGAAGGGAGGGAGCGAGGAGGGGGGAAATGGTCAGGGTGAGGGGAGGGAAAGGAGGGAGCAAGGAGGGGGAAATGGTCAGGGTGAGGGAGGAAAGGGAGGGAGCGAGGAGGGGGAAGAGAGTCGAGAGGGGAGCTGAAGGCTCGGTCAAAGAGAAAGGTTTTGAGACCGGCCTTGAAGGAGGAAAGGGAGGAAGCGGCAAAGGCACTGGGGGATGGAGTTCCAGAGCCTGGGGGCTGAGAGGCTGAAGGCCCGACCACCGATGGTAGGGCGGTTGGGGCGGGGGACGTGGAGCAGACCGGAGGCAGAGGAACGGAGGGTACGGGCAGGTAGGTAGGGGGATAGTAGGTTGGAGAGGTAGGAGGGAGCGAGGCCGTGAATGGCCTTGTAGGTGAGGATGAGGATCTTGAAATCAATCCTCTGGGGGATGGGGAGCCAGTGGAGGCGAGCGAGGGTGGGAGTGATGTGGTCCCGGAGCCTGGTGCGGGACAGTACACGAGCTGCAGAGTTCTGAATGACCTGCAGCTTGTGGAGGGAGGTGGCGGGAAGGCCGGCGAGGAGAGAGTTCCCGTAGTGCAGCCTTGAGGTGACAAAGGCGTGAACCAGGGTTTCAGCAGCGTGAGGGGTGAGGTAGTGCCGTAGTCTGGCGATGTTCCGGAGGTGATGGAAGGCGGTGCCAGTTGTGGTGCGGATGTGAGGGAGAAAGGACAGCTCAGGGTCGAACAAAACGCCGAGGTTCCTGACTGGCTTTGAGAGGTGGAGAGTGCAGCCTTGGGTGCTGATGGCTTTCAGATCACGGCTGAAGACCTTCCTCTTCGACCATGCTCACGTCACCTCCTTCTCCGGCTCAGCGTGAGACTCCCACCACTGTTAAGCCCTCCAAGATGATAATAATAATAATAATAATAATAATAATAATAATCCTTGCATTTGATATAGCGCTTTTCACGTCGGGAGGACGTCCCAAAGCGCTTCACAGAACACACTGTAAAGTGAATTGACTGTATATTTGTGGGCGAACGCGGCAGCCAATTGCGCACAGCAATGTCCCACAAACAGTCGTAGATTGAAAATGACCAATTTATTATTGTTTTTTGGGTTTTTGGAGGGATTATTATTAGGCGTGTGGAGTAAGGAAACTTGCCCAAGGTTTCGCCCTCTGCCTGGAATTGAACTCAGGTCTCTCACTTGCAAAGCGAGTGCTCTCACCACTGAGCTACAGGACTCCACGTGTGCCCCGTGTGAAGGGCGCTATATAAATATAAATTGTTTTTGTTGGTGGTGCCCTGGCCAATAATCCTCCAGCCAAGATTGTCATACACTTCATGGCTCATGGTCTTGACTGACATTCCAGGGCAGTATGGGTAACACTGCACTATCGGAGGTGCCATCCTTTTGATGAGACATGAAACCGAAGTCCCAACATGGCACTATATAAAAGTAAAATTGTTGTTGTTAACCTTGCAAGCCCATACAGATAGGATAGTCCTGGCTGGAGAAGCAGTGGGAAAGCTTACCAGACATTGCTCTTAAAGGAAAGTAATATGATTTGGGCTGATTTAGACTCCAGTGGGCACTCTGAGGACCCCAAGCATTGGCTCTCGCCAACCTGCGCCTAATACTCTCCAGATCTAGGTAAGCAGAATGCATCCCTCTGGTACTTTCCCTCGATGGGCTGACTAACAAAAACAAAAAGGGAGTAACTGCACAGTACTTGTCTAGACAGGACTGTTTTATAAAGTTGAGGACATGATTGCAGTTCGAAGTCTGGCAGTTTCAACCCTTCCTCCAGTTTCTACTTTTGCCTGTGGGGAGGTACGAAACCTCCACGTACTGGCGTGGCTAAAACTGAAAAGGCACATTTTTTTGTCAGGTAAGCAGAGTGCGTCCCTCCAGAGAGCGGGCACATTCCTTCAGAGACACAAGGAAATTACCATGTGTAGAGGCAGACGTGGTTTTGATACCCCTAATCATTGTGATTGTTTTCTGCATGTGTCAAGACACCCAGCTGACCAAAAGAGAAAAAGACTTTATCTCAATGTTCTGACCAACAATCCTTCAGATAATTTGGTCATTCATGGCTGTCTTTGGGATATTGCTGTGCCGTGTTTGTCTATAAGTATGCAGTCATTGCAATTGGCGACAATTTCCTATGAAGCACTGAAGCGTTTCAATGTTACAGGCAGATTATAGTGCACAATTGGCTGCCACGTTCCGCCCACAAAAACATAATCAATTAAATTTATTGTGAAGCGCTTTGAGACGTCTCAAAGACGTGGTAAGGTGCTATATCAAATGTAAGGATTATTATTATTACAGTAAACGCCTGGTACCTCGTCACTCCAAGGGAGGGAAAAGGGCTCAGTGACGAGCTATCAGCTGTGGCGAGTTAGGCATAGAGATAAATAAATACGTAATTGCATAAATGAATGTGGCTGGGGTATTGAAAGCACGATGACTTAAGTGGTAGTGACAAAAGGTCAGTTCTGACAAAAAGTCATCGACCTGAAGAGTTAACCCACTTTCCTCTTCCCCACAGATGCTGCCTGTCCTGCTGAGTGTTCCCAGCGACTTCTGGTTTTATTTCAGATTTCCAGCAGCTGCAGTAATTTGCCTCCCCCAGTGAGCAGTTTACTGTATAATGCAACATTTCTTTCGATGATTATATGTATAAGCTGTTTGTGAGCTCTGACTGTGCTGCTCCTGCCCATAGCATAAGCCTGAGACCAGCTGCCAGGGCAGCAGCACTGACCACTGCTCACCGCGTCATTGACAAGCCCCGCCCCTACCTCACTGTGTACATGCCGAGCCGCGTGGACGGATGTCCCGCCCTTACCTCCGAAGCGGACCAATCGGTGCGGAGCCGCAATTGTCATTGGATCTAATCCACCGTCAATCACCGTGAAGGGGCCCCCCCCCGGGAGGGGAGGGGGCGAGCGGGGTCACGTGTCTGTTCTGCTGCGCGTGAATAACAACTGAGAATAAAAATCACCTTTGTACCGCGGCTTTCACATCACATCACATCGGGGGGAGCGGAGGGCTTCAATGTTTAATTTACAGCTGTGAACCTTTGGGGTTTTATTCCGCCCTTCACAGACCTCCTGTGACCCGCTCGCGAACTCACTGACCTCGGTGGGGGCGTCTCTGCCGCACCGACAGGAGGCGGCCGATGACATTGGGCTACTTTTGGGCTCGTGTTTGGTTGATTTTGGGCTACTAACGTGGTTCAATCACAGACCGACACCGAGGGGCCCCCCCCGGCTCCCCGCACCAGGGCAGCCCCCCCCACCCCTCCCGAGACACACCCGGCCGGAGCGACTCCCTCTCCCCGGGCTGTCCCTCTCGCCGCTGCCGCTGCCGCTGCCATGAGGCTGGTGCGGTGGCTGATGAAGAGCGCGGCACTGGCCGGACAGCTCGAGCACTTCTCCAAGTTCTCACCATCTCCGCTCTCCATGAAACAGTTCCTGGACTTCGGTAAGAAAGAGATCAGACTCCCGGTGTAGCCCCCTCCCTCCCCGGTACCCCCGGGTAACCCCCCCCCCGGGTAACCCCCCCCCCCGGGTAACCCCCCCCCCCCGGGTAACCCCCCCCCGGGTAACCCCCCCCGGGTAACCCCCCCCCCCGTGTAGCCCCCCCCCCCCGTGTAGCCCCCCCCCCCCCCGTGTAGCCCCCCTCCCCCGTGTAGCCCCCCCCCGTGTAGCCCCCCCCCGTGTAGCCCCCCCCGTGTAACCCCCCCCCCGTGTAACGCCCCCCCCGTGTAACCCCCCCCCCGTGTAGCCCCCCCCCCCCGTGTAGCCCCCCCCCCCGTGTAACCCCCCCCCCGTGTAACCCCCCCCCCCGTGTAACCCCCCCCCCCGTGTAACCCCCCCCCCCGTGTAACCCCCCCCCCCGTGTAACCCCCCCCCCCCGTGTAACCCCCCCCCCCCGTGTAACCCCCCCCCCCCGTGTAACCCCCCCCCCCCGTGTAACCCGCCCCCCCCGTGTAACCCGCCCCTCCCGTGTAACCCCCCCTCCCGTGTAGCCCCCCTCCCCGTGTAGCCCCCCTCCCCGTGTAGCCCCCCCTCCCCGTGTAGCCCCCCCCCCCGTGTAGCCCCCCCCCCCGTGTAGCCCCCCCCCCCGTGTAGCCCCCCCCCCCCCGTGTAACCCCCCCCCCCGTGTAACCCCCCCCCGTGTAACCCCCCCCCCCGTGTAACCCCCCCCCCGTGTAACCCCCCCCCCGTGTAACCCCCCCCCCGTGTAACCCCCCCCCCCCGTGTAACCCCCCCCCCCGTGTAACCCCCCCCCCGTGTAACCCCCCCCCCCCGTGTAACCCCCCCCCCCGTGTAACCCCCCCCCCCCCGTGTAACCCCCCCCCCCGTGTAACCCCCCCCCCCCGTGTAACCCCCCCCCCCGTGTAACCCCCCCCCGTGTAACCCCCCCCCGTGTAACCCCCCCCCCCGTGTAACCCCCCCCCCCCCGTGTAACCCCCCCCCCCCGTGTAACCCCCCCCCCCCGTGTAACCCCCCCCCCCCCGTGTAACCCCCCCCCCGTGTAACCCCCCCCCCGTGTAACCCGCCCCTCCCGTGTAACCCGCCCCTCCCCGTGTAACCCGCCCCTCCCCGTGTAACCCGCCCTCCCGTGTAACCCGCCCCTCCCCGTGTAACCCGCCCCTCCCGTGTAGCCCCCCTCCCCGTGTAGCCCCCCCCCGTGTAGCCCCCCCCCCGTGTAGCCCCCCCCCCGTGTAGCCCCCCCCCCGTGTAGCCCCCCCCCCCGTGTAGCCCCCCCCCCCGTGTAGCCCCCCCCCCGTGTAGCCCCCCCCCCGTGTAGCCCCCCCCCGTGTAGCCCCCCCCCCCGTGTAGCCCCCCCCCCCGTGTAGCCCCCCCCCCGTGTAGCCCCCCCCCCGTGTAGCCCCCCCCCCGTGTAGCCCCCCCCCCCGTGTAGCCCCCCCCCCGTGTAGCCCCCCCCCCGTGTAGCCCCCCCCCCCCGTGTAGCCCCCCCCCCCGTGTAGCCCCCCCCCCCCGTGTAGCCCCCCCCCCCCCGTGTAGCCCCCCCCCCCCGTGTAGCCCCCCCCCCCGTGTAGCCCTCCCCGTGTAGCCCCCCCTCCCCGTGTAGCCCCCCTCCCCGGATCCCCGTGTGTAACTGTTGTCATCGTGTGTGTATGTGTCCCCCAGAGGTCTCCCCATATGTGTAACTGCCCCCCCCCCCCCCGACTCCCCAGGTGTAACTGCCCCCCCCCCCCGACTCCCCAGGTGTAACTGCCCCCCCCCCCCCCCCCCCGACTCCCCAGGTGTAACTGCCCCCCCCCCCGACTCCCCAGGTGTAACTGCCCCCCAACCCCGACTCCCCAGGTGTAACTGCCCCCCCCCCCGACTCCCCAGGTGTAACTGCCCCCCCCCGACTCCCCAGGTGTAACTGCCCCCCCCCCCCCCCCCCCGACTCCCCAGGTGTAACTGCCCCCCAACCCCGACTCCCCAGGTGTAACTGCCCCCCCCCCCGACTCCCCAGGTGTAACTGCCCCCCACCCGACTCCCAGGTGTAACTGCCCCCCCCCCCCGACTCCCCAGGTGTAACTGCCCCCCCCCCGACTCCCCAGGTGTAACTGCCCCCCCCCCCCCGACTCCCCAGGTGTAACTGCCCCCCCCCCCCCGACTCCCCAGGTGTAACTGCCCCCCCCCCGACTTCCCCAGGTGTAACTGCCCCCCCCCCCGACTTCCCAGGTGTAACTGCCCCCCCCCCCCGACTCCCCAGGTGTAACTGCCCCCCCCCCCCGACTTCCCAGGTGTAACTCCCCCCCCCCCCGACTCCCCAGGTGTAACTGCCCCCCCCCCCCCCGACTCCCCAGGTGTAACTGCCCCCCCCCCCCCCCGACTCCCCAGGTGTAACTGCCCCCCCCCCCGACTCCCCAGGTGTAACTGCCCCCCCCCCCGACTCCCCAGGTGTAACTGCCCCCCCCCCCCCCCGACTCCCCAGGTGTAACTGCCCCCCCCCCGACTCCCCAGGTGTAACTGCCCCCCCCCCGACTCCCCAGGTGTAACTGCCCCCCCCCCCCCCGACTCCCCAGGTGTAACTGCCCCCCCCCGCCTCCCCATGTGCAATTGTCCTCCCCCCCCGTCTCCAGTATAACTGTCGACGTCCTGCCCCCCCTCCCCCGGGTCTCCCGGTGTGTAACTCCCTCCCTCCCCACCACCACCTCAGAGGGTTCCTGCCTGCAATCTCCATCCCATGGGATACCTTTGTGTTCTTGGTGGTTTTTTTATTCCTCTCAAAGGGCAGTGTTTATTGTTCTTGTCTTATTATCCTCTTCGCATCTGAAAGAGTTTTTCAACCCCATCTCTTTAAGAATCCCAAATGTTAATCTGCCCTTTTCAGATGCTGATTTATGTACCATGTTTGTACTTCAAGCATTTATTTTTGCAGCTTTCATTCGTCTTACGGGAAGAGAAACAGCATAAATAGGACAACCTCCAGGCGAGAGTTTGGTCTTTTCTGTGTGCTTGGTTTGCTGTGGATGGGTATTGTATGCTAAGCCTGAATTAGTTGCTGCCATGAATCAGTTTGTTGCATTATGCAAATGATTCGATGCTTTTAATCACTTTATGGATCAAGATGTACATGCACCATGGAATCTGGTCCCTCACCAGGACTGCTTTCCTGCTGCCACATCTTCCTCCTTCGCCCCTATCTCACACCTACTGTCGCTGAAACAATAATTCACGCCTTTGTTACATCCTGTCTAGAATTTTCAATGCAGTCTTCTCCAGTCTTCCCATCACTACCATTCACAAGCTGGAACTCATTCCAAAACATTCTCACCTGTACCAAACTTTGCAAACCTATCTGGTCCTTGACAGTTTCCACTCACTCACTATCTCCCAGAGGATTCATTTCAAAGTCCTCATTCTCCCCTATAAAGCCATCCACTTTCTGGTACCTTCTCATCTCTGATCTTCTACCCTATTTCTCCCCTTGCCCCTTCGGCTCAGCTAACTCAGGCTTGCTATTTGTTCCCTGAACCTCTGGAACTCCCTCCCCTCCACCATTCGTTTCATGGGGGACTTTTAAGTCTTGCCTAAAATTCTGCATCTTACCCCTATGGCCACCTTCCCCCCCACCCCACCTCTTTGCACGGAGTCCAACACAGTTCCTGTCAAATTCACTGAGAAATTGTCCCTTTTTTCCCCTATAATTTTAAGAGCAATTTTTAGAATTTTTAAGTATATAGAATTTATGAAGATTGAATTATATTTTGCCATAAATTTGGTAAAATTGCTATTTCTAAGGTTCCACAAATGGCTGTGAGAAGACCTCCTTTGCATTTCTACGACAAGAACTTCCAGTACGACTTTCAAATATCATGAAAGAAATTAATCTACTTCCGGACAACTTGTTAAGCACTCCTTCTGTGAAACTGGTTCAGAGCTGGTGAGTGGTATATGCAATACAATATAGAGAAACTGTTTTAATTTTAACACCTTTACTTGTAAAGTAATATATTATGCAAAATTAGTATATATCATATATATATAACATATTGGTATCTTGGGAATTGGTGGGACCATCGCTCAATGGGAAGGGATGTGTGTCTGAGCTGTGGCAGGAAGATGGTGACAATGCTCTCACGCATTGCATTCTGAGCTGTTACTCGCAGGGAATTTCGTCAGTCACGACTACATTTCCTGTAATTCAATATGTCTTGACTGGTTGCCACTTGTGCACTTACCAGTAAGCATTGGAATCGCATTGAGAAATGAAGTTCTTCTGCACATGCGTCGATGGATCAAGATTCTGTCTCCCGTGATTCAATGCAACTGGACGGTAAGTGCGGTGTGTCAGCGGGTTAGGATGTCAGTTCTCGCATTTCTTGCTAAGAAAGTAATGGAGGATAAGGGAGCTGTGTTACGAGTTAGGAGGTGATTAATACAATAGTACAAAGAAATCTAAGTGGTTATGGTAGGAAACTGGAAGGTACATGGGTTAATGCACATCTATGCAATTATATGATTTATAAAGCGAAGACGTATGCGAGTTTTACTGTAGTACTTGTCTAAAGAACATAGAGAGCATAAGTAGTGGATTTAGAAGCAAAAATACAAACTTCACAAATTTGCTAGACTTCTTGAGTAGTAAATTAAGAAACGATATGAGTGCATCCAGTGGATATATAATGCTTACTTAGAGTTTTAGAAGGCATTTGATAATTGTTTACATCTGAGCCTTTTTTCTCTAAAGCAAATTGATGTCTCAATGCGTAAACTCCAGTGTGGCTCATCACAATACAGACATGATTTATAGGGTATGTTTAGCCTGATTTTTTCCAGCATTAGCTTAAAATAACAGTATAAACTAAAAATAACAGTAGGTCAAGATGGATCATGTGAGACTCGCAGAGAGAGGTACAGTTGCACATCAGTTAATGTTCTAATCATAAACTGGTTGTTCTAGGATAACATCACTATTGTTGAAGGGTTTACCTCATTGCCTAGTGCTGCTGAAACTATTTTGGGAAATAACAATGGGTCATTGTCATCTTTATCCAGGGTTCACTGTTTTATTTCTTGTAAACTAATTTCTAGAAACCAATGTTTACCTCCGAATGTGCTTTGTTGCTGCACAGTGTAGTGCAGTCTCAGCGGGAATTATTTTGTTAAATTACACAATTCAAAACAATCTGCTTGTCTTGTTAACTCTAGAATTCTCTGTCAGTTCTTGTGTTTAGTTTTCATGTCATTGGATTAATTGGAGGTCAGATAATATGTAATGAGTCCCAGTCCTTCCATTGCTGCTCAGTTACTTTATCAACCAACTTTATCCTCTACTCCACCCCACCTCCTTTACTTCACCCCACATGACACACCAGCCACTATGCACTCTGGGACAATATTACGTTTTCCTCTTATTATAATAATTCTTGCATTTGATATAGCATCTCATTGCGTCATTGAGCTCCCTTTTCGAATAGTGCCATAGGATCTTTAAGGTCCACTTGAACAAGCAGACTGTGTTTCATCTAAAGTGTAGCAACTGACAATGCATTGCACCCCTTAGCACCGCACTGGAGCATCAGTCAAGACTGAGTTTAAAATCCTGATGTGGGAACCCAAATCCTTTGACTCAGAGGTCTGTGATGTTTTTTTTTGCTCCAGCTCTCTCAGCAATAATCCAATCCTACATACCTTGTATTTCTTTGCACAAAAATTCAGTTTTCAACTGTTTTGGAAAATGAATAATAGTTTTTTTAAAAAAGAAGTCACCTAACATCTGAATATTTTGTTTCTCTTTAGGTATGTACAAAGTCTAATGGACATTTTAGAGTTCTTAGACAAAAATCCTGAAGATCACAGAGTTTTATCAGAGTAAGTTCAAAATATTGTACTTTAGTGTGTGTGTGTTTGTATGTGTGTATGTATATATAATATACATTTATTACTGTATAAATCGCTGTCTTTTTCTAGAGATCTATAGGAGACTTGTAAACTCTTCTCTCTCCCCCCCCCCGCGCCCCCCCCGTAATACTTTTGTCCGGCATGGTTCATGATACTTCGTCCCAATTTACAGTCTTGTCCCTGAGGTCAAAATCAGATGATCTGATATTAAGGTGAAGATCACTAGAATTGTTTTTGTACAACCCAGGATGTTAGCCTGTTTTAATTGGTAGCCCTCTGCCTCTGAGTCAGAAGACTGTGAGTTCAAGCCCCTCATCAGGACTTTGACTCATAGTCTGACACTCCACTCCAGTGCTGAAGTTGCCAGCCTTTGGACTGAGATCCCTTCTGCTTGTTCAGGTGGACATTAATGATGCCGTGGCACTATTCAGAAAGAGAAGTGAGTTTCTCCCAGTGTCCTGGCCAATAATCCCCCAGATAAAATTGATGTTAATTGCATGGATGTTTGTGGGACATTGCTTTGCGCAAATTGGCTGCTGCCTTTGTCTACACACTTGGAGTCACTATACTGTACACTAAGTTCTGTGAAGCGTTTGAGATATTTTGACGACCTAAGGTGTAAAGGCAGGATTATTATAAACCCAGATAATGAGACGCTTTGAGATGTGATAATGCGCTATATCAAATACAAGGATTATTATAATAATGAGTCTTTGTTTGGCTGATGTTGTTTTGGTGGTCCCCCCCTGTTGCGTCCAGCCTCATTTATCTTGATTCTCATGTTGAAGTCTGTTATGTCTTAAGCCCATCAGCTCTGTCCCTTTCTGATAACTCTGAAGATGGAGATGCTGTTGACCCATGCCAATCTCCTATTGTCAGCCTCTCTCGATCCATCCTGTGGCTGATAGGGTGCGAGTTGATCTCAGTGAAGAACCATTTTCTTTCAGCTGCTCCTTTCTGAAATCCAGTACATAAACCATTGAAAGCTTTTTGAATTTGCACTTGCACTTAGAGCTGCTGGGGTTCAAGGGCTATCAGAAAGTGGTCAACCATGAAGACCTTGAAAGTTGTTGGTCCACTGTTGAGAAGACAAGTTGAGCTTCTCCGCATTGTTTGCTAAGGCCTTGGGGTTCTTGCCTGCTTTACGTCTCAAGTGACACAGCTACTTCTTGGTGCCTTACGTTTTGAGGACACCTCTGAATCAAGTAGTCAAGGTCAATTTAAAAACTAGGTAATCCTTTCTTAGACCAGGCTGTCTAATATGCCTACTGTCTCTCCTTCCAGGATTACTGCTAGGTAGGATAAACGCTGATAATCCGTCCATCCATTTTTGTTGAAGATTACTTTGAACAGAGACGGTATGTCTCCTAGTGAATGGTAATATTGTATAAGGGAACCCGTTTCCATGGCTGGTACATGGCTGTTTTTTTGCATTCCCTGGGTTTCTCGGCTTTGCAGGTAGATGGGGCCTCTGTTTAACTTCTCATTCAAAGTTTGGCACCTCTGGCAATCTAGCCCTTCCCCAGCACAGCACTGGAGTATCAGCCTTGAATGTGCACTCAGAAGTTCCAATGTGGGGTTCGAATTCACAACCTTCTGGCTTGGAGGTGAGAATACTATCAGCTGAGCCAAGGTGACATCTTGTCTTGCAGTTGTGCTTCTTGGAGGGGTCTTCTCCTGATGCCACTGCAGCACCAATTGGCATGAAAGGTCTTACCAGTGTTTAACAACAAAGGCTCTTAAGCTTTATCAGTGGTGAAGCAACAAATCCTAAAGACCTCAGCTGATTCTCTCTAATATTTGTGGGACACTATGCCCTTTTATATGGGAATATATCTCTGCCTATGGAACTGTCAATCTTGCTGTTAGCAGTGAATCTCTCTGGACTAAAAGGATGAAGGAGGTTTTTTCATTTCTATTAGTTGGCAATGTAGCTGGAGATTCAAATTCCCTCATTACTCCTGACAGTCAATGTACCTGCAGGAACCCTCTTGGGACTCCCATTTCTCGCTCACCTGACTGTGCAATAAGATCATGTCTGATTGCCTACGACTTGTGCCTCTTGTGTGCTGTTTGCCTGCCTTTGTTTCAGAATGGCGTAGGTCAGCCTCGGCCGCCCCTTCCCCCTCCACAACACACTCCCCAAACACACTACGATATGTGGTACGTTGTGCTCTATCCGTCTTAATTATTGTTGGCATCAGTTAACATGAATGTTTTCTAATGGCAGAAACTATTTCAATAAAATTTTATATTTATATAATGCCTTTCACATCGGGAGGATGTCCCAAAGGGATTGGCTGGGTACCTGAGCTAGAGTTGGGAGCCAAGTGGGGAGGGAAGGGAAAGAGGACTGAAAGCATCAATCAAAAAGAAGTGCGTTATGAGATGGATCTTGAACGAGGTAAGGGAGTCAGGGATTCTGGGATGGATTTCCGAAGAGCCAGGGCAGAATGGTTGAAAACCTGCCTGCCAATGGGGTGGATAGGGCGGGGGACATGAAGGTGGCCGATGCTCACTGAGCAGTTGGGTTGGGAGGGTTAAAGGAGGTCCAAATCCCCTGGCTATCCAGCACCTTGGGAATTATCCTGCCTTGAAAGGTGCTATATAAATGTAATTTGTTGTTGAGGTCACAGAGGTAGGGTGGGGCAAAACCATGGAAGGTTTTCAAGGTGAGGATGAGGATCTTCAATTTCATTTACAGGGGGGATGGTGAGCCAATGGAGCTGAGCAAGGATGGGGTTGACGCAGAGCCTGGTGTGGAAGAGGACATGGGATGCAGGGTTCTGGATAGTCTGCAGCTTGTGTAGAGAAGAGCTGTAGAGTTCAGTGAGCAGAGCTTTGGCATAGTCAAGCCTGAACGTGGAAGAAGGCCTGAGTGGTCTGAGAGGAGAGGCAAGCCATGTTTTAGAGGTGAGGGTAAGCTGAGTGGGTCAGAGCATGGATGTAGGGTTTGAAAGACAGTTGGGAGACAAACAGGACGCTGAGGTTCAGCCCTGGCTCTGTAAGTTGGAGTATGCATCCGTGCAAGTTGATGCTGCAAGCAGAAGGATTAATGATAATGCGTGTTATAGCTTTTCAGATGCCCTCATCAATATTCGGAACAGGCACAATAACGTGGTTCCAACAATGGCACAGGGAGTCGTCGAGTATAAGGAAGCGTTTGGTATTGATCCTGTTGCTAATCAGAATGTACAGTACTTCCTAGATCGATTCTACCTGAGCCGAATCTCTATCCGAATGCTCATTAACCAGCATAGTAAGTATGATTTCTTTACTGGAAGCTGATGACTTACTCTAGTTTTCTTTATCTAGGGATTCTAAATCTTTTATCTTGTAAAAACTGAATTGAAAGGGTTGATAATCAGTCATTTCACCAGTTAATCAATTATTATTTAAGGCAGATGAAACCGGGACGATGTATAAACTATTTGTCAAGACTGGACATAATGTTTATTATCTGCTTTCAAAGTTAAATTTGCTTCAGCCACTTTGTTTACACTTTTATTACCAAGTTCAATAATTTCTGTAAACAAAATAGTTAAACCTTTCATTTCATATAGCACTTATAATATTAGTGCAGTGTCTCAAATGCTTCACATTGGGCTCAGTTGGTAGCCTGGCTGAGTCAGAAGGTTGCTTGTACAAATATTTTTGTTTTTTGCTTTATTCCAAACACATAAATTAGTGATTTTATGTGATTGTGATTTTATTCAAAATACTTTGGGATTTTGAATACAGTGTCGGCTGACACTCACTGCAGTGGTGTGGGAGCATTGCAGTATCGAAGGTGTTGTCTTTTGGATGAAACGTTAAAGTTCATTTTGTTTGTTCAGGTGGCTGTTAAGGATCCGTAGCACTATTCGAAAACTGGAGGGAGATTCTCCCAGTGTCCTGGACAACAATCCCCCAGATAAAATTAGTCATTCACTTCATGGCAGTTTTTGGAACATTGCTGTGTCCAAATTAGTAACTGAGTTATCACACTTCACAATAACTTTGCGAGACCCTTCCGGAGTGACAGGTGCTATATATTATTATTGTATAATTGCTATCAAACTTAGGACTGTGTATTTGTAGCTAAATGCAGCAATCAATTTGCTCACTGAGGCCAAACAAGCTGCCACAAAATGAATGACTAATTAATTCAGAGGATTTGGGGCTTTAACACCAGGAGAATTCCCTTCACTTTTTGAGCAGTGGAATTTGTAAAGCCCATTTGAACAGGCAGACAATACTTTGGTTTAAGGTCTCCTATATTTATTTGTATTTTTGAAAAAACTTTGTGATTGTCTTTGTGATTCCAACAAAAAGGTGTTCAGGCTTGAATCATTAAATATTAAACTAGAACTTTGAAAATTGACTGTTCCAAGTTGAAAACACTACAAGATTTAATATGCACATATTTACTGTTAAATGAGGTTTAATGCAGATAAATGCAAGGTACTACCTGTAGGAAAAATATTGGAATAGGAAATGCAAGCACTCTATGGATGAATTGGAACTTGCCAAAGAGGAAACTGAAAGAGATCTCCAACAACAGCAACCAAATTACACTTATGCAGAGCCTTTCACATAGGGAGATGTCCCAAGGCACTGGACAGACAGAAATACGGACCTGAGCTGGGGGTCGGGAAGGCTGAAGGGCAGGGGGGTATGTAGGGAGATCAAAACATGGTCGAAGAGGAGGGTCTTGAGGGAGGGGGTGAGATGGAGGGACTGCGGGTTAGAGTTGCAGAGGGTGGGTGCAGAGTGGCGGAAGGCCCACCTGCCAGTAGTGGGGCGAGCAGGGTGGGGAACTTGAAGCAGGCCGGAGCCCGCTGAGTGGAGGGAGCGAACAGGATGGTAGGGGCTTAGGAGGTCGGAGAGGTAGAGGGGAGCAAGACCGTGGAGGGCTTTGAAGGCGAGGACCAGATTCTTGAACTGTATCCTCTGTGTGATGGGAAGCCAGTGGAGTTCGGCAAGGATGGGGGTGATAGGGTTGCAGAGCCCAGTGTGGGAGAGGACACGGGCTGCAGAGTTCTGGATGATCTGCAGCCTGTGGAAGGAGGAGTTGGGGAGGTCGACAAGCAATGAGTTTGCATAGTCGAGCCTCAATGTAATGAAAGCATGCATGAGGGTTTCAGCGGCCTGCAGTGTGAGACAGTGGTGGAGCTGGGAGACGCTGGGGAGGTGGGAGAAGGCCGAGCAGGTCATGGCGCAGATGTGGGGTAGAAAGGATAGTTGAGGGTCTAGAAGATGTGAAAAGTGCTATATCAAATGCAAGGATTATTATTGGGGGTCAAACAAGACTCCAAGGTTCTGGACTGGCTTAGCAAGGTGGAGTGTGCAACCATGGATGGTGATCCTGTCAGCGCCTGAGCCAATCAGGAGAGCCTCGGTCTTGTTGACGTTCAACTGAAGAAAGTTTGCTCTCATCCAGGACTTGATATCTGACAGAGATTCTGTCAGGATAGCAGTGGTCCTGGAGTCAAGGGTGGAGGCAGAGAGGTAGAGTTGGATGTCATCTGTACACATGTGGAAGTTGACCCCATGTCTGTGGATGATGTCACCAAGAGGAAGCATATAGATATTGAAGAGGAGGGGACCAAGGACAGATCCCTGAGGAACGCCACACGAGACGGTGCAAGGGCTCGAGGAGAAGCCGTTTGAGGAGATGAAGTGCAGGCAGTGTGAGAGGTACAATCTGAGCCAGTCAAGGACAGCGTCATTGAGGTGAGAAGATAGGTGGTGGATGGGGATAGAGTGGTCAACAGTGTCGAAAGCAGCAGAGAGGTCAAGGAATACGAGGAGGCAGAGGGAGCCCTGGTCGCAGATGGAAAGAATGTCATTTGTCATTTTGACCAGGGCGGTTTCTCTGCTGTGAGCGGCAAGGAAGCCCGGTTGGAGGGGTTCGAGAGGAAGGAGCGAAGCTGAGAAGCAACAACTCCTTGCAGGACTTTGGAGAGGAAGGTGAGGTTGGAGATGGGTCGGTAGTTAGGGAGTAGAAAGGGTCCAGGGAGGGTTTTTTAAGGATAGGAGTGATGACAGCGGTTTTTAAAGGGGTGGGAACAGTACCAGAGGACAGGGAGAGGTTGACGATATCAGTGAGTAGAGGAGCAAGGAGGTGGAGCTTGGAGGTAAGGAGGGTTTAGGGATGGGGTCGAGGGAGCAGGTGGTGGGTTTCATACGGGTTATGGTGGTGATGCGAGAGGAGGGGGAGACAGGTTCAAAGGTGTGGAGGGAGGGATGGGTAGGGGCTGGGGTGGGAGGAGGAGATGGGGAGGGGATAGCAGATGCAGAGGCAGCTCAGCGATTACCTCGACTTTGGATTCGAGGAAGTCCAGCATTGTCTTGCAGTTGGCATTTGAGGTGAGGATGGGTGAGGTGTGAGAGGGTGGGCGGAGGAGCCAGTTCGTGATAGGATCTTGACTCATCATTCACCATGTCAAAATAATATGAGGCAGCAATAAACCAGGCAAAAGGATGCAGAGCTATATTACTAAATCAGTTGAGTTCAGACCCCCAGACATCATACTTCAGCTATATAGTGTTCTGGTCAATATAGCACAATATTAATGCACCTAGAGAACAGAGGTGTTGCAAAGTACGTGGGCTGTCCATGCCCTGGAGGCAATGCTGGAGAGAGCAAGGATGATTCTGCTCATCTTGTCTCAACCCTCAGAATTCCATCCCCTCATTACTGCATCAAGCTGTTTTTTTTTAAAATGAGTAGTGTCCTAACCTTGACCACTTTTCCTGGCAACTCGTCATTGATTAACCTTTGCTTAAAGAAAAATAATAATAATCCTTGCAGTTGATATAGCGCCTTACCATGTCTTCGAGATGTCTCAAAGTGGTTCACAGAATATGCAGTAAAGTGAATTGACTGTATATTTTGTGGGTGAAAATGACCAGGTATCTCTCCTGAAATTGCCCCTTATAACTCTAAACCTATGTCATCTTGTTCTACACTCCTAATACATCCTAAGGTATTGATCTGGGCTTACTTTTTCAATTCCATTTAACATTTTATACATTCCAGTGTTAGAGGAATGAGCTATGAGTAATGATTAGATAAGGTAGGGCTCTTTAGTCTCAAGAGATTACAACACTTTAAGGTGTACACTTTACAGTGGAGTCCTGTAGCTCAGTGGTTAGAGCACTCGCTTTGCAAGTGAGAGACCTGAGTTCAATTCCAGGCAGGGCGAAACCTTGGGCAAGTTTCCTTACTCCACACAGAGCCTAATAATAATCCCTCCAAAACCAAAAACAATAATTAAATTGGTCATTTTCAATCTACGACTGTTTGTGGGACATTGCTGTGCGCAATTGGCTGCCGCGTTCGCCCACAAATGTACAGTCAATTCACTTTACAGTGTGTTCTGTGAAGCGCTTTGGGACGTCTTCCCGACGTGAAAAGCGCTATATCAAATGCAAGGATTATTATTATTATTATAAATCCTGTGAAGCACTTTGGCACGCCTTCCTGATGTGAAAGGCACTATATCAAATGCAAGGATTATTATTATCTAATCTACTTGTTTGGGAATAAAAGTGATTTTTTTCTCCTAATCATTATTATTTTAAGTAATATTTTCATTAATTTGAATAGATGCTTTGTGTATAATGTACAAAAATCATGACATTTGAATGCTTTATATGTAATTTAGTAACTTTGATTATTTGGGGCCTGTGTTTTAAATATGAGAAACTTTATATGAAATGGTTGTATTACAAAGGCATCAGAGGTAACAATTTTTTATTTTATCAGCTCTTGTTTTCGATGGCAGTAACCCAGCCCATCCCAAACACATCGGTGGCATTGACCCTAACTGTGACGTGCTGGAAGTAGTGAAAGGTAAGTGAGTGGTGTGCTGTGTTTTATACAGATGTGCCTAGTGACACCTATCAAAATTGTGGTCACATTTGTGCTTTTAGAATCTGGTGATCTGCATTCAATCAGTTCAATGATCAGATTTGCAGATCTGCAAATTACTGATTTGGTGGGCTGTTTAATGAAGCAGTTGGTGTGCCACTATCAATTGAGTGCTGCCACAAAGATTACTTTTTTTTTTAAGCTAGATCTCCATGATTTTCTTTATTGCACCTTTATGTTTCTGTCCTTTCCTGGTTTCATTTTTACCTATCTCAGGGTCTTCGCTTTGTCTCTTCTAACCGTTTCTCCTCTTGTCTCCGAATTGTCTCTATGGCGTTCCTCGGGGCTGTATACTTGGTCTTCTACTTTTTATCAACTATATGCTCTCCCTTGCTGACATCATCCATTTATGTGGGCATTCATTTCCACATGTATGTGGTTGACAACCAACTCTCCCTCTTATACCCTCTACCCTAGAGCTTTCAGTTATTCTGCCACCGCTTGCTGGAAATCCATCCCTCAGTTCCTCCACCTGACCACCTCCCTCCCCACCCTTAAATCTCTTCTTAAAAAACAACTTGTATTTATGTAGCACTCTTCACAAGAAAAAGGGATGACCATAGGGACGGTCGAAGAGGAAAGTCTTCGGGTGCGATTTGAAGATAGGTAAATAGGGGGCAAGGTGGAGGGGGTTCCAAAGGTTCGAGACTTAGTGGCTGAAGGCATGGCTGCTGGTGTTGGAGCAGAGGAGTTGGGGGATGTGCAGAAGGTCTGAAGCTGAGCGGCATAAAGTGATTTCTAGATGAGTGTGTGGATCTTAAAATCAATCCATTCTGCAACAGGGAGACTATGGAGCCTGGCAAGGACTGGGGTGATGAAGGTGCCGAGTTTAGTATGGATGAGGATATGGGTGGCGAAGTTCTCAAATCAGTTGAAATTTGTGAATAAAACTTCTTTTTGACTGTGCTTTTGGTCACCTTTCCCCCCCCCCCCCCCCCCCCCAACCCCCTCAATTCCATGAACCCATTTACTTCTTATAGAATCTGATTGGAAAAACCCGTTCCTTGTTTTTATATATGTCTCTTTATGGCAGCAGTGGATACATGAGCATCTTCAGGATAAGTTCTGAAGGTTCACTAGCCTCATTTTTAAAAGTGTGATTAAAATTAGAACCAAATGAAATTTAATTTAGCTCCGGTTGGTCCAACTGGCAGCTCTCGAGCCACATTCGGCCCAGGGGATGATTTCATCCAGCGTGAACCCAGTCGCGGGAAAAACAGCGGCACAAGTCAGCTGTTAGCAGCAGAACCTACCAATCACTTTCAAACAGAGATGCAGAGAGAACAAGAGATACAGGTAAGTAACAGAGAGAGATATAGAGACACAGACAGAGTGAGTGAAAGACAGATACAGAGACACACAGACTGAGAGAGAGACATACAGAGAGAGATACATGCAGGTTGAGAGAGAAACGGATACCTCAGCCATGGCTGTATTATTTTAAATTGTGTATGAATTTTTACATTGCCTATTTAAAGTTGAATTTATTTAAAATCATATAGAAATCCTATGTTTTAAATTGTGTAACTATTACCTAATTTCACAATATTTGTTACAATGCAAACTTTATGATAATTATTTATAACAAATATTGTGAAATTAGGTAATACAGTTACACAATTTAAAACATAAGATTTCTATATGATTCTTCGTACGGGTTGTGTTTCTGGAAGAAAAACACAAAAATATTGTTGATGTTGCCCACGGACGTATCTCAAATCTGGCATCTGGCCCTCAGCAGCCAAAAGATTGCACCACCCTGGTTTAGCTAATGCTGAAAAATGGGGGATTGTATCCACGGTGCAAATGACCAATGTCAGAAAAATATTCGAATGATTTTCTGATAAACATTTTATAGCTTCATTACTGAAAGTTGTTAATAGATTTGACAATTAGAAAGATGTTATAATGACATGGAAATTATTAGATAAGTTTTAATTCTGATTTTTATATAGTTCATCAAATCACAGAGTAACGTGTTCTTTTATCTGGTGGATTTGCAGATGCTTGTGAGAGTGCAAAAATGCTTTGTGACCAATATTACTTGATTTCTCCTGAGGTGCTGATTTGTCAACTCAATGGTAAGTTTGAATTGTATCTTTTACTGCTTGAAAATAAAATGGTATATAGTATTCATCTTGATTTTATACCTTCCTGAATAGGAGAAAACTGTAACCTAATATGTCTTGTCAAACCTGCACTGAAAAGAATAATGGGGGAACAAATTTCTCTGAATTATATTTCCATCTTTTGCATTATCTGTAACAGAACTTTTTAAAGGCAAGTTGTCATGGTGATGGATAAACATTCTGTTGCAAAGATTTAAGACCTGCCGTTTTCCTGCTCATGATTTGCATTTTTAAACAAATTGTTACTACCAAGTTAAAATGGCTGAAAAGAAAAATATGGTGGGTCCTTCACACCTCTTGGCTCACACACAGCCAGGTACCTAAGTGAAAAAAGTGTAGAGGAAGAGGAAAAAGGTGTAGCAATTTGAGACATACTTAAGGTAATAGCCCAAATAACCAGAGTGACAGTTTCAGTAAGACTTGCTGAAAACTAGAAGATAGTCTTAACTTTATGAATTGTTAACTGTTTTGGTGAAAGTAACAAATTACATTTTGTTCATCAGCTACCAGGGTTCCCTCTGCATTCTCGTCCTCCTTGACCTCTCTGCTGCCTTAGATACCATTGACCACCTTATCCTCCTCCACTTCCTCTCTTCTCACCTCAACCTTCATGGTTCTGGTCTTGACTGGTTCATATCATACCTCTCACACCATCTCCACTTCATTTCCACAAACTGTTTCTCCTCTAGCCCCCATACCGTCTCATGCAGCGTTCCTCAGGGCTCTGTCCTTGGTCTCCTCCTCTTCAGTATCTATATGCTCCCTCTTGGTGACATCATCTACAGACATGGGGTCAACTTCCACATGTATGCGGATGACACCCAACTCTATCTCTGTGCCTGCACCCATGACTCCAGGAACACTGCTGTCCTGACAGAATGTCTGCCAGACATCAAGTCCTGGATGAGAGCTAACTTTCTAAGTTGAACGTCAATAAGACCGAGGCTCTCCTGATTAGCTCCCGCCAGCGCCTCCACACCTCAGGCGCTGACAGTATCAATATCCATGGTTGCGCACTCCACCTCACTGAGCCAGTCCAGAACCTTGGGGTTTTGTTTGACCCTCGACTATCCTTTCTACCCCACATCCGTACCATGACCCGCTCTGCCCACCTCACAACATCACCCGGCTCCACCACTGTCACACCGCAGGCCGCTGAGACCCTCATACACGCATTCATAACATCCAGGCTTGACTATGCAAACTCCCTGCTTGTCGGCCTCCCCAACTCCCTCCAGAGGTCGCAGATCATCCAGAACTTTGCAGCCCATGTCCTCCCCTGCACCAAGCTCCATGACCCTATCACCCCCAACCTTGCCCGACTCCACTGGCTTACCATCAAGCAGAGGATACAGATCAAGATCCTGGTCCTCGCCCTGAAAGCCCTCCATGGCCTTGCTCCCCCTACCTCTGCAACCGTCTAACCCCCTACCAACCTGCCCGCTCCCTCTACTCAGAAGGCTCTGGCCTGCTGCACATCCCTCGCCTGCCCCACCATTGGCGGGTGGGCCTTCTGCCACCACCCTCTGGAACTCCATTCCGCAGTCCCTCCGCCTCGCCCTCCCCTTGCTCCTTCAAGACTCATCTCAAGACCCTCCTCTTCGATCGTGCCATTGAACACACTCCTTCCTGCGCTCCCCCCCCCGCCCTACATTCTCCCGATCCTGACCCCCAGAAACAGTGATTGTCCAGCACCTTGGGACATCCTCCCAAAGTGAAAGGCGCTATACAAATGTAATTTTGTTGTTGTATAATCGCCCAAGTCATACAGTTCCTATCAAAAATCATTTAGATTTCTCTTAAGTCATAATGCAAATCATCTAAGTCATAACGTTGCAGCACATTAAAGACACATTAGGCTACATTGAAATGCGGAAAATGGTCTGACCTGTCAATGCATGCGCACTTACCTGCTGTACTGACATATTAATGTGTGGTATAGATTATTGATTACATTGGAAGTTTGCCTGCAACTTGTATAACAAAAAAATTACATTTGTAAAGTGCCTTTCACGTTGGGAGGGTGTTCCAAGGCAGTCAGGGATTAAGACTCGAGCGGGGTGTTTGGGATCAGGGAGGGTGGAGGACAGAGAGGGTGGGGGGTGGCTGAAGCATGATTAAAGAGTAGGGTTTTAAGGTGTGCCTTGAAGAGAGGGAGCGAGGTGAAGGGAATGTTGGATGGATCCAGAGGGTGGCGGCAGAGAGGCTGAAGGCCTGACCACTGATGGTGGGCTGGATGGGGGACATGGAGCAGGCCGGAGCCTGTTGAGCGGAGTGGCAGACAGGTTGATAAGGGATTAGCAGAACGGTGAGGTAGGAGGGGGCAAGGCCATGGAGGCCTTGAAGGTGAGGACGAGGATTTTTAACTTGATCCTCTGAGGGATGGGGAGTCAGTGGAGTCGGACGAGGGTGGGTGTGCTGGAGAGGACACGAGCTGCAGAGTTCTGGATGAACTGCAGCTTGTGGAAGGAAGAGTTGGGAAGGCCGACAAGCAGGGCATTAGTCGAGCCTAGATGCACTTTGCGTAAGTCATGTTAAAAGTTATTGTCCGGCTGATACAACTTCTCTGAGTTTTACTGTATATCCATCTTACCACCTCAAAATATGGATTAGTAATATGCATTTTGTTTTACAGAGGGCTGGTGTCTTGTTTCATACAATTTTATTATGATACATAGTTTAATCCATTTATGAACTCAATGCCATGCTCATATTAGTTAAATCAAGTCCTGGACGAGAGCCAACTTCCTCCAGCTCAATGTTGGCAAGACTGGGGCCCTACTGCTTGGTTCCCAGCAGCACCTCCTCAGCTGCTGACATTATCATTATTCATGACTGAACTCTTCACATCACCATGCCAATATGTTCCTTTTCGACCCCCAGGTATCCTTCAAACCCCACATTCGTGCTGTGATGCATTCCCCCTTTCCTCACCTCTGCAACATTGCCCGCCTCCGCCACTGCCTCTCATCGTAGATGGCTAAGACCCTGATCCATGCTTTCATCCCTGGCTTGACTACGCCAACTGCCTGCTCACTGGATTTCCCAACTCTTCCCTCCACAAACTACAGAGGATTCAAAATTGCAGCTCATGTCATTTCCCACACCAGGCCCCGTGAACCAATCGCCCCCATTCTTACCTGGTTTCACTAGCTCCCCATCCCTCAGAGAATAGAGTACAAAACTCTCGTTCTCACCTTCAAAGCCCTCCTTGGTCTTGCTCTCCCCTAGCTCTCCAACCTCCTAATCCAATATCAGCCTGTCCACTCCCTCTGCTCGGCGGACACCGGCCTGCTTCAGGTCCCTCGCACTTCCTGTCCCACCATAGATAATTGGGCATTCAGCACCTCTGCCCCCACACTCTGGACCTCTATCCCGCAATCCCTCCGCCTTGCATCCTCTCTTGCCTCCAAGTTCCATCTAAAGACCTTCCTCTTCGGCCACCCTTTTAGTTCTATTTATCAGTATAACAACTTCCCATTTTCAGTAACTTCAGATTTTCAACCAGAACACAAGAACTGATCCCAATATTCTCACTAGACTTGAGTTGGGATACCTTTAGTTTCGATGTTTTGACGACTGTTTAAAATAGAATATCCATTATCTTCTAGTTCAAGAACTGCTCTAATTTAACTCTTACATGTCCAAAGAAGCACTTAATAATAATAATTTGGTCACTCAATCCATGACTGTTTGTGGGACACTGCGCCACGTTTTGCCCACAAAATATTACATTCAATTCACTTTGCAGTATAGTCTGTGAAGCGCTTTGAGGTGTTTCAACAACTTGTTAAGACACTATATCAAATGCAAGGATTATCATCTCTTAGACTGACTTTTTGTCCCATTTTCAGCTCACCTGCTGTGATACTTAATAAAAACGAAAGGTGCTGAAACGTGAAAATCTTATTATTGCATAATCACTGCTTACTAACTAAAATAAAATATTTTGAACATTGCCTGGGGATTTCTTTCCTTTTTTTCCCAATGTTCAATAATTTTTACTATTATCTATTTATTTTAGTTTTTTTCCCTTCACTGAAAGCTTTGATGTTTTGATTTTGGCTTGTACCTCTGGAATAATTTTTATGTACAAGTGAGGTGTTTAAAAGAAATTCATGTGTCAAAAGAGTAATTTGGCTAGAGGACTTGCTTAAAATGGCTTAATTGTGCTTTTTCTGTTATGCTGTGGAAAGGATTAGAAGTAAAAATATTATATTGAGCCATTTCAAGGAAGCTAAATATTAGATTGTATAATCTTTATTTGCAGAGGAAAAATTCTCTACCTATATGTTTGACATAATTTTCTTCCTCCCCCTTCCAAAGGAAAGGCACCAGGGTGCTCTATCCAAATTGTATATGTTCCTTCACATCTGTACCACATGCTGTTTGAACTTTTTAAGGTAAGGATTTCTTATTATTGCTATTTGTAAATTTTAGCAATCAATCAGGTGTATATATATCAATCTAGATTGGCACCATCTTAATCTACAGAGGTCTACAGTGCGGTTCGGATATTCACCCCTTGTCGGCTGATTTTCCCTGTTTCTATTTGTAGGCTAATTTAAGTATATTTATTTCTTCATCTTGCTTGTTCAAGCTATTTGAAATTGAATTTAAAGTGAATGTTGATGAAATAATTTTCTTGTTTTTTTCTGAACCTGAGCATCTTTACTGCAGTAGAACCTGTGAAAGTTCCCTATTAATCATTATATCTGATTCAAATCCGGGTATAGTTTTCAGTAGAAATTGTGTAAGAACAGTGTGGGATGAGTATCCCAGTGGAAAAATGCCGACCAGATTGCTTGGCATTTCCTTCTGTGCCAAAGGGAACTGAACATAGTGCCTCTGAACATGTATTGTCTCATTTAGCGGAATGGTACATTGAGAGTTTAGCATGTTTCATCATCAAACTCAATATATTAATTCAGTGTCTCTGTTAAAATACTGTGATTTAGTGGCCAAACATTGTGAAGACAGTAAAGTGGTATTGCATTAATGACCATGAACGTTAAAATCAAAAATATATCCACTTGTATTGCAACTAGACCATCTCTTAGGTTTGCCACTTTAGTAAATTGAAACCTAGGAGAAGCAAGTCCCAAATCCATAACTGCAAATTGGCTGCTGAGTTTGCCCACAAAATATGTAATTATACCACCTTACAGTAGATCCTGTGAGACCCTTTGAGATGTCTCGACAACATGTTAAGGTGTGGTATCAAATGCAAGAATTGTTATTATTAATAAAATGCAATATGATAATTGCTTGGGAAGAGGGGGGAAAGAGCAATTCAATAGAATTAGATAGCTCTAGTGAAGGAGTGAATAGGCCAAATTGTTTCTGTTCTGTAACCTTTATTTGATTCTGAGAAAATGGATGTTCATTTTAAAACTCAACTCTTGATAGGTTTCTTTTAGAAATTTCTAGATAATTCACACAGAAGTTATATTGGTGGCAACTCTGCATGTTTGTGGTGTGGGGATTGTAAGTTTATGCCTATAAATGTAACGTTCACCAAGAAGGCATTTGTATTCACTTTTGTTGTTGTGGAATGGCTCCAGATTTACCAACTTTGTCGAACATTCTTGTATCAAGTATGACAAGCAAGCCAATAGAAATTGTACAGTATCACATTTAAATCAAAACTGTGATGCAAGCTATTACAATGCACTAATAAAACACAATTGTATGTTCACCTGGTGCCTTAACGGGATTGTTGTCGGTTTCTTTCCTATGTTACTTACGGAAATTTCTATTTAAACTGTTGATTAGCTCACTTTTATCAGCTGACCTCATTGTAATAATCGGTAGGGGTTAAGAGTTCTAATGTGAAGTCTGAATGTTGAGCAGTACTTTACCCACTCAGATAAAATAACACGGAAAGAGAAAATGTCATGAAGTCAACAAACTTACTTCTCCAGATCTTGAACTTATCCAACCCATATAATCTCCTGAAGGAAAGTTCTGCATCTATGCTTCCTGTTTCCCAAACATTATTACATATAACTCCATAAGAATCCATTCTTATATATCCACTATTCAACACGTTTTACATAACCAACAGTTTATCTCCTTCTCCACCTCCATTCCCCCCCCTACAAAAAAAGAGGGAGGTCTTTAATCATCAAAGTGAGACTTTAACTTTGGTCATTTTTGGTTCTCTGCTTCATTCAAAGTAAAGTAACTGTTTATCTATCAATAAATGTAGTGTTATCACAGCTAGCTTTATTTTTTTCTGAGCTGAGACCAATTCACTATTTTGTCTGATCCGTCTGTTTCTTGCTCTCTTATCTTCAGAATGCAATGCGAGCGACAGTGGAGTATCGCCAATCCAGTCTTTCTCTCCCTCCTATTGAAGTGACCGTTGCTTTAGGTAATGAAGACCTTACAATTAAGGTAATGACACTATTAACCAGTCTCTCTCCTCAGGATCAGTCCCACTCACCCTCAAAGCCGCGGTCATCACCCCCTCCCCCTCTTTATTTAAAAAAAAACCCTACCTTCGATCCCTCCAACCTCGGCCACTACCGCCCTATCTCAAACCGAACCTTCCTTGCCAAGCTCTGGAACGCGTTGTTGCCAACCTACTGTCTCCGACAATACCTCACCCCACAAGCTGCCGAAACCCTTATCCATGCCTTTTTCACCTCTCAGCTGGATTCCTCTAACATCCGCCTCGCCAGTCTCTCCTCCACTATTCACAAAATCCAACTCATTCAAAACTCCGCCATTCGCATTCTCACCCGCACCAAACTTCGTACCCCGATTACTCCAGTCCTTGCCAAACTCCACTGGCTCCCTGTCAAGAACTTACTGTAGTGTTTAAATTCCTCCATTCCTTAGACGCCCCACAGCAGTACCCATTACCTCGACCCTACTGGGTCCGGCCTCCTCCACGTCCCCAAATTCTTCGCTCCACCATCGGCAGCTGTGCCTTCATCCACTATGTCCCAAAACTTTGGAACTCCCTCCCTCAAACCCTTCGCCTCGCCCCCCCCCCTCCTTCCCCATCTTCAGGTCGTGCTTGAAAACCTTCCTTTTCGGTGCTTACAGTCACCGTCCCCCTCCCCCAGACTCAGCCTTAGGCTCCACCATTGTTAAACGCTCTGAGGCGTCGCCCATGATGGAGGGCGCTATATAAATGCAAGTTGTTGTTAATGTTCAATGAATTCTTTTCAGGTACTTTGTCTCATAACTCTAGCTATTCCTCAAAGGTGTGTTTCATTTGTACTCTAATTTGAATGAAATCGAGTTTGCTAACAATTTTTTCTTTAGTATTTATCTTTTCTTTGATATTGTACAAACAGTAAGTTTGATAACAAATGGACCCCTTTCTTTTAGATGTCTGACCGAGGTGGTGGTGTTCCCCTGCGGAAAATCGATCGACTTTTCAGTTATATGTATTCTACAGCCCCTAAACCAATGGTGAAGAATTCCCGCACTACTCCTCTGGTAAGGAGATTGGTTTTGTATATAGAATCAAAAAACACTGAAGGATACATCTGTTTGAAACTAAATAATATTGTGGCACTTTGGAGGTGAAGCATGCAAATGCTTAAAATGACGAATATGTGTTTCTCCGGTGTCCAGTTTGTTTTACAATAGTTGGCAAATGAATAATGACCTTCAAAGTCCACAAAATAAATACCCAAATATTTTATACATAATTTTATTCCGTTTCTGTTTTTTGTAGGGGTTGGGGGTGCGGGGGAAGAGTCAGGTACTATTTGCCAAAAAATGGCAAGGGCGAAGAGAATTGAAGCAACTCCTCTCCGGGTAAATTTGTAGAAAATCAGTAAAAGGGGTAGGCAGAGAAGACCATGAATGTTTCTCGGGGGAAAACCTAAACTGATCCTTCATTATTAGATATCAGCTAACAAATGCAAGTGATTCTGATGATTGGTCACCTAATTTAGTGCCAAGAGCATGTCCTGAAGTATGTTGCGATGAGGTTGTTTTTACAGATTCGCAGGGTTCAAAGCTCTATGAAATTAGCCAGTCTGATGTGTGTGAATCCCGGGGGCAGGGGTATTACTAAAGACATATTGTTACTGATCGTCTTTCATTCAAGTATTTATGGTGAAAATCTGTTTAAAATGATTTGAAAAGAGTTAACATATGAAATTGATAGAGCATGATTGCATTTTACCAGTCATTAATAAAGATGCATTCAGTTGTGAATTTTGTACATTGATGCCTTGTTGTAAGGATTGGGTCCATGAAATCCAGAACATAACTAGACTGGTTGGACTGGGTTCCCACTGACAATCTAATGACCTGGAATTTGGTTGTTTTAATAATCCTTGCATTTGGTATAGCACCTTATCACGTTGAGACTTCTCAAAGTGCTTCACAGAATATTCTGTAAAGTGAATTGACTGTATTATTTTGTCAGTAAAACGTGTCAGCCAATTCATACATCAATGTCCTGCAAAGAGTGATAGATTGAGTGACCATATTATTATAATTTTTTGAAGGGATTATTACTACTAGAAAGCAATCTGCCAATTGACTAACAACCGTTTTAGTGCAATTGCTAGCTGGCTCTCGAGAAGTGAGCGAGCAAATCAACTACATATGTGCAATGAATAAGAATCCACACTACAACTGGGTTATGGCTCAGTGCTTTAGCATGTCCTCCCGACGTGAAAGGCGCTCTATAAATGTAATTTTGTTGTTATAAAGGAATTAACCCAGGAAATGTGTTATAATGGGACTGCACTGTTCTCGTGTCTTGAAGGGACTGGCTGCTTGGGCGTAGTTTCATGAGCACCAGCCATTCTTCCAATTTCCACATGGCATATTCTTAATATCTGAGCCTGGACAGTGAGTGTTTGCAGACTGTTCACCTGTAGGGAGCATTATAGTTGAGCAACAGTTGAACAACAGGAACTTTGCTGAGCTGTAAATGTGTATTCTTAATGCCAGAAAACTGTCCAAAATGACTTCGCAGTCAATAGTCTTAATATTTTTCTGCAAGTTTTTTTTATAATTCAGCAATAAAATCTCTGGTTTATTGATAAATTTTAACCTGGGAGTATTTGTTTTATCAATCAGTGTGACTTTCCAAAAAGTTACTGGAAGACTGTTGAATGCAGCAAAAAATAATGTTTTTTTCTTTTCAGGCTGGTTTTGGCTATGGTCTTCCCATTTCCCGCCTCTATGCCAAGTATTTTCAGGGTGATCTAAACCTTTTCTCTATGGAAAGTTATGGTACAGATGCTGTTATTTATTTAAAGGTAATGTGAAATCCTGCAATAAATAAAATATCTAAGCTTTAGGAGAGTTAAGAATTGCTATAATATCCTATAAAAAATTCACAATCATATAGGGAATTATTTTTCCTTTTAGTATTTAATATTCCATGAGTGAGTTTTATACAGTATTTGATGAATGGAATAAACACCTTATTGACTAGCTTCTCATGAATTATTCTATTTATATTACGAATGTGGTTGAATTTTGTTCAAGAAATGTTTTAAGAATGGAGATCTTTTTTCAAAGCTTGGATTTGCTGATGCTGTTTGGTGTTTCCCAATTGCTGGACGCCTGTAGGAAAAACTTCTCCCGACAGATTCATTTGCTTCAATGGAATTCATTCTATAATCCATAGTCATGAGAGAACCAATTATTATTAGCCATGATCTGTGTTTTACTTTTAAAAACATGCCCAAAGATTTAGTTATTTAAAAATTGGAAAATGCAGTGTGGATTTAAAAGAGAATGACAACCTTTTGACATAAGTTACAAATAGCATAGCACCTTATGTCAAAATTCACAGGTTTGCAGGAAATTTCTATGACTGCTTTGTTGACTAGCGCAGCAGGCATTTAGGCCTGCAAGGTACCACAAGCTGCTATGAGAGAAATAAGCAACTACTAAGGAGAGAGGAGAATGGGAGAAACATTTTTTCCAAATAATGTCATTGTGCCTTTTTTATGGGATCAATTTGGACAGAGAAAGGTTATATTTTTCTTTTGAAGTGAGAGAAAAATAAATATTTAAAACTTCATTCTTTTTGAATTTTAAAGGCTTTATCTACTGATTCAGTAGAGAGATTACCTGTTTTCAATAAATCTGCTTGGAGACATTACCAAACCAGCAATGAAGCAGATGATTGGTGCATCCCCAGCAGTGAGCCCAAAAACCTGGCCAAGTTTGATCGTCACATTTGAAGCAAGATATTCTGAATGAAAGAACTCAGAAGAGAATATGGCTGTGTTCATCCGTGGACCATGGTCTTTACAGAAACAGACTGCCAAAGAAAATCACCCACTCTGGGCTGGTGATGGTATAAATGAATCATAATGTACTGTTCCAAAACTTGCAGTGCGATTGTATGCAGTATTCACCATGTTGAATGGAGTCATCATTGTTGCCATCAGTTAGTTTAAGACATAGAAACAACATCTACATTTCTGAATAAGAGACCAAGGGATTTTGTGATATGTTATTCCAAGTTTTAGAAAAATGGTTCACAAAATAAGATTTTGTACTTTATTGTATTTTAAAATATGAGACTGATGTATAATCCAAAATTCAGATCTCACCTTAAAGAAAAAATGAACTATAATTACTATCATTGACGAATACAGTATCTACTTGATCAAAGGTTTGTTTGCACCAATTCTTTCCTGCCCCTCCTAAAGGTGTTTGCTTCTGTTTTTATTTGCTTCTATGTGTGCAGTTCCATCTTGGTACCTTGACCTTTTTTCATGTACGACCCATTACATTGATAGTGTCCAGAGGCAAACGACTGCAGGGTGTTCTCACTCAATACTCGGGGTTATGATATATTGCAAATTAGGAATGTTATCAACTTGACTTTTACACTGTGCTTACAATCCAGTTTTCAATTCAATTGTATAAATGGCACTGTAAAGTAGAAAGGCTGGATTCTTTTGCTTAACTGCTTAACATTAAAATATTTTGGATGGTGTTTTGGTAGAAAAATTATGGTGATCTTTATGCTGTTGTGGAAATTGAGCCTTATTTGTGATGCATTTGCAAATACGGTTTGTACACAGTGGAATGCAGAATTTAGAAACTGTTACATCAATATATTTGGACCCGATCTAATTATCATGATGCAGTTGGACTGCTTTGATATATAAAAACTTTAATTAACATTTGGCATAATTATGACAGTAAAGTGATTTTAGTACTGGGGGTTAATCAATGCAGTTTAAAATATTAAGTATTCAAATTTTGTTTGAATATTAAATCACAACTAGCAATATTTAACCCTTCAACAATAGTACTTGCATTTCATATTGATGCAATACGAAATTCACTAAATTTACTGAGGAGTCATGATGTGACATCTGTGGTTGTGAGTTTTTTTTTAAATAGTACATCAAGTGCTCAGTTATTATGTTGACTGCAGTCCAATACTTTTATGTATAGGGATGTAGCAAAATTGTTTTTGGAATTTCTATCTAAAGCAGTGTATTAATTTTCAATGTGATGATTAAAATTCCAGTTAATTTTGATCAATAACATTTGTTTTTGTTACAATTGTATCCATTGTTTTATGAATACAGTACCTTGTGATCCCAATCCAGATATATCTTTGCTGCTAACTAAATTATATTGGATTCATTTGAAAGAAAGTGGAAGGAGCATCACTAACCAGTTTTTGCATCAGTCATACATTCCTTCTTTGATATAATGACTCTTCTTGAACTGTTTTTATATTTCCAGTTGCCTTGGTTCTCTTCCTGCTCTATTTATTGGCCAAAAGCTGGTCGTCATACAATGTAGTCTTCTACAGATGAATAGCAAGGCTTCTGATGCATGAATGGAAAAAGCCCTGACACATGTCTTCTATAATAAAAAAATAATAATTATCCTTGCATTTGGTACAGTTCCTCCAATTCTTCTGATCTCTTCCCAAAAACGTTCATAAAATTATTTTGGCCAACTATCTGTCTACGGAGTCTTAGCCTTCCTTAGGATTTTAATGCCTCTTCAATTTCTTCTCTTTTTATTGCCTCATCCATTTCTCTACTATCCTCAGTTATGATTGTTCTCTCCAATTTATCCACCAAACCCTCCAAACTATTATATCCTCATTTTGACTCATAACTTTCCAAAATAATCTCTTGCATAATTGAAAACCTCTTTCTTCCTCTTATCCTTGTTCTCCATCGTTCAGTTTATTCAATATTCCCTTTCCATTTCGCCTTTCTGAAGAAATAGCTTCTATACTTTCATTTATTATTGTGTTCTAGCATGTGACATTATTTTCTTTTGTTGTTTCCCCAATTCTTCTTGCATCTGCTTCTGCACTTTTGCAATTTCTGACACCACATCCATATCTTCTGATGCTTATATATGTTTTGCAATTTTTTTCCCATCTATCATATCTCTCTTTTTCTCTTGCTTTACTCCTTCCTGCTCCAATAAAATATCTCTCCTTTGCCATTTCCCACCATCCATTTCTACTTTCATAAAATATCTTTAAAGACTTCTGTTCCTCTAATCTTTGCCTATATAATTCTCTTGATTTCTCATCCTGCATTAACCCTCTGTTTAACTTCCAGTACTCTTTCCCTAGTGTAGCCTCTTCGAGAGTTCCACGATCCGAAGAGAACTCAGCATTGATAATTAACAGCTGATTGTGCCACTGAGAGTTAGCAACTGACTCCTGGTGAGCAAGTAGATTATTGCCATCTTTAAGAGTGATCAGCTGACAACTATTACTTTTTTACCAAATAGACCACCAAGGAACAAAAGGCTGACCAGTGGCCCAGGTTTCCAGGATGCGTGCAATTATAACTTGTAACTGATGGAGCAACTTCCAAGCTTAATATTGTTTTTTATATGAGGCAACAGGAGGAGCAAAAACTAGCAGCAACAAGCTGACGAGAATTATCTTTCCATCAATCAGGCCACCAAGGTCTAAAGGGCCAATCAGTATACAAAGCAAGATAGAGGGCACCAAAGTAGCTGAACTAATGTTACATTAACCATTGTAATTTGACAAAGTGTACCCGAAATAGTTAGGTTGAATATTATATGTATACATGAAAAGCTAATGCCAAATTATGCACATAATTGTGGATTATACAGTTTGTAACATTCTCGGAAGAAGTTTATGGATTCAAGCTCCATGTTTCAATTGGAGGCTCATAGGCTGACACTCCCAATGCAATTTCATTGGGGAAAAGTTGCTTTGTTGGAGATCTTTAATCAGAGATTGATCCGAGGTGGTGTATGGCAATGTATGGCTATATTGATCGTGTACTGAGAGAGGAGCAAAGGATGGCTCAGGTAGACATTAAAGATCCCACAAGACTATTTCAAAAAGAGAAGGGAGTTTCTCTGGTGTCCTGGGCAATGATCATCCAGATAAATTGCTTACTCAGTTTATGATTGTTTGTGGGACTTTGCTGTCTGCTGATGGATCTTCTGCTAGACTGTAACCTATTTCAAGTGGAAAGGAAGGAGCCTACAAGGTAGATGATCCTTTCCCTAATGTCTGACAAGCTAGATAATATCATGGTTATAGCACCATATTACTTTTCTAAAGTAATACTGTCTTTGTGCTTTTTTGAGCCATACCTTTTTTCGCAATGAGGCATTTCGCAGGTGGTCAACACTTCAACCTGCACTGTCGTGCAAGTCCTGAGAAAAAAAAACGGGTATATGCAAGCAATCCAGGGAAAAAATCCAAACCAATTACCAACACAGGGGTTAAATGAGAGTTCAAAACTTAAAATACGTGGAGCACATCTGGACTAATCAGCATTAAAGTATGGGGTAAGTTACTACTTAAAACCATGTTTTTAAATTGTTCCTTAGATTGAGATCAATATGCATTAATAAAGGATATTGTCACAAGATCTATCAAACAGACCATTGCTATGAGAAAATGAAAGCACGAAACATTAATATTAATTAGAAAACCGGGCCACATTGAGAGCTAGCAAAACTGTCCAACTAAAGAAAAGCAGAAATAAAAGCTGACGAAAGCTTGGTTAATGGCCATGGTCACAGCAACAGGACACAGCAGGCTTAAGTTCAGAGGCGTGAAGATTACATAGCTTAAATTTGTGTGTCAGCTTGGCTCAATGGTAGTACTCTCACCTCTTGAGTCAGAAGGTTGTGGATTTAAGTCCCATGTTGGGACTTGGAATTCACAATCTACGATGATATTCCAAAGCAGTGCTGTGGCTGTGTTGCATTGCCAGAGATCCCATCCTTTCAATGAGACGTTAAACTGAGGTCCCGTCTGCCTATTCAGGTGGATGTTAAAGATCACATAGCACTGTTCAAAAAGAGAAGGATGTTTCTCCCGGTATCCAGGCCAACAATCTCCCAAAATAAACAATTGATCACTTGCTCCATGGCTGTTTGTGGGACATTGCTTTGCACAATTGTACTGCCATATTTGTCAATGAATACACAATTGCTCCATTTCACAGTAAATCCTGTGAAGTACTTAATGAGAAGTCCTTCCGACTTGATAAGGTGCATTACCAAATGCACAGATTATTATTTGTATTAATCCTCTTCTCTCGGAGGGGAAAAGTGTCTGATGACCTGGGTCAATAGAAAAGTATGGACATATTTTCAGAAAGTTGCGGAGCACTTTACGAATCTTGCGGGAAACTGCGGAGGGCTTTGGTAAATTGTGCATGGGGATTGCGGGAGTTAAGTGGTGCTATTGAGGTATATTTTTTCACTTTATTGATAAAAACTAAACATAAGGAAACACATATTAGATTGTGGCAAAAAAAATATTAATTGCTTCTTTAACAAAAACTGGGTGACCATTTTTTTTGAGGGGTGAGGGGGGACACCAGTGAGGCTAGAAGAGCTCACCACCTCCTGCCTCTCAGGGCCAGCACCACACACGTGACACAGAGAGATACACACTCACTCAGACACACAGAGTGACACGCACTCAGACACAGCGAGACACACACTCAGACACACAGAGAAACACGCACTCAGACACAGAGAGACACACACTGACAGACAGACACACGCACTCATAGATACAGAGAGACACACACAGACACAGAGAGACACACATCTCAGACACATAGAGACACACACACTCAGACACACAGAGACACACACTCAGACACACACATACACAGAGAGACACACAGTCAAACATACTCAGAGACACAGAGAGAGACACACACATTCACAACAACAAAATTACATTTGTGTAGCACCTTTCACTTTGGGGGGATGTTCCAAGGTACTGGACAGTCAGTTTTTTGGATCCGAGCTGGGGGTCACGATTGCCGAGGGTGGAGGGCAGGGGGTGGGGAAGCAAGGAGATCGAAACATAGTTGTAGAGGAGGGTCTTGAAATGGATCTTGAAGGTGGCAAGGGAGGGGGCGAGGTGGAGGGACTGGAGGATGGAGTTCCAGAGGGTGGGTGCAGAGTGGCAGAAGGGCCACCTGGCAATGGTGGAGCGGGCGAGGCGGGGGACGTGAAACAGGCCAGAGCACGCTGAGCGGAGGGATGGTAGAGATTAGGCGGTCGCAGAAGTAGGGGGGAGCAAGACCATGGAGGGCTTTGAAGGTGAGGACCAGCATCTTGAACTGTATCCTCTGTGTGATGGGAAGCTAGTTGAGTTGGGTGAGGAGGGGGGTGATAGGGTCACGGAGTCTGGTGTGAGAGATGACACATGGCTGCAGAGTTCTGGATGATCTGCTGCCTGTGGAAGGAGAAGTTGGGGAGGCTGACAAGCAAGGAATTTGCATAGTGAAGCCTGTTATTAATGCATGAATGAGGGTTTCGGCGGCCTGAGGGATGAGATAGTGCAATGTTGCAGAGGTGCGGGAAGGCAGAGCGGGTCATGGTACAGATGTTGGGTAGAAAGGATAGTTGAGGGTCAAACAACATGCCAAGGTTCTGGACTGGCTTAGTAAGGTGGATTGTGCATCCATGGATGGTGATGCTGTCAGCGCCTGAGGTGTGGAGTATGGAAACTTGCCCAAGGTTTCACCCTACTGGGAATTGAACCCAGGTCTCTTGCTTGCGAAGCGAGTGCTCTAACCACTGAGCCAGAGTGGTATAACATGATATATGCCAAAGCAATGATTGACACAGTATTCTACTATGTCTTATGTTCTGAATTTTTTCACACAAATTAATTGAGGTTCTAGGATATATTAAACAAATTTTAATATTCAACATTCAAACATATTACAGCATCAGTAAAATAATAGAGGTTTGCTGCCATCTGCAGCATAGAATGGAAAATTCAGCATATAAAAAGTCTCATCCAATGAATCCTCATCTCAGTCTTTCAGCAAACTTTGCGTTCCTCCAAAAAGTTAGTTCAAGACTTGTGTTTTTCGTTCAAACTTTTTGTGGTTTATGTTTGCTGATGTTGGATAAAGCGCGTTTGAATTTACCAAGTTTTTTTTAGGTCAGCCGGGTGTTTGACTCATGCGGAAACCCATCACCATGCTCAAGGGTATCAAAATCAAACTGAGAATTCCATGTATCCCACCTACACATGCAAATTCTAGAGACAGAACTTGCATGTGTTGGTGGGATGCATCTACATGTTACTTCGGAGGGAAAATGGGCATCATTTTAATAATTATTTTAATAATCCTTTAAAAAAAATACTAATTTGGTCACTCCATCCACAACTGTTTGTGGAACACTGCTGTGCACAATGCACTGCCGGATTTCGTCCACAAAATATACAATTAATTCACTTTACAGTGTATTCTGTGAAGCTCTTTGAGACTTCTCAAAGGCGTGATAAAGCGTTATATCAAATGCAAGGATTATTATTACATTTAAATTCAGCCATTTAAGGACACAAGTCTTCATAATTCAATCCATGACTGATCGTGGGACACTGTTGTGCGCAACTGGCCCATAAAATACAGTCAATCCAATTTACAATATATTCTGTGAAGCACTTTAAGCCATCTCAAAGACGTGATAAGGTGCTATATCAAATGGAAAGGCTTATAGGAGCTGGATGGAAGAATTCTCGCTCCCCCTCCCTCCCCCCGCCCAGCCCCCGGGATGTTGCTGTTGGTACATCCAGAGCCTGGAAATCCACCTTGGTTGGTTTGCAAAGAGGTAAGCAGCTGTTGCTTAAACTCCGCACCTCCAACTGGTGGAACCATTGGCCAATGGAAAGGGACATGTGCCCGAGCTACAGACAGAAAGATGGTGGGAATGCTCTCACTCATTTCATGGAAGCTTGCCGGGAGTACCTACCATCCACCTAGTGAGGGCTCAAACCCCCGCTTGGTGGATGACAAATGACCAACTAGTGATTATCTTCTTTTTGGCGAAAGGCAAGTGGGATCTACTTGGAGCTGAACTAGCTCCAAGGTGACATGCTTGGCAATAGGATGTCGGAATCGAGTCAGCCCTCTGTGGCAGTCTCAACAGGCTGGTTCCTGAGCCTGGTGGGTCCGCAGTTCTCCAGGGTACCTCTGGTGACAACACAGTCAACCTGGCTCATTGACTTGGAAGGGCAGAACCAGTCGCTCAGGTCAATTGGATAGTACTTTCTGAAGTTAGGTAAGCAGGATGCATCCCTCCAGAAAGAGAGTGTGCATTCCATTCCAACAATCTATCTCTGGGATTTCCACGTGTAGGTGGGATACATTGGAATTTTCAGTTTGGTTTGGATACTCTTAAGCATAGTAATGGGTTTCCACATGTGCCCTACACCCGGCTGATCAAAATAAAAATTCCTCTTCCCATGTCCTTTGGCTCCCACCCATAGTTTAAGTGCTAAGCCAGGATTGTCGAGCACCTTGGGACTTCATCCCGATGAGAAACAACAACAACACGATTCCATTTATAGAGCGCCTTTCACGTCGGGAGGACGTCCCAAGACGCTGGACAGTTGGGTCAGGACCCGAGCAGGGGCAAATGGTCAGGGTGAGGGGAGGGAAGGGAGGGAGCGAGGAGAGGGTAGAGAGTTGAGAGGGGAGCTGAAGGCACGGTCAAAGAGAAAGGTCTTGAGACTGGCCTTGAAGGAGGAAAGGGAGGAGGCGGCGAAGGCACTGGGGGATGGAGTTCCAGAGCCTAGGGCCTGAGAGGCTGAAGGCCCGGCCACCGATGGTTGGGCAGTTGGGGCGGGGGATGTGGAGCAGACGGAGCCAGAGGAACGGAGGATACGGGCAGGTAAGTAGGGGGTAGTAGGTCGGAGAGGTAGGAGGGAGCGAGGCCGTGAATGGCCTTGTAGATGAGGATGAGGATCTTGAAATCGATCCTCTGGGGGATGGGGAGCCGGTGGAGGGGAGCGAGGGTGGGAGTGATGTGGTCCCGAAGCCTGGTGCGGGACAGTACACGAGCTGCAGAGTTCTGAATGACCTGCAGCTTGTGGAGGGAGGTGCCGGGAAGGCGGCGAGGAGAGGGTTCCCATAGTCCAGCCTTGAGATGATAAAGGCGTGGACCAGAGTTTCAGCAGCGTGAGGGGTGAGGTAGTGCCGTAGTCTGGCGATATTCCGGAGGTGATGGAAGGCTGTGCCAGTTGTGGCGCGGATATGAGGAAGAAAGGACAGCTCAGGGTCGAACAGAACACCGAGGTTCCTGACTGGCTTTGAGAGGTGGAGAGTGCAGCCTTGGATGCTGATGCTGTCAGCGCCTGAGAAGGATGCTATATAAACGTAAATTTGTATTTTAATATTCACCCACAATACCCACAGCATTTATAACAGAATATATGTTTGCACAGTCTACCGAAGCATCAGTAATGATATCTCCACTAAATTCTGCTGATTTGGCAATATAGTTCAGAATCCTGTTAACCCTTATTTATTGCTGTTTCACAGTATTTGGACATGGTGAGTAACCAGTTAAATAAACACTCCAAGGTTTCTTAATATCTCCCTTGGTTCAACCCTATCCATGGAGAACATGCATATCTTATATTTATTTCCTACAAATAGTATCTTGGGATTTATTTGAAGAAATTTGCCAGTGATCGCCCAGATTGATTACAGAATTGTGTGGCGCTGCCAGGATAAGGATTAAACTATAATTGATGGACACCAATCAGTATATTTTAAGCAACAGCAGTGGTGGATTGGCTACTCAGAAAATTTCCCGGAGCACTCTGTGATCGGCTCCAGAGCACGTCGTGATTTGCTCTGGAACGTCATATGACTGACTCCCCTATGAATGTATGCCCTAAAGAAGAGGGCATAAGTTGATCATCATAAGAAGAAAAATTGGAAAGTAAAACTATTGACCTAGAGGGTTGTTAGAATGTGGAATGCTTTATCATAAAGGACTGCTAAAGCAGAGTTTATTACAGGAATTAAAGGCCAATTGGATAAATACTCGCAGAATAATAATGTTACTGGATACCTAGAAAACAGGGGACTGGGATAAGAGTATATGGTTCCATTGAAGGAAGATTGTATCAGCACAGACATAATTAGTCAAATAGTGTAAAAGTTCTATGGCTGTATGAAATTCAATAAACACACTTAACGTGATTAACACTGAAATTGTGCTGTTCAATAAATTTGACCTACTGCCTCTAACAGAATATATTGTTTAAGGCGGCGTGGTAGACATAGCTTAGGCACTGCATTGTAGCACCTTTTCTTTAATATTGCCCGAATGGCACATCTTGTTAGGTGCAGCAGGGAGCGAGGTGATCTTCCACAGACATCAAACAGAGATTCATAAAAATCCCAATGTTGCTGCAAAGGCAAATAAATATCATCATTAATTTGTGATCTCTGCAATGGTAAAGTAAAAACTGATTCACTTAAATATTCATTGCTCAAAGTACATTTTTAGTAAGTAAATTCACAACAAGCAGAATTTTAGACATTTCATAAACTCATAATAGTTTATTTTAAATCACCTTCATATAGCTGAAATGCCAAAACCATAATCTCAGACATCTAAACAAATATTACCCTGTTATTTAATCAAAGGACATTTATAGATATCAACAAAGGCTGGTGGCAGACATTGGGTAAAACAGTAATAAAATCTGGAGATAAGTTGATTAACTAGTGTTTAATTTTATCGGTCACTTTAAATAATTTAATAAAGTATAACAATTCTGACTTGCCATATTTAATAGGCTGCAAAAACACATTTTCAGATATTCTGGGATGGTGCAATAAGCATTAGGGATAAAAGCTAAATGGTAAATGCACATAATACATAGCAAAGAAACAGCTGGTGCTGCCGGTTAATAATTCTTAGAAATCTTTAGCATTGAGTATCAGTGGCAAGAAACAAAACTCAGATTATTTGCAGCTTGAAGGGTTAGAGCACAACCACAACAAAATTGTCCTGATGTGTCTTTCACGACAGGAGGACATCATAAATCATGGGACATAATCAATAAACATCAGTATGCTCTCAATTGGAATATTGTGAATGTTTTTCGGGTTCATACTACAATAAAAACATTCTTGGACATCTGAACTATGAGGAGAGATCTCAGAAGATGGAGATTTTTACATTAGAGAAGAAACAATTGATGGATTATCTTAGCGATATATTCTGTATTCTGAAGGGTGTGGACAAACTGAACTTTAATATGATCCAGAAAGCCACAAGAAGAGCTCAGAGTCTCAAATACAGAACGGCAAGGGTGAATAAACAGGCAGTTAAAAGAGTATTGGATTTTTTTTATTAAGCAAAAGGGATTGGAAATCAGACAGGGAGAGATGTTTCTTTGAAAATGAGATGAGGCTGACAGACTGTAATGATCTCCTTTGATCCTTTAGATTCCTATGTTCTTAAAACGACTTAAAAACAAAATTAATTAATATTAAACACCACGTCATATACCACATTGAATTCACACACAATAGCAAGAATGATTATAAAGAAGACCTTTATTTGGTTACCAATATGTTTTAGGATCATTATGTTCTTTTAGAGATAGAAGGAATAACAAGTCCTAGAGAATTACCTCCAAGACATCATCTGGGATTGCTTTTCTCCACTTCGAGTTGGATTCAATATATTCATATGAATTGACCATAACTTCAACAGCCTTTGGATAGGAACAACATGATTGCAGTACCTAAGTTGAAAATGAATACACAAAAGAATATTTTACTACTAAGCTTTTTCTGTGTAATTTAATGAAGCATGAAACAAAGACAATGAAAGTTGTGATTGTTCAAATTATTGTTTTGATCTTTGTACAAGATTAGTTTATGGTTCTCATATGCTGAATATGTATATAGCTTTGTGGATATATCAAATACTGTAGCAAGAATGACTATAAAGAAGTGCATTATGTACCTATATGTTGTAGGATTATTCTAAGCATTTATTTTCTCCCCTTATGGTGGATTTAATATATATATGTGAATTGACTACAACAACAACAAGATTACATTTGTACAGTGCTTTTCACGTCGGGAGAACGTCCCAAGGTGCTGGACAGTGTACAATATTTCAGACTCAAGCTGGGGTCAGGGGGGAGAAGGGAGGGGAGGGGAAGGGGGGTGGCCGATGGTATGGTCGAAGAGGAGGGTTTTGAGGCGGGACTTGAAGGAGGCTAAGGAGGGGGTGAGGCGGAGTGAATGGGGGATGGTTCCAGAAGTTGGGGGCAGAGTGGCTGAAGGCTCTCCTGACAATGATGGGTCGGGTGGGTCAAGGGACGTGGAGCAGGCCGGAGCTGGCTGAGCGGTGAGAGCGGACGGGTTGGTAGGGGGTTAGGAGGTTACAGAGATAGGGTGGGGTGAGGCCATTGAAGATTTTGTAGGTGAGGACCAGGATTTTGAACTCGGTCCTCTGAAGGATAGGGAGCCAAAGAAGTCGGGAGAGAATGGGGGAGATGGGGTCACAGAGTTTGGTGCAGGAGAGGACACGGGCTGCAGAGTTCTGGATTATCTGCAGCTTGTGGAGGGAGTAGTTGGGAAGGCCGACAAGCAGACTACAATTTCAACAGCCATTGGACAGTAATGACATGATTACAATACCTAAGAACATATTGATATAATACCTCAACCTGATCCTAGAGTATTAAGAACATCATGGGAAAGGTTTGGAGGAATAAGGCCAATTGGATCACTTTCTGTAGCACTCACCTCCAATTGCAGAATCAAACTATTTTTAAAAATAAACCAGTTAAAGCTGTCTGGCCACAGATTCTGTGACCTGCAGCCTGTCATCATGTGCAAGCTCTCTTCAAAGTGCACAAACCTGCTATGGAGTCTTGTAGCTTAATGGTTAGAGCACTCATCTCGCAAGCGAGAGACCTGGGTTTGATTCCTGGCAAGGCAAAACTTTGGACAAGTTTCCTTACTCCACAGGCCTCTGTTTACCTAGCAGTACATAGGAACCCAGTTGTTAGTCAATTGGTGGATCGCTGTTCTGGGGGTAATAAACCCTTAAAAAAAGGTCACTCATTCCACAACTGTTTGTGGGACACTGCTGTGTGCAATTGGCTACCGCATTTCACCCACAAAATATACAGTCAATTCATTTTACAGTATATTCTGTGAAGCGCTTTGAGACGTCTCAAAGATGTGATAAAGTGCTATATCAAATACAAGGATTGTTATTATTATTACTAGGCCTGGGTACAGTGAGAGGGTAGGAAACCATGAATAAGAGCAGGTGGTATAGAGTTGAAGCCGAAGACCATTTGCAACTCCAGCCACCCACACCCCTGGGCTTATTGGAGATAGTGACTCTCATATGTCTCTTCCAGGGATGCACCAAGGTCTTCCTCCTCATCTACTCATAAGCCATGGCTGTCCCTGTGCATTCAGTATCTACACTGGTGCTACAAAAACAACAACTTGCACATATATAGCCCCCTCCATGCAGGATAGTGCCTCAGAGCGCTCATAAACTACACTACCTTATGAAAATGTGGAGGGAAAATTCTTGCAGCTCCATGGTTCAACAACAGCTGATAGCAGATCTCTGGTCGTGCCGCAGGACGAACAGGTGTAACTTTCAGAAGGTATTGAAGAGGAGCACAGCCATTAACATCCATACGTTGAACCTCACCACCTGCTTCCAACAGCATTTGTATCAGCAAGTCATCACTATTCCACGCAGCCTTATGAAGCGGGCTCTTGTAATCCTCATCTCGAGCATTTACACATGCTCCATGGTCTAACAGCATCCTACACACCAGATGATGGTCTGTGCTGTATACCTGATCTTTCATGTTAAGGGCCCAGTAAATCGCAGTAATAAGAGGTGTTTCCAAATAAATGTTAAGACTGTCCACAGCTGCTCCCTGCTTGATATAAAGTTCCACAAGCTCAGGTATGCCAAAGCGTGCAGCTACGTGAAGTGGAGTAGCTTCAAAGTCATCTTTACTATGCAGGTTAACTTTTGCACCTGCCAAAAAAAAACAAATGTGAGATCCATTTCTTCAGTTCTATGATAGCACCAACAGTGATGGGGGAAGAGAAGAGGCACCCTCACTGCATCTTAGTGTAGGATGTATTTGATGATGTAAGTTGCATTAAAGCCAACTGAGCTTCCAACTACATTGTCAGATGAGCCAGGTATCAATCTGGCTCAGAAGGTAGCAATATTGCCTTTAAGTCAGAAAGTTATGACTTCAGATCCCATGTTAGGACTTTGAGTTCATCGTCTGATACTCCACTATTGTGGTGGGGGATGCTGCATTGCTGACGGTGTTGACCTTTAGATGAAATGTAAAACTAAAGTCATGTCTGCCTGTTCAGGTGGATGATAAAGATAAACGATTTCACCTGATTTCCTGACCAACAATCCCTCAAAACAAAATTGGTCATTCACTTCATTGGCTGTTTTGGGGTCATTGTTGTGTACAAATAGGCTTCCAGAGCTTCTTGCTGATGCACAATCACTACACTTTATAGAATTTTCCTACGAAGCACTTTATTGAGATGTTATGAGTGGTAAATCAAATGGAAGATTCTAATATTATTATGATAGAAGATAACAACATTTAAAAATAATTGGATAAATGTTAGAAAATGAAGAATTTAACAAAGTACAAAGAAAAAGCAGGCAATTGGGATTAGAGTAGTTAGCTTCAGTGATGAGCACCAGCTTCACTCCCCTCCAAACAGAAATATTGTTTCCCTGCCTAGAACTGCCTTATATCCCAGTATAATATTCACTGAGAGTATCTAGTTCATGTACAGCTGTTAGCAGCAAGGTTGATCAAGGGCTAGGAAGCATTTCAAGGGCATCTAATTATAAATCAAAATGGGTTATTTTAAGCCTATATAATTTACATAATTTCGGTTCAGTTGGAAGCACTCTCTCCTTTGGGATGACAATTGATGTTTCAAGCCCCATCTGGGATTTGAGCTCACAGTCTAGCCTGATGTTCCAGTTGTACTAGGAGAGCACTGCAGTTTGTTGGAGGTGACCTCCTTTAGATGGGATGTTAAATTGAGGTCCCATCTGTCTATTATTCAGGTCAGTGGTGGTGAACCTGTGATCCGGAAGTGGTCCTTAGGGCCATCAAAACGCAATCCCCTGAACATTTGTACGAGTATAGGTAAATCCGTGTTTGAGGATTCGTACATATTCATTTTTTTCTTGATTGAATATTTCTTGATTTATGGTATAGATCAAGAAATATTCAATGCATTTTGTTGGCCAACCATAATGAGAGATATTCCCTTTTCATTTCCATGGAATCTCTAATGTCTACCTGAAGACCTCAGTTTAATGTCTCATCTGAACAACAGCATCCCCGTAATTAGGCACTCCCCCAACATTGCATTAGAGTTTCAGCCTAGACTGTGAGCTCAAAGTTGTGAACCCACAACCTTCTGACTTAGAAGCAGGATTGTTACCCATTTAGCCAGGCCTGATTCCTATCTTTATAGAGTCATGGAGCTGTTGACACAACATACACACAACTTGAGAAGATACTGTATCCTATTGCAACCTTTCACATACAATATAATTTCTTTGTACCCTTCTTTGAGTTCTGAAGGAGCGTTCACTGAACTGGAAGGGGTGTGTTGCTACATAACGGTCATTTGGTGTTACACACTAAAACGCTCACTCTGGCTTTGTGTTAATTATAACAACCGCCGGTGTTCACAAGATCACAAGATTTGTTCGGATGAAGAAGGCCCTTCAGCCCATTGGATCTCATCCTTCCAGGACACCCACCCTACTATCCTCCCATCACATCATCAATTTTAAATTAATCCAGTGTCTTGGCATCAACCACCCTTAAGACGAGGTCTCAAGCTTTACCCGCATACTTTGTGCAGCTCACCATTCCAGACCAGTCGTTTTGCACAGGAAACTGAATCCCGGTTTGTACAAAAATGTAATGGTGTGAGTCCACTCATTGAAAATATGTTGACGTTAGCTCCTCGGTGTATGAGCACAGATAAACAATCCACATTTCTCAGATCACAGGCGATATGTAAAGGTGCTTTTCCATTTGGTTGATAGTTTATAGCAGCCTTATGGTCTAGCAGCACTGAAATGATCTCCAGGTGTCCGAGCATTACCGATAGGTGCAGTGCTGTTGCCCAAGACGTCCCCATTTTATAACCTGGTAGCCAGTAACCTGGAAAGATGCAAACAACATTAATCATAGGGCTTCTTGAAGGATCAAAAGGGGCACAGACCTCACTGCCACAGACCTCAGTTCCGCTAATGGCTCAATGAGTAAATGCCTTTGTCGTGTGGTCTTGATCTCTACAGAACCAGGTTTGTTCTTTGCTGAGTTAGCTAACGTCAGTCAGGGCAGTGGTGATAATGTTATTGTGGATCTCAGTACCATTGAGATAAGGAGGGAAAAGATTAGAGAAAAGATTAGTCCTGGTTCCTGTACTTGGTCACTGGTTGGTAGGATTCTTGGAAATTGCATTTATGTTACGGAAGTTTTAAGCTTGGTTTAGATGCCTGTTGATTAGCCTGCTCATACTCACTGGCTATCTCACACTTGAATAATATCCTCTAAGAGGCAGTATAGAGCACATGAAATAAATAACCAGTCATGGTTGAAAAAAAGGATCATTAGGAAAATGTCAACATTTACTGGTTCTCGTCGGTCAGTGTAATACATACAGAATTCCCACAGAAGCCGCTACATTCAGAGTCAAGATTTGGGGTGCAAGGCAGCATTTACGCTTTGTCTAGTGAACACTCTTTCAGCCCTGAGTCTTCCGAGAGAGGAGAGCAGAAAATTTAAAAATATAAAAGTAAAAGTGCAATTAGAAATGAATTAAAAATCTGGGTAAATTTGACCTTTACTCGGTTGATTCAAGGGCTGACTTGAATGTATTAATATCAAGTCAGGTGTCATTATCAGTTGATGAACAAATTCGGATGATAAACAGAGCAAACATTCACTGTTTGCCAAGTTGGAATCAAAATGGGCTTACTTGCATTTTCATCAATAGATAAGGAATAAAATGAAACATGAGGTGTTCAATTTGAGTTGGAGCTTAACCACCAGCATTGAACAACTTCAACTCTGCTAAGCATTGAGATATGTTAGCTGTTGGCAGTAACTGAAGTAATATGGTGCACAAAATCCTCCAGAGGCAATAGCCAGGTTTCAAGGAGTTTGAGTTATGTATTCTGGCGATAATTAATAAAGATGGAAGAGAAAAATATAGACATCAAAAGACAGTCACCTCCAGCTTGAAGGTGTTAAATAGATGGAGCTAAAATTACCTAATTTGATGAATGAAATAAACTATATAAAGAGAGAATTAGAGCAATGGAGGAAAAATACTTCATAGCCTCTAAAACGTACCCTATAACAAAGATTTGAAATGGAAAAAAAGAATAATTCATAATAAAAAAGCTTTCAAAATGTCATATATTGGTAATATGTCATATTGTATAAAAAGCACTTATGAAGCTCAATTTCTTCCACTCTGCGATCCATGGTTTGTATTAGCAAAAATATAATTCATTGTTTTAAAAAGAGTTCCTGACAACAGAAAACATATCCCAGTCTTTAGCAGAGTGGGTTAATGCTGCTTGTTCAGGTGCTCAATTTGAATTATTATACTTTCTGTTGTCTGGCTTATTTTATCCTTGGAACATTCATCAGCATCAGAATCAACATTATGAATTTTGGGTAGGAGTGGACTGTTGGGTTTACAGTGGTAAGAACCCTAGCTGATTTTTCCCCTCCCTCTCCCGTGAAATATGGAAGCCAATTGTAGCATCCAAACAGCTGCCTTGGATGAAATCAATAAACTCAGCACATGAGCACAAACCCAGTGGTGTACTAGGCAGTACCTTCACCTGGTGGGCTACTGGGGGAATTATTGACATGACTGAAGAGCAAGAAAGATGTAAAATCTTCTGACATTGCAAAATGCTATTCTACAAGAAATGGAGATACCAGGCAAGCGGTGCCTGTGTCCTGTAATGGAAAAGTATGAGGTCAGTCTTAGCGTGCACCAGGATATCATAGTGGGGCTCATAGCAACAAAAACGGTTCAGGTGTCACGTTAACAGCTTTCTGTCAAGTACAGATGGGTTCCTGCATGTGTGACAGCTGGCTGACCCCCAAAAATGAAGTGCAGAAGGATATTTGTATCTTGCATCATTCTGCAAGCTGAAATAAGCATGTCAGCTCTCTCATCAATCTGCTGAGTATGAGTCTGCTGAGCATTCAACTCTCCTCTGGGTTGGCTCAAGGTTGTCAGACATCCCTGAAATCCTTTGACAGCTACCCTGATACAATTGTTAGTCCAGCCTTAAATTCCACATGACTGATGTGTCACTTCTCTCAGAGGCTGAGACCCTTGAGGACCTTCATAGTGATGTCTCTCTTAGTCATCTCAGGAAATATCTTGGAGATGTTTTACATTTGTTAGAATTGTTATAAATTTAGGCTTGTTTGCAATGGATACCAGCTTAACCACATTTCCTGTAAACAAATCACTTCTCCAATGATAAAGGAAACTGCCTTTTCCTATTAGTTGTTAGGGTTAACACTTTGAGCAGACAGATAACAATAATAACAACAACTTGCACTTATATAGTGCCCTCCATGCAGGGTAGCATGTCAGAGCGCTTAATGGTGGCGGAGCCTGACTCCAAGCTGGGGGGTAGTGGGAGAGGTGGCCCTAAGCACGGTCGAAAAGGAAGGTTTTCAGGCGGGACTTGAAAAACAGGAGAGAAGGGGCAAGGTGGAGGGATTGAGGGAGAGTGTTCCAGAGTTTCGGGGCATAGTGGCTGAAAGCGCGACCTCTGATGGTGGGGCGGATGGTGATAGTAGAGTGGAGGCCGGTGCCAGTCGAGGTGGAGGCGCCGAGTGGTGGATTGGGGAGTGAGGAGGTCGGAGAGGTAGGGAGGTGCCAGGGAGTGAATGGATTTGAACATGAGTGTGAGGATCTTGAAGTCGATCCATTCAGTGATGGGGAGCCAGTGGAGTCTGGGCAGAATTGGTGAGATGTGGGTATGGAGTTTGGTCCGGGTCATTATGACGGCAACAGAGTTATGAATGAGGTGGATCTTTTGAATAGTAGAGCTGGGGAGATTGGTGATGAGTGCGTTGGAGTAATCCAGGCGGGAGGTGACAAATGAATGCACGAGGATTTCGACTGCATTTGGGGTAAGGTATGGTCGGAGGCGGGCAATGTGGCTGAGGTGAAGGAAGGCGGTCCTAGATACTGCTAGACTAAGCATGGTCTGCTGTCACAATACCATTCTACTGTAAAAGGCGGAGAATATTGATAATAATTGATAATAATCCCTCAAGAAAAAAACAATAATAAATTGGTCACTTCAATATCCACGACTGTTTATGGGACACTGCTGTGCATAATTGGTTGCTGTGTTTCACCCACAAATATACAGTCAATTCACTTTACAGTATATTTTGTGATGCGCTTTGAGACGTCGAGAAGAAGTGAAAAGCGCTATATCAAATGCAAGGATTATTATTATTAATATTACCAGCAGTACCCAGATTTGTAGCTGAGGCTAATTACAGTGTGTTATTTGCCAGTTTTAATAAGATTGTAAAACAAGCATCAAGCAAATATTGATAAGCACGAAAGGCAATTTAGTATTTTAAAATATATGGTACCCTTCACATGGGGTAGTGTCTCGAGAGCTTGATGCTGAGTCAGGTGGGGTGGGGGTGTGGTGAATTTAGGAGATGCATGGTTAAAGGTGTGAGGTATGGTCAGAAGTGGGTGATATAGAGGAGGTGGAGGAAAACAATTTGGTCAGGGTCTATGGGGTAGGAAGGACATCTAGCGATCAAATCTGACGCCTAAGTTGTGAACCAGGGTGAGTGAGTCTGAGGAACAGGCTAGGGAGGTTAAGGAAGTCAGAGCCACAGGCGAGAAGACATTGTGAGAACAATGTTTTTCATCTTCTCAATATTCAGCTGCAGAAATTGTTAGTGCTCATCTGGGGCTTGATATCTGATAAGTAAGTGGAACAGAACATCGGTGGACATGGGATCACGGTCAAAAGAAGAAAAGTAGGTAGGTGCCACCTCATGTCTACAGATGATATCGCTGAGAGGGAGCATCTAAATAAGGAAAATAAGGGGTCAAAGAATAGAGCCTTGGGATATGCTGCAGGTAACCGTGTGGGAATGGGAGGAGAAAATACTTGCAGAGATGTGGGTCAAGTAGGACTTGACTTAGGAGAATGTGAGCCCGCTAAGTTGGAAGAGGGAGGAAAGGCAGTGGAGGAGGATGGCATGATCGACTGGGTCGAAGGCAGTGGAGAGTTCCAGGAGGACAAATAGGTAGAGGGAGTCCTGGTCCCAGAGAGAGGGGGAGGACGTCATTTGCGAATTTGACAAGTGGTTTCTCAGCGTAGCTTATTAAGATCATTTATTAAAAGCTGCTTTAATCATTTAATTAAAAGCAATTGTTAATTATGGTTGGTAACATCCAAAAATGAAACTCCAAATTCAAACAGGATCATTCATTATTGTAAAATCAAATTCTCATGGTAATTTTACAGTTAAAGTACATACAGACTTGCAGCTTGATTTGCACACAACTCACGAACAATTGGCTTGCCTTTTCATTTAAATCATCTTTCAGTCTGATAAAGTTTTACCTTGTTTATAAGATGCCATAACCATGTGGTCATCCGCAATTTCAAAAATCGTGTCAACATCTATCTTCGTTTTGCTCAGTATTTGGTTTAGCGTCTCACAGTCATTTTGATAAACAGCTTGTAAGTACATCTTTTTCAACGTTTTGACATTTTTACTTTGGAAATTGTTTTCTTCCATTGTTACTCAAACTTTACACCAACCAGATGCATGCTTCAAAACAACTTGCTCAGATTAATTCTCACGAAGAGAAAGTTAACTTGAGGCCACTGGTAACACAGTGTGACGAATCTGCAGCAGGGATGGGTGTAAATTTATAAGTTGGTCATGTGAACTCTTCTATTTATAGGCTGAAATTCTAAAAGGTCATCAAGAGTGCTGGCTTGTTGAATTTATTTGAATTTATGTAGATTCTTTACCGTTTTCTATTTCTATTTTTAACCCGAGTTTTTATTTTTCTGGGAAAACTGATTCTTCGAAAGAATCAGATTTAAGTCATTGTCAAATAGCTGAATCAAGGAGACGGTAACTGAATATGCATGTTATGTAGTTACACAATTAAATTATCAGGCTTGGCTGTGACAGCCTCTAACTCAGAGGGTGGTCCAACAGACGTCCTGAGGGTCGCATCCAGCCCAGCGGGTAATTTCATCTGACCCGAGACCATTTCCAACTTTGGGTCGCCCACTCCCTCCCTCCCCCCATGAACCATCCTCTCATGGCAGTAGCAGGAGCCGGCAGTTGGGAGGTCGCAGCGCAGATAGTGGAAGTAATGCCGCCGTTTCAATCAGAAAGTCACTCCTGAGCTGAGGGGAAGGACGCAGGTCTCCTTATCCACCACATCCTTACCAATCGCAAGATCCTGCGCTGAAGATAGTGAGCTGCGCAGCTGATTGAGAGAAAGAGGGGGAGAGAATGTGATAGGAATGTGTGTATGTGAGTCAGTCAGACATGAGAGAGTGGGAGTGAGAGAGTGTGTGAGGGAGGGAGGAGAGAGTGATTGAGAGAGAGAGCATGAGGGAGAAGAGGAAAGAGAGAAATAAAGAGAACGAGAGAGAGCAGAGAAAGAAGAGAATTGAGGGCAGCGTTTTGTGGTTCACTGTCAGGACGGACGATCAGAGCTTCCGTTGTCTGCTGAGGGGGGGGAATCGAGGAGACACCGAGCGCCATGAAGTGCAGTTTCCTCACAGAAAGCTCTCTCTTTCCCCAGTGAGAAACTCCTCAACGTCCTTCATTCATTCCCTTCTCCCCACCCTGCCTGTGCGATCTTCCGCCTCGGCCATTCCCTTTGCTCAGCAAACACTATCCCCCCCACCCCATCTGCTCCACCATTGCCATTTTGCCCTTGCTTTCTGGAGCTCTATTCCTGAGTCCCTTCCCCACTTTTTCAAGGCACATCAAGACTCTTCGACTGCGCTTTCAGTCATCTTTTCCCCTCCCCATCCCCTCCGCTCCCACGCCCAGCTCAGGTGCCCAGCCAGAAGTGTCAAGTGCTTTGAGACGTCCTTCTCACATGAAAAAGGCAATGTGTAAATGTTGTTATGTTTCTGGAAGGGAAACACAAAAATTGTTGCTTGTGCTGCCCACGGACGTTTCTCAAATAGGGCATCCGGCCCGCGGCAGCCAAAAGGTTGGGCCACCCTGCTCTAAATGGAGCGGCTTGCAGACGCTCACTGCCAAGGTTCATGTGTGAACAGGTGCAGGGAAACGGCACGCCAGCAAGACGTCAGACCAGGACCAAGAGCAGCAACAAACAACAAGCAACACAAAATTACATTTGTAAAGCCCCTTTCACGGCGGGAGGACATCCCAAGGCGCTGGACAGACAGAGTTTCAGACCCGAGCTGGGGGTTGGGGTGGCGGAGGGTGGAGGGCAGTGGGGGAAGCAGGGAAATCGAAAGCACGGTCGAAGAGGAGGGTCTTGAGGTGGTTCTCGAAGGTGCCGAGGGAGGGGACGAGGCGGAGGGACTGCGAAGCAGATACCAAAGGGAAAAATATTAGAAACATAATTGGACACACTAAATTTATAAAAATAAATTAAACATGATAACAATAATCCTTGCGTTTTATAGAGCGCCTTATCACGTCGTTAAGTTGTCTCAACGTGCTTCACTGAATATATTGTAAAGTGGATTATTGTACCGTGGATGAAAGACAACAGACAATTTTAACAGCAGTTAAATAATAATAATCTTTGTATTTGATCTAGCGCCTTATCACACCTGCAAGACGTCTCAAAGCGCTTCACATACTGTAAAGTGAATTAACTGTATAATTTATGGGGAAAACACAGAAAATATATTTATAAATATTTTATAAACATAAGATCAGTTAATTTGATGCTGGTTCCACAGTCTAAATGGAGCATCAATTATTCATAAAAACATAACATAATACTCTTAAAATACTGCAATAGCATTTTGTTCCCATAGGTGTACAAGTCAGTCTCTGCACTGAAAAACCCTCTTAAAGAGCTTTTCTGTTCAGTGGGAATCAGTAATCACTTACTGATTCATGCTTCCTACTTCCTAGCTTTCACACACAAATTGCATTGTTGACCTGGTCTCACTTATAAATCAGGCACTGCAGTCTTCAATGTCTCAGTTTTTCATTAGTTGCAAAACCGCCCAGTAAAGGCAATGAAAGGAACTTGTTTTTTTTAAAAAAAAGGTGCTCCCATTTTCAAAAATAGGAGTTGGTGGAATGAAGAAAGATCAGTGCAGACTTTTTGCACTGAACAGTGCTGTAGATTTGTAGTGCTCTGGGACACTATCCTGTGTGAGGGGCGCTATATAATTGCAAGTTTATGTTGTTGTTGTAAATCTGCTGGGAGGTTGTCAGGTTTAGGAATAAAAAGCCAAAGTTGCAGAAAATGGTCAAATTAAATTCTTAAGTGGAAAAAAATACTTATTACTAAAACAAACCGAGACTGAAAATATCCAAATTAAAGGAATTGATTTCGGAAACTTAACTTTTGGTAGAATTTATACAGGGCACAAAGGACTTTGATGCTCCATCCTTTGTAAGAAAAGTTTAAAAGGAAGAATCAATATTAAGAACTGTAAAAGGAAGAATTGAAATAAAGGAACACTATGCTGATCGTGGGGTGACTAAAAGTTCACTAAGGCATATACCACATGTTGGTAATTAAGAAATTGCTTCTTTCTTAGTTTGTTATTCTTCGGATTCAACATCTTTTAATGATGAACAAATGAGCAGTTCGCTCAGGAAGCTGACAATGTCTTTGATTGATATAATCGTTGGTGCCTAAAAGTCTGGATGCAGCAAGCCTACCCAGGATTTTATGATTTAATAATAATATAATAATAATCCTTGCATTTGATATAGTGCCTTATCACGTCATTGAGACTCCATATTGTCCAGAACTCTGCAGCCCGGGTCCTCTCCCGCACCAGGCTCTGTGACCCTATCACCCCCATTCACATTCCCATCACACAGAGGATACAGTTCAAGATCCTGGTCCTCACCTTCAAAGCCTCCATGGTCTTGCTCCCCACTACCTCTGCAACCCCCTAACCCCTACCATCCTGCTGTCTCCCTCCGCTTAGCGGGCTCTGGCCTGCTTCACGTCCCCGCCTTACTCGCCCCACTATCAGCAGGCGAGCCTTCTACCACTCTGCCCCCACTCTCCATCCTGCAGTCCCTGCGCTTTGCCCTCTCCTTTGCCTCCTTCAAGACCCATCTCAAGAACCCCTCTTCCACTGTGCTTTCGATCACCCTGCTTCCCACCCCCCACCACCCTCCACCCTCCGCAATCCCAACTCTCAGCTCAGGTTCACAACTCTGTCTGTCCAGGGCCTTGGGACGTCCACCCGATGCGAAAGGCGCTACACAAATGTTATTGTATTGTTGTTGACATGTCTCAAAGCACTTCACAGAATATATTTTAAAGTGGAGTGAATGTGTATTTTGTGGGCGAAAGGTGTCAAGATAAGACAATAAAGTGTTAAGATGACCTTCTTAAACTACCATCTGGTAAAACATCAAGGAACCTTAAATGCCTGTAAAGTCAAGATATGATAACCTAGGGGGTGTATTCTGTGTGCGGAAAGGCGATTGAATGATCCAGTTCCAGAAAGTGATCGGCTAATCAAACTGTGATTGGGCAAAACAACCTTTGAATTCTGCTTTTGCCTGCAAGAGTCACATGGACTAACAGTTGGGGTAGAAGAGATGGAAGTTTAGCTGAAATTCATTGAAGTAAAAGAGTCTGAGGGAAAGCTAGCAAGATCAGATTTATTGCCAAATCTCCCAAAGGAGATAATTGATCAGTCCCATCCTTTGTGTTGTTTGCTACTTTATGACTGTCTTCCAGGAGGGGAAGCAAGAGGGGGCTTCTTGGAGCTGAACTGGCTCCAAAGTGACATGCCTGGCGAATGAATGTCGTAATCGAGCCAGCCCTCTGTGGCGGTCTTGGTAGTCCAGTTCATGAGCCAGGCAGCTCCGCAGTATTTCAGGCACTACTGATCACAGCACATTGGCAGAACCTGGAAGGGCAGACCAAGTCACTGGGGACAGGGAATCATGCCACTCAGTTCCTGTTAACCCTGCAAGCCAAAGCCCTAACGGTGGTCGTAGCTGAACAAGCAGTGAGAAAGCTTGCCAGACAGCAATATCAATGGCAATCTATGCGGTTGTAGCTGGTTAGACTCCAGCAGTACCCCAACCCATACTCTGGGGTCCCCAAACCTTGGCTCTTGCCAACCTGCGCCTAATACTTTCCGGTAAGCAGGATGCGCCCTTCCAGGGAAAGAGTGCGCATACCATTCCAACAATCTATCTCTGTGATTTCCATGTGTAGGTCGGATGCTTGGAATTCTCAGCTTGGTTTGGATAGTCTTTAGCATAGTGATGGGTTTCCACATGTGTCAGACACCTTGCTGACCAAAAAAAATTGCTACTTTATTATGTTATCATAATATAGAATTATCGCTACTATACTTGATTGAACTTCAATTGAGACTTTGTTTGTTTGCATTTATTTTTGCTAAAGACAAATATGATTGAAACCATAACTCGAGTGGTTTGTTGGCTCGTAAATAATTCCTATTTGGCACCCCAGATGGAACCTTGCATTTGAAAGAGATTGAACTTGTAAGGTAATAATCTTTTGAAAACTAAATTGTTCTCAATTTCTATAAATTCTGCCAACTATAGTACACTGTGGGCGAGGGATTGCGACCCACGCCAGTGGTAAGGCAAAGTGTAAGGGCTTGCGTGATCCTTAGACGGGACACTCCGGTCGCGAGCTTCTTAGTATTGGACCCAATGGAGGCACTAGTAGAAAAGGATAAAACTAAGCATAAGCTAACAGGAATAGTTACAGACTCATTGACAAGTGTAATTCTATGGAATAGTTGTAATGAGACATATAACCAGCTGGTTAAAGAAAAGAAATTAGCAAATGCCAGATGGAAAGCTGCTGTACTGCAGGCATCATAGATTTCTTTTTTTCAACCCCAGCTCGGGTCTGAAATGCTGTACTCTGTCCAGCACCTTGGGACGTCTTCCCGACGTGAAAGGTGCTATACAAAGGTAATCTTGTTGTTGTTGTTGTTTCTAAGCAGATTTATACTATTACTAATAATAATGCTTGCACTTGATATAGGTCTTCGAGATGTCTCAAAGCGCTTCGCAGAATATACTGTAAAGTGAATTGACTTTATATATCTTGTGGGCGAAACATGGCAGCCAATTGCCACACAGCAGTTTCCCACAAATAGTCGTGGATTGAGTTATGAAGACTTGTGTCCTTAAATGGCTGCGAGAGTGAAACTGAAAAAGGCGGAGAATGAAGAATTAGTGAAGGAATTAGAGGGCTCAGATGAATCCAGAGCAGCTTAAGACAGTCAAGAATGGGTTCATTGTTTGGAAGTCTCCGTTCAGTTTTATATGAATGTGATGTGCGCAGTGAATAACGAAGCAGAACAATGTCTTGAGGTTAATTAGGAACGCTGAGGTTAGATATATTAGTCGATGTAGCAATGAGATGACCTCAAGGCAGCGTATAATTATTTAGCAGAGCAAATGACCCAGCACAGGAGAAGAGTGATGTCTCTCATGAGCGTCGTGAGGCTAGGATGACCCAGATAAAAGTGAAACTTGTAGAGGTGTGAGGATTGTAGCAATTACTCGGGTGGATAGTAATACTCAACTGACAGAGCCTATACATTTCAGTATCGATATGCAGGGGACTACTGACAATTGTCTGTAGCTGACTTAAACGTCTTGCCCCACAGTCCATTACCATTCCATTGCAATCATCTATCTCTGGGATTTCCATGTGTAGGTGGGATGCATGGAATTCTCAGTTTGATTTGGATAATCTTAAGCATGGGGATGGGTTTCCACATGTGTCAAACACGCGGCAGACAAAAAAAAAAGGCGTGGCTGGATTAAATGAACACAGGAAACAGATTGAAGTAAAAAATAAGCTTCTAGGGCAAAGAATGTCTGGGGGGAATTGTTGAAAAGAATATTGGGTTATAAAATAAATTTTACAGGTACAAACGGCCAGTAATGTTGTGTATGTATTTTATGTGATGTGTTATGTGTTTATGGGTGGGTAAAGGAAACATGGTAGGTCTGACTTTGCTCTGGATGCAGAATACAAGACAGTTCTTATCTATGTTCCATATGTCTCTGAACAACAACAACAAAATTACATTTATAGAGTGCCTTTCATGTCAGTTTCAAGTACTGGAACGTGATAAATCTGAGTAAAGGCAAAGTAAAGATCGGAGAAAGAAAGGGAAGGCTATGCAGCAGAAAATGTGACAAGTTGAGAAGAAAAGGGAGTGGGGGGGTGGGGGGAGTTAATTTAAATATTAAACTGAAAGTAGGAGGAGTTAATTCAGTAGCAAACTGGCAATAAAGAGAACCAATGACAACAGGTTATTTAAAGAGTGATTTATAATGTTCTGCTGTGAATAATTGACACAGCCTTGTGCTGAAACCTTTTATTCTACATGGAACTTTACTCTCCTTTCCCTGCTTCACCCTCTCTTTCCTCCCCGTCCCCTTGAGTTTAACATCTCAGATTTGTATGCAGAATTTTACCAACAGTTCCAGAGTTTACTCTACGGAAAGCCATAAACAGGATTTGGTTTGATTTTGTTAAACTCTATTCTTTTTCGTTTGGGCCCTTATTTTATTTTTAAACCACTCTTGGGTCTGTGATGGGGTAACTGATATATGTATATATATATATGTTCTGTATCCTCAACTTCCCTTTGCTTGAACAATAAAGTTATTTAATGTTTATTCATTTTCACTCTGAAATTGTATGTTTGCAGGCAGTGGAATATGTTTGTTTCATAAACACCTCCCAGAGCGACTAGGGCTGGATTTAAAACCATTAACTGGGAGCACTGTTTGTTTGTGTAACCTGAGTCACACTGTCAATTGTGCAAACCAACAAAAGCAGCTCAGAGAAAATTAACCCTGTGGTTTTCACAGACATATAAAGTCAAACTATGTTTCTGCAGCTACTGACAAACTTGATTTTGAATCTCTTTGGGGTATTTGGGGAATCTTTGATTTTAATAAAAGAACTGGTAACAAGAGTAAAAGAGAAAGTTATTTTTCACAAGGTTAGCAGAATGCAAACAGTAGTCAGGGGGTCACTCAAATGTATACATACAGCTGTGGATCAGTATTATTCAGAGGGAGTGAGAAACCTTAAACCATAAAAATCTGTCAGCAGCAAACTCAGCGGTCAAAATATGAACTGGAAATTTATCCCAGTGGTTGCGTGGAGGTTTGGAGTTATGGTGTAATCCTGGGACAACCCCTGCAGAGGTCGTGCACAAAATTACACTATTCTGGAAAACATTGCAGGACAAAGAAAATCAGTGAAATGAGAGGGAAAAAAATGAGAAATTTGAAAAGCAAATTGATCAAAGCGAAGTGATCAGAGTACCGTGATTTGGGGGCTACTTTGGGGGTAGTTTTTGGTGAGTTCGGGCTATAAATCTGTTGTGATCCGCACTGAGCTGAGCTGAGCTGCAGACCTCCCTCTGGGGAGAGTGCCAGAGAGCAGAACGAGCACAGGCGGTGAGCAATGGCTTTAGTGGGGAGTCTGGCGTTCAGCGCACTTCTTCTGGCATTGCTGACCTACAGACTGATCAGCCTCTGGTGAGTTCAAACCCACTTTACCCGACATCAACAAAGTTCTGACCTCACTTTGGGGGAGAAACCCGGATCTGCAGAGTTTGTTGAAGGACTGAGATGAGGACTCATTGTGTACCCGACTTTGCCAACTTGGGTTCCCCAACTTCAGGTGATGCTCAGTCCTGGGGCAGATAGTGCCAGATTGGCCACATGGGGATAACAGTGATAACAAGTTATTGTGTTGTAAACTCTTGATCTGTTTCTGCTCTTGTAACCTGTGTTATTCAATCTGATCATAAATCTCATTCCTGCCCTTTCTCCCCTGTTGAGGAATGTTAGCTCTATGTTAAGGTGACCATACTTTGTAAACCAAATCCGGGGACACGTATATAAAAATTGAACTCACCACAATTGCTGATGCTGGCAGTACTGGAGTAGCTTGTGGGATTCATGGCTGTGTTTCTGCTGAGTGTATCTGCTGAGTCCTGTAGCTCAGTGGTTAGAGCACTCGCCTTGCAAGCGAGACACCTGGGTTCAATTCCAGGCAGCGCGAAACCTTGGGCAAGTTTCCTTACTCCACACACGTAATAATAATCCCTCCAAAACCCAAAACAATAATACGTTGGTCATTTTCAATCTACGACTGTCTGTGGGGCACTGCTGTGCACAATTGGCTGCTGCGTTTCGCCCACAAATATACAGTCAATTCACTTTACAGTATATTCTGTGAAGCGCTTTGAGACGTGAGAAGACGTGAAAAGCTCTATATCAAATGCAAGGATTATTATTATTATCTGTTTTAGGTTGTTATTGTTTTTGCTCAGTTTGTTGCTGAGCCCAAGACAGATTGTTGCTGAGCCAAATTTGGCCAGTGACACAATACAACAACTTGCATCTATATAGCACTCCTCACGCAGGGCAGACTCCTGGAGTGCTTGACAGTGGCAGAGCACGATATGGGGAGGTGACCGTAAGCACTGTCAAAGAGTATGTATGCTCACCTACTTTAAGAGACCAGAGACAGGATTCCTGACCTACACCAGACACTCAGAGGGATTCTGTTTACCTTGTTGAGGGCAATGGGATTATGTTTAATATGCGCTTGAGGGTTTGAACCTTTTTTGGAATTTTAATACATTGGAACCATCAACATCGGGGACATTTTACGAGTGAGATCTAAAAGATCTAGAGATTAATGATTGAACACACTGAACTGTGAAAAGAGTGAGAGTGACTATCCAAATAGGTTAACATCCAGAAGACAAGGTGTGTGTAGTCTAGAGTTTATAATAATACTACACTTGAACGTGGAAAGTTTGCGGAAGTTTTAGCTTGAAATCTTCCTCATTGATCATGTGCAGATGGTTTAATGGGTTAATGGTCCATTTTGTAATTGTTGCGCTTTACTTTTGAGAGAGGGCAGAGCAATGTGCTGCCTTGCTTATCCATTTGCTATGTTTGTTCAGTGGTTTGAAGTGTTTACAGTGGTTAGTTGGAACAATCCCAATGTAGTTATTGTTTAATGGCTTTTTTTTCAGCAGCTCTGCATTAGTTTTCCTTTGTCTTTGGGTAAATTTCACCTGGATTGAAATATTCGTAAATCATTTCAGACCAGCTGATGCTCAGGTGACATGTTTAATGTCACTGAACGCACCCAGCTCAAATCTGATTTATTGGTTCACTGGCATATCTGGCTGGACCACATTCTTCCATCCACCCTCTCATGCCTTGCCCATCCTCTCCTCCAACTCCAACTGCGAGGAGATGCTGGATTTCCCTGAGACCAAAATCGAGGGGATCCATTCTGCCACCTCCGCGCTCAAAAAACCACCACACCCTCCCCATCCTTCCCTCACACTCTGGCCCTTACTCATCCCTCCCTCCACAACTTTGAACCTGTCTCCCCCTCCTCTTTCACCAACAGTATAACTTGCATGTAGCCCACCACCTGCTCCCTTGACCTCATCCCTACCCCTCTCCTTACCTCCCAGCTCCAGCTCCTCGCTCCGTTACTCTCTCACCTCATCAACCTCTCCCTGCCAAATGGCACTGTTCTCATCCCCCTAAAAACAGCTGTCTCACCCCTGGCCTAGCCCCTATCCTAAAAAAAACTGGACCCATCCCTACTCACCAACTACCGCCCCATCTCCAAACTCCCTTTCCTTTTCAAAATCCTTGAACCTCTTCAATCAGGCTTCCCTGCTGCCATAGCATGGAAAGAGCCCTGGTCAAGGTGACAAATGACATTCTGTTCATCTGTGATCAGGGCTCCCTCAGCTCCTCATCCTCCTTGACCACTCTGCTGCCTTTGACACTGTGGACCACTCTATCCTCCTCCACCGCCTCTCCTCTCATCTCAATAATAATAATAATAATAATCCTTGCATTTGATATAGCGCTTTTCACGTCTGGAGGACGTCCCAAAGCGCTTCACAGAACACACTGTAAAGTGAATTGACTGTATATTTGTGGGCGAACGCGGCAGCCAATTGCGCACAGCAATGTCCCACAAACAGTCATAGATTGAAAATGACCAATTTATTATTGTTTTTTGGTTTTTGGAGGGAATATTATTAGACGTGTGGAGTAAGGATACTTGCCCAAGGTTTCGCCCTCTGCCTGGAATTGAACTCAGGTCTCTCGCTTGCAAAGCGAGTGCTCTAATCACTGAGCTACAGGACTCCACTCACTGAGCTACAGGACTCCACGTCCTCAACCTTCAACCTTCAAGGCTCAGTCCTTAAATGGTTCAGATCCTATCTCTCACACCAATTCCACTTGGTCTCCACAAATGGCTTCTCCTCCAGTCCCCGCACCAGCTTGTGCGGTGTTCCTCAGGGCTCTGTCCTCGGTCCTCACCTCTTCAACCTGTACATCCTCCCTCTTGGTGTCATCATCTGCAAACATGGGGTCAACTTCCATATGTATGCGGATGACACCAAACTCTACCTCTCTGTCTCCATTCTCGACTCCAGGACAACTGCTAGGTCCTGAATGTCTGTAAAAACATCAAGTCCTGGATGAGAGCCAACTTTCTACAATTGAACATCAGCAGAAGATCCAGGCCCCCCTGACTGGCTCATTCCAGCGCCTCAGCACCTCAGGCACTGGCAGCATCAGCATCCACAGTTGCCCACACCACCTCACCAAGCCAGTCAGGAACCTGGGCATCTTGTTTGACCCTCAACTGTCCTTCCTCCAACACACCCATGCCATGACCCGCTCTGCCTTCCCCCAACTCTGCAACATTGCCCAACACTGCCTCACCTCTCAGGCCATCGAAACCCTTATACATTACTTCATTACAACCAGGCTTAGTTATTTCAACACCCTGCTTGTCGGCCTCCCCAACTCTTTTCTCCACAAGCTGCAGATCATCCAGAACTCTGCATCTCCTGTCCTCTCCCACACCAGCTTCCGTGACCTCATCATACCCACCCTCACCTAACCCTAATCCCATCCCTCAGAGGATAAGGTTCAAAATTCTGGTTCTCACCTTCAAGACCCTCCATGGCCTTGCCCCTTCCTACCTCTCTGACCTGCTAACTCCTTATCAACCTGTCTGCTCCCTCCTCTCAGCAGGCTGCATGTGGAGTCCTGTAGCTCAGTGGTTAGAGCACTCGCTTTGCAAGTGAGAGACCTGAGTTCAATTCCCGGCAGGGCGAAATGTTAGGCAAGTTTCCTTACTCACAAGCCTCTGTTTACCTAGTAGGAACCTGGTTGTTAGTCGATTGGTGGGTCACTTTTCCGGGGGTAATAATTCCTTCAAAAAATAATAATAATAAATTTGTCACTCAATTCACGACTGTTTGAGGAACATTGCTGTGCTGGATTTCATGCACAAAATATACAGTCAATTCATTTTACAGTATATTCTGTGAAGCGTTTTGAGATGTCTAGAAGACGTGATAAGGCACTATATCAAATGCAAGGATTATTATTATATATAGAATTCTCAGTCTGGTTTGGATATTCATAAGCAGGATGATAGGTGTCAGCAGCAGATATCCAATTGATCAAATAAAAAGCTGAATTGTGCATTGCATCTGGAGAGGCACTGCATTCCTTTCATTTTGATTTGTAGAATTTTGTTGATTTAGTTTGTTACCTTTGAACCGCCTGATTTTATTGTTGACTCCATGTTGTAACACATTTGAATTAATCCTACTGCCAAATGCGATATTCTTTCAACTGTATGGTGCAATGCTACATTATTAAATTGCTGTGCACAAAATGGCTGCCACGTTTCACCCACAAAATACACATTCACTAAACTTTACAATATATTCTGTGAAGCACTTGGAGATATCTCAATGACGTGATAAGGCGCATTATCAAATGTATTAGGCTTGACTGTAGGAGAAAAGGAGATATAGATAGGCTTTTGATAATTGGTTTATTGATTGAACAAGTTATTGTTGAACTTTGTAGCCAGTTTGTAAATTTACCCCTTTGTAAATAATACAATCCACGATGGTATAATGTTTATTGTATAAAGTGATTCATAAGTTTTAACAATCTGTAATCAAATTATGCTACATATAATGACAAAATGACAGTACAACACATCTATGTGAGAAAAACATTTATCACACAGCATGCACTCAGGGGTTGCTCAGTACTCCAAACAAACAACACACCTCAAAACACACAGCAGAGATCAGCCACTGGAAATCCCTGGAACAACTGATTCTGTAACACAAAACTTCGGAAGACAGACAATCCCCAATACTGTTTTTTAACCGGCACCAGCGCAGAGTTCAGCCTCTGGAATCGCCCTTCAGATATAGCTGATCCTCACAGTACCTTACAGTCCTTAACACTGAATTCTCAAAGTCACAGAGCGTGGCCCTATCTTCATCAGGATATGCAGCATACACCAGCATCTCTCTCCTGCTTTCTAGCCTATCTACTGAGTCTCAGACCTGGCACTCGTTTCCATAACCAATACTTAACAGGAACTAGCGTCCGGTAAACCCTTGGACCAAACCAGTCGTACACAACAACAGTAGTACTGACGATTCAGGGATGACAACATGTATCCAGGCACTGTTTCGACAGACTAAACAGCAGACCTGGGATCACAACTTGATATACACTGGAGAGATCACAGAACTATCACAGAGATTGGCTCCTATAACTCAACAGAAACAATCAGATCTTAGCCCAGCACCTCACTTGTGCTGCTGATCGTTCCTTCTCTTTCACTTTTAATGGTCACTTTCTCACTGGAGGTAAATTCCCTCACCCCTGTACATATACATAGATACAGTAGAATCAATATCGATTCCACTGGGAAGTACACTGACCCTCTACACAACTCCAACTATTTCAAAGTTACATCTTTCTTTTAGGTGTTTCTAACTCCATCTCTCCTTGTCACAGAGATAGCCCCCACCCTTCGCAGGCTGCTTTGCACAGAGAGATATGGACAACGTACTTCTCAGCCTTGAGATAGGCAGGTGTCTGAGGCTGCAGCCTTTTCTTTCTGTGGTCCATTGATCTTGCATCTGTGCTCAAGGACCCATTGCTCATTATCTCAGAGGAGTGAACATCTTCCCAGAAAAATATGAAATGTAATCAGATGCTAACCTCAGCCCGTCCAGCAAAGCTACCTTTAACCATTTAACTATCAAACCTTCTGGAACATTCGGTTGCTGTTTGAAATATACCAAGGCACTCTGAGGTGATAGTTGGTATATTTCAACACCTTTCATCATCCATAACAGTTTTACTTTGGTACATTATTTTAATCTGATATCTAAAGTAGGAATATTACAGTATTAAAAGTAGGTGTCAGTCTAGCTCAATTGATTGTGCTCTTGCATCTGAATCAAAAGGTTGTAAGTTCAAGCCCCATGTTGGTACTTTGAACTCATAGTCGAGACCAGGTATGGCCAACCTGGCGCTCGCGGCCCGAATCCGGGCCATGTGACAATTTTACACATGTGGCATGTGGGCTGCAAGTTGACCATCCCTGATCTAGTCTGTTACTCCAATGCAATGCTGGAGGAATGCTGCATTGGTGGAGGTGCTGTGTTTCAGATAAGGCATTAAATTAAGGTGCTTCCCGTTTGTTGAATTTGCTGTGTACAAATTGGCTGCTGTGTTTGCTTATAACCTCAGTCACTATACTTTACAGAAGATCCCTGTACAATGGGACACAATTGATGCACTACAGGATTCACATGCGCAGAAAAACATCTGTCTTGTTTTAATTAGGTTTCAAAAACTTGTTCTTTTATTAAAACAAAATGAGGGGATGTAAATATAAAAAAAGCCAGTAACAGACATAAAAAGGAATTAATATTAAGGGGTGAAGGCTCGTGTGGAGCATTAACACTAGCATGGACTAGTTGGGCTTGTTTCTGTGTTGTATCATTCATATAACACAAACCATACCAACCCGGCCATTCCTTTCACTCAGTGGACTCTGGCCTTACTTCATGCCCCTCCCTGCCAGCCCCACCATCGACAGTTTGACTTTCAACCTTTCTGCCCACTTTATGGAATTTCACCCCCTTCCTCACATCTTTCAAAGTCATTTTTAAGGTTCACTTAGCTGCATAATCTTATCTATAACCAGGCGGGGTGACACTTTAGGCAAGTTTCCTTACTCTACAAGCCTATTTACTTAGCAGTAAGTAGGATTGTTAGCCGATTGGCGGATTGCTTTCAGAGCATAATAATCCCTTCAAAAGTTTTTAAGAAATTTGGTCACTCAATCCATGACTATTGGTGAAACATTGCTGTGTGCAATCGGTTGCCAGGTTTCACCCATAAAATGTACAGTCAATTCACTTTACAGTATACTCTGTGAAGCACTTTGAGACGTCTTAATGACATTATAAGGCGCTGTATCAAATGCAAGGATTATTATTAATATAGCCATGCCCAGTTTAATGGTGAGGAAATAGATGAGAGTCACACATTATTGATCTTATCACTTTCTCTGTCACTGTAAGGAAATGCAGCTGCTTTTGTCTCTTCATTTGTCCAGTGAGACTGGGCTGGAAAGGATGCTCATCTGATGTGGTAGGTTTCACAGTTAAACTGCTAATGTCAATTTCCTTGTTTTGCAGCAACAAGATGGGTGTGTTCAAAGAAGTGGATCAAATTGAGCCTGGCAGCTGCCATCTGATTGAAGGAATTAGTACGTAAGGAAATTTCATTATTCACTGTAATTCATCCCTATGAAGAGTGTTTCAGTCAATAAATATAGTTGCTCTGATTTGTGTGGTGTAAATTAAAATATGCTGTCTAGATTGTCACTTCAGCACAGTATTCGAGGAGCACTGCAATGATGGAGGTACCATCCATTGGCTGAGATGTTAATCCAATGTCTGTTGTTAATCTACATGTTGAAATGGATGAACACCATGGCACTAGTCAAAAAAAGAGAAGGGACTTTCTCCCAATGACTTGTCCAACAATGAACCTGAATAAAATTTGTGGGACATTGCTATGCATGCTGTGCTGTGTTGCCCTACAAAATAGAATCATGGAATTTTACAGCACAGAAGGAGGCCATTTGGACTATCGTGCCCATGCTGGCTCTTTGAAAGACCTATCCAATTCATCTCCTGCTCTTACCCCATGGCCCTGCAATTTTTTCCTTTTCAAGTACCTATCCAATTCCCTTTTGAAAGCTACTATCAAATCTGCTTACAACAACAACAACAACTTGGATTTATATGGCCCCCTCCACGCTGGACGGCGTCTCAGAGCACTTTACAGTAACGGATCCCGGGGCTGAGCCAGGGGGAGGGGGAGGAAGGTGACCAAAGGCACGGTAGAAAAAAAAGGTCTTCAGCAGAGACCTGAAAATGGGAAGGGAGGAAGCGAGATAAAGGCAGTGAGGAAGGCAGTTCCAGAACCTCGGGGCATAGTGGCTGAAGGCACGGCCGCCCAGGGTGGAGCGGAGGACTCGGGGGACGAGGAGGAGGCCAGACCCGAAGGAACGAAGTCAACGGGTACTGCTTTGAGGAGAGAGGAGGTCAGAGAGGTAGGGGGGTACAGAGGAGTGCAGGGACTTGAATACAAGGGTGAGGATCTTGAAATCGATTCTCTCTGGGACAGGCAGTCAGTGCAGTCTGGCAAGGACTGGGGTGATCGGGGAGTGGAGTTTCGTGCCGGTGAGAATGCAGGTGGCAGAGTTTTGAATGATTTGGATTTTATGGATGGTAGTGGATGGGAGACCGGCGAGGAGGGTGTTAGAGTAGTCCGAGAGGTGACACAGGTATGGACCAGGGTTTCAGCAGTTTTTGGGGAGAGGTATTGGCGGAGACGGGCGATGTCGTCGGAGGTGGTAGAAGGCAGTGCTGGTGAGGGACCGGATGTGGGGGAGGAAGGATAATTGGGGGTCGAACCTGACGCCTACCCGTTGACTTCGTTCCTCTGGGTCTGGCCTCCTCCTCGTCCCCCGAGACCTCCGCTGCACCCTCGGTGGCCGTGCCTTCAGCCACTGTGCCCCGAGGTTCTGGAACTGCCTTCCTCATTCCCTTCGTCTCGCTCCCTCCCTTCCCATTTTCAGGTCTCTGCTGAAGACCTTTCTCTTCGACCGCGCCTTTTGTCGGAGAGTTTTAGTGGGAGGTCGAGTAGGTGGAGGATGTGAGAGCCATGAGATTTTAGACATTGACGAGAGCCAAAGAGTATGGCTTCTATCTTGTGAACGTTCAGCTGAAGGAAGTTTGCGCTCATCCAACCCCTAAGATCTTAGGGTTAGGCTGACAGATCATCAAGGGACTGGGGGTCGCAAAGTGAGGTGGAAAACTAGAGTTGGGTGTCATCTGCATACATGTGGAAGTGTACCCCATGTCTACAGATGACATCCCCAAGAGGGAGCATGTAGATCAGAAAGAGGAGGGGGCCAAGGATGGATCCTTGGGGTACCCCACAGGTGACCGAGTGAATGATTCCAGACAAACAATACACATACAATATATTTTACATTAAATCCTGTGAAGCACTTTGAGATACCCCTATGAAAGGTATTATATCGAATACAAGCCAAGATGTAAAGAAGAAAAATGGATCCCAATATGGTACAAATCTTTAGTCTTTTGAACTTGCCCAACTTATTAAGCATAAATGCAGGATTGCAACAGAACCTGTCAGGGACTGGTTCAAAACTAAGGTAACAGCTCTTGATCATATGTCTCCCACGTTAACAATGGCTACTTGGGTGGAAAAGGGTCCTATTTTGTAAAGTTCTTGGAGTGAAAAACCCTGTGGAATCCTCACCTGCTGGGGCATGAACTACATGATTCAACAATTCGCCCTTTTTACAATTCTACTCAATAGAATGCAGTGTGGCTGATCTGCTAAACAGCAGACATTCTCCTTGCACGTTCCTGTTGCATTTTTGCTTCGTAATTGTGTTTTATCCCTCCACAATCTTCAGATATTCATAAGAACAGGGATAGCCAGTGTTTATGCAGAGTGTTCAGCTGATCAGTTGAACAGTTTCTGCTCAACCTGCACTTGTCATGACCACAGCCCATGATTATTGTCTGAATATTTACTGTCCTTAATCCCTCCAAGATGCTGCCCCGTGTGAAGGGCGCTATATAAATGCAAGTTCTTGTTGTCCAGAAGAAAGCCTGGTCAAGAAGTAGAGAAGAAAAATAAACCCTGGTATGCTACTAATGTAGCATTAGTTGGGGTCTTGATGGATTTTTTTGTTGACACTGAACTGGCTGATTTCCTGTTGTAGACTATGGCTCTGAAGATATCACTGTCCTCCCTGGAGGGCTGGCTCTTGTTAGCTCGGTGAGTTGCTATCTAATATTTTCCACATGAATAACTTTATCATATGTTAAAAGCATCATGAAGCTTCAGAAGACACATAGTTATATATATAAATAAAAAAAATTGTTCAGGGTTTAATAGAATCAGTAGTGTGTTTATTTTTTTACAAGCCTGCACTGGGGATGTAGTGCATCAGATGTTTTGTCCACAAAATACACACAGTCACACCATTCTATAGTAAATCCTGTGAATCCACTTGAGACGTGTAACAATGTGATAAGGCATTATATCAAATGCAAGAATTATTATTATTTTATTATTATTTTGTTTTGTTTTCCTTAGCTGCTCTTGCATTAAGTCCCACATCAAGACTTGAACTCACATAGTCTAAGCTCACATACTCAAATGCAGCACTTGGGAGTATGTTGCATTATTGGAGGTGCCGTTCTTCGGATGAGATGTTAAACCAAGGTCCTGTCTGCCTATTCAGGTAGATGTTAAACATCTCATGGCACTATTCGAAAAGAGAAAGGAGTTTTTCCCAGTGTCCTGGCCAACAATCCCCCAAATAAAATTGGTCACTCAATTCATAGCTGTTTGTGGGATATTGCTGTGCGCAATTGTGCTGCCACATTTGCCTACGAATACAAGTCACTTCATTTCACAGTACAGTGAAATTCTGTGGAACACTTTGAGATACTCTTCTGATGTGGTACAGCACTATACCAAAATGCAATGATTATTAAAAACTCATGTACAATATTGTCAGAAATTGTAAGAAAAGCAAAGAAGGAGGCCATTTGGCCCATTGTGTCTGCACTATCTCTCTCCGAAAGAGCTGTTCCCTTCCCCTGTGTTGTGTACTTATGTTTGTTTATGGGGCATTGCCATGTGCAAATTGGCTGCCATATTTAGCTACAAAATACACAGCATTTACTCTACAATACTCAACAAACTTTACTCTACAGTAAAGTATAGTGCTACTACTGTGATGTGCTTTGCGATATTTCAATGATGTGATCAGACACTGTATCAAATTCAAGAATTATTCTTAATATTTCGTTTAATTCTCTGTGATTTCAAGGGTCTGAAATATCCACACATACACAGCTTTGCTCCTGATAAGCCAGGGCAAATTCTACTTGTGAATCTGAATGAGCCGGTGCTGAGAGCCATTGAGCTGAGACTGAGCCGTGGTTTTGATGTGGATTCCTTCAATCCACATGGGATAAGCACGTACATCCACAAAGGTAAGATGTATTCTACTGTATTTCGGCAACCAGAGAGAATTTGTGATTCAAATCAGTGCTTCTGAAAGCTGATAGAAGTGGAATAGTAAATCTGCAGGCACAAAAGAGAAGCTTGGATGAAGAAGGCCCAATGGCTCATTTGTTTCTTTTTGCTCGGTCAAGTATCTTGAAGCATGTGAAAACCCATCAATCATAACTGCTATATGAATAGGAATTTTAGCTCAAGGTTCTCCTGTCCAAAGTGTCTTAACAGTTACAGGGTCATTTTTAATGTAGATTTGTTGTCATTTTAACTTCTATTGTGGGAAATGGTTCATCTTGATCTGGGGATGTTGGGGAGGGGGCGGGAAATTGAATTCTATCTAACCCACTCCTGAGAGAGGCAACAAAACACAGGCAACCGTTCAAGAAGGTAAAGGTCAATATAGTTTCTACTGGAACCTGCAGAGAAACTAAGAAAAAACTCCAGAATATTAATCCAGCCTTGCAGGCTTACAGCTCCAGGCACTTGTACTCTACAGATACAGTTCAGTGTAACTAATGTGGGTTTATAACAATCAGTCATCTTGTCTTATGCTCACAATCTTCAGGCATCTTCAAACCTGCTTGCTCTTTCTTTTAAAAAATAAGTTAGTCGACATACCATTCATTACCTGCTTTTACAGATTATTAATTTCACTTATCCATTCCTGTCTGTCAGGGAGGAGGCAAGGAGTGCTTATTAGGGGAGGGGTGAGGGGGGATTTTTGTAATCTTTAATCTTACTTGAGGCTCGCTAAAACTTTGTACAATTCTCTAATCATGATCTTACATGCCAAACCTTTGATAACAACCAATCTTCACTTAGTTACTTAGATATGACAGATATTGAGCTGCATACCCTTCTGTTCTCACTAGAGAGGACTTATTTTCTGCTTTTGCTTGATTTTTAGACAATACGGTGTACCTTTTTGTGGTCAATCACCCACAGCATACCAGCACAGTGGAGATTTTTAAATTCGAAGAGGAACAAAATAGTTTGACTCATTTAAAGACTATCCGACATGAACTCCTCCACAGGTACGGCACACAAAACCTGAGCAGCTGCTCCTGTTCGATATGAAATTTAAGATACATTCCAGTGTGATTGTGAACCTTGTAGACAAAGAAAGGCCTTGGTCTGTGCTGTTAGTTGGTCAACAGCCATGGGCACCAACAATTGCTCTCAGTAACTCAGGGCTACAGTGGATAAAATTAGACAGTGTTCCTCCTTCTGATTGCTGTCAGTGCCTTCTGTGGGTGGAGGGTGGGTGAAGACAGGAATAGGCTCGGTTGTGATAACCTCTCTTCCTCTGTGTTACCACCAGCAGTAGGTGTCCAGACTCACACATAATGAATGTCCACTTGGGTGAGGTAGTGGAGGGTGCTAGCTGTTGAATCAAACACCAGTGTGAATCGGTGTCTTTGTGAGAAGTGTTTGGGGCAGGGGGATACAAAACAAAAACAGAAGAATGGAAGAATCAACAGCTACAGTGGAAGCCTGTTAAACCAGACACATCTGGGACGGCTGTTCTGTCAGTTTAAGAGGCGTCTGAGGTTACCTGGATGTCTCTTACCCACCCAGCAGAGGAGTGGCAGCACATCTCCCTCCCATTGCTGTTTCCATTGGAAGGGGACCAGTTAGCGACGGACATCAAGTCCTGGACGAGAGCCAATTTTCTACAGCTGAACGTCAGCAAGACCGAGGCTCTCCTGATTGGCTCACGCCAGCACCTCAGGCACTGGCAGCATCAGCATCCACAGATGCACATTCCACCTCACCAAGCCAGTCAGGAACCTGGGCATCTTGTTCAACCCTCAACTGTCTTTTTTCCCCCCATATCCATGTCATGACCTGCTCTGCCTTCCCCCACCTCCAGAATATTGCCCAACTCTGCCACTGCCTCACGCCTCAGGCCAACAAACCCCTCATACACGTATTCGTCACCTCAAGGCTCCACTATGGAAACTCCCTCTTTGTCGGCCTCCCCAATTCGTCCCTCCACAAGCTGCAGATCATCCAGAACTCTACAGCTCGTGTCCTCTTCAGCACCAGGCTCCATGATCCCATCACCCCCACCTCGCCTGGCTCCACTGGCTCCCTATCCCGCAGAGGATAGAATTCAAAAACCTTGTCCTCACTTTCAAGGCCCTCCACGGCCTTGCCCCCTCCTACCTCTCTGACCTGCTGACCCCCTATCAACCTGTCCGCTCCCTCCATTCAGGAGGCTCCAGTCTGCTCCATGTTTCCCTCCCAATCCACCCTATCATCGGTGGCCGGGCTTTCAGCCAATCTTTGAAACTCCATCCCACAATCCCTTTGCCTTGTTCCCTCTCTTTCCTCCTTCAAGGCACAACTCAAGACCCTCCTTTTCGACCATGCCTTCAACCACCCTCATACCCCCTCTGCCCTCCCTCATCCCAAACCTATCCCCCCCTTGCTAGGGTCCTGTTGCCCAACTGTTCAGTGCCTTGGGACGTTCGCCTGACATGAGATGTAATTTTGTTGTTGTTGTTGTTCTACTGTCTTGGTGCATCCTAAAGTTGCTTCTGGGTTTACCTTTTCAATCCCATTTAAAATGTTTATACGCCTCTTTGAGTCTTCTCTTGATATCGACAAGCTGTAGCTTGTCTAATGGTTGCTCATAGCACATTCCTCAAACCGATTCACACTGGTGTTTGGGGGTAGGAGGATGGCTGAAGGCACGGTCGAAAAGGAGGGTCTTGAGTCGTGCCTTGAAGGCGGACAGGTTGATGGAGATTTTCCTCATTCTCTCCTCTGCACTGTTCCAAGGGCCTGAGTAGTTCCCTTTTATAGCAGAACTGCATGCAGTATTCTAGATGCAGTCAGACCAGAGCACTGTAAAGCCTGAGAATGACGTCTAGCGATCTAAACTCAACTGACAAGCAATTTAGGCCAGCGTCCTGTTTAACTTGTTTATGCCAGTGGAAAGTCTGAGTGTTGTACTTTGAAATTGACTGATTGCTTCACAATGATGGACAGCATTACATTGGTCTTTGGGGAAACTTTCAGGAGAGACCAATGATCAACAGTCCCTGCCTTTTCTGAAACTTTTAAAGTGCTTTGAGGCATCTCAAAGACGTGAAAAGCGCTATATCAAATGCAATGATTATTAGTATTATTATAAGCTGGTGATGAAAGCTTGTTTGCTACATAAAGAAAAGCACTGAATTAATAACAGAAGCGGAGCAAGATTACTCACTAATCTGGAGTTTTGTACAGTTAAAGGGAAAGGGGGCATGATAAGCATGATAATGATAAGGGCATTACTTCACCAGATTTTGATTCAATGAGGACCTTATGTGAGTGCTGGATGATATAAGCGTTAAATGCAGGGTTGCATAAACTAGAATGTAATAAGGTCCAGACAGAGCAGATATTACAACTGGCACAGGTGAAGCTTTCTCCTGGCTTCTGTGTGGTGAATACAAATAGAATTTTCAGAGGTGGTCATTTCAGAAAAGTAGGGCAGAATTAGTTTCCCAGGAAATGTACTGGTCCAGAATGTATCTGACAACGGTTTAAACGTTGAGAATGAGGATGCATTGTTCCGAAAAACGGTGGCCAGAACATTGCCCAGAGTTTTGGCTCACTGTAGTGAGTGACACCAACCTTCGTGGCTTACAGTAAAGAATGGTCGTTTGGCTCAGGTATTGGAGGGCACCTGGCACCTGTGGCATTGAACTCCCAACACACTGTCAGTCTTCAGGAAGGGAGAAAATTAGCAACCTCCCCCAAATCCCGTTTCTCTGTTAATCTCTATATTTCTCCCCTCAACAAATTTGCATATTCTGATCACAAATTCTATCCAGTTAGGACTTTTCACAAAGACTTTCCTGTTTTGTATGTTAGCCTCAAAGAGAATTTACAAACCCAAGAAATACCTGAATGTATGATGGCTTTCTTCCCAGTTTTTTCAGTCTGTTCTTTTATCTCTTACAGTGTGAATGATATTGTGGCGCTAGGACCTGACAGTTTCTATGCCACCAATGACCATTATTTCAGTCATGACTCCCTGACCTTCGTGGAGTTGACTTTGGACTTGTATTGGTGCAATGTCATCTACTACAGTCCAGCAGAGGTAAAAGAAGTGGCAACAGGATTTAATTTCGCCAATGGAATTAACCTGTCTCCTGATGGAAAGTGAGTTTTCTTTGTCAGTCTTCTCATTGTTAATGAGTGTTGTAAATGTTAATTTATCTGGAAATGCTTTTATGGATTCTTCACCAATAAATGAGTTTTTATTGAAGATGTTCATATTGGGGAATGATACATTTGTACATAGTCTTCTACATTTGCCATAGATTTTGAGGACCATAAGTGAAAATCATTGCACTGTACTGAGATAAAGCCCCTTCAGTCATATCCCACAATAACAGCCTTTACTGAACCAGTGCGACTGCAGTTTTATGTACCCACCTTCCTTTTAATTGCAGAAGATGACTTAAGGTTAAATTAAGATTGTCAATGTTGTTCTATGGCTGTGCACCCTTCAGGATCTGACCACGAAGGATACTTTCAGCTCTCTCCCCTCACAAAGTGTTTACATACATCGATCACAGATTCCATCCAATGTCATGTTCACCCCTTTATTTTCTATGCCTGTCTGTTGTTTAAAATATGTTCTGCAAAGTTTATGTGTTCGCTAAAAGCATTAGCCAGTGTGAGTGCGATTAGTAATTACCGATTGCGCTCGAGGAACCTTGTAAAGTGTCGAAGTTCAGTAGAACTAGCTCATGCGCATTATAAATATATTGAGTAGCCCTTTAATACAAGTTTTATATATTTAACGTTGTTTTTGATACTTATGTCGCCAGCAGGTCTTCTAAGGCATCGGTTACAACAATTTGGCGGGAAAGTTCCCATTCTAAAATGCAAATTAAAGATCTAGTAATTGGTGCTATCCAATTGGACTGCCATAAGGATCAGTGCTTGGGCCTCAACTATTTACAATCTGCATCAACAATCTAGATGAGGACATCGAATTAATATATCCAAATTCGGGGATGATCCTAAATTAGGAGAGAGAGTGAACACTGAGGATGACATTAAAAAAATGCAACAAGATATAGATAGGCTAGGTGAGTGGGCAAATAGGTGGCAGATGTAGTATAATGTAGGGAAGTGTGAAGTCATCCACCTAGGTGGCAAAAACAGTAGAGCAGATTATTTTTTAGAAGGGAAGAGACTAGATAGTGCTAGCGTTCAGAGGGACTTGGGTGTCCTTGTACACCAGTCACAAAAAGTTAGTTTGCAGATACAGCAAGCAGTTAGAAAGTGTTAGGGTATCGGACTTGTTTGCAACCGATCCTGCACCCAGAAAATAAGTTTGATCTTGACAAACCAAAACGGCGGATTTTAACAGTTTATTAAGCATACAAATAATGTTGGTTATACAGAATTAATGCAATATAAAATAATAGAGCAATACTACCAGTCCTTCTGCAGTCTGCCCTGGAGAGATCTCTAAAGACCACCTCTTTACCCAAGCTTATATATCTTTTTCTTTTCTTTGTCTGCCTTATTTGGGCTTGTTTCTCACTATTCTAGTGCTTAATCAGAACACTTTCTTATCTAAAAGTACAGAAAGAGGAGGCCAATCAGGGCATACAACATCTCCTGGTTTAAACCAGTTTATCTGGCATTTGGCTCCCTTGGAGTTAACCTCTGGTAACCTCTGCCGACCACTGCAGTCTGTGTTACTTGTAAGACATATATGCATTCTAACAGAAGGCTAATGGTATGTTGGCATTTGTTACAAAAAGGTTAGAATATAAGAGTAGGGAAGTCTTGCTGCAACTGTATAAGGCCCCGTTGAGACCGCACCTGGAGTATTGTGTGCTGTTTTGGTCTCCTTATTTAAGAAAGGATATATTCGCCTTGGAGGGGGTACAATTTAGATTCACTAGGTTGGTACCAGGGATGAGGGGGATTAGTTATGAGGATAGGTTGAGCAATTTAGGCCTATATTCTCTAGAATATAGAAGAATGAGAGATGATCTTATAGAAACCTATAAGATTATTAAGGGGCACGACAGAATAGATAGTGGGAGACTTTTTCCCCTGGTTGGAGAAATTATAACCAGGGGTCACAGTCTTAAAATTAGGGGTAAGCCCTTTTGCACTGAGTTGAGGAAAAACTTCTTCAATCAGAGGGCAGTGAATTTATGGAATTCTCTACCCCAAAGGGTTGTGAATGCTCAGTCCTTGAACAAATTCAAGACTGAGATTGATAGATTTCTTGTGAATAAATGGATTAAGGGATATGGGGATAAGGCAGGTAAATGGAGTTAGAATAGATCAGCCATAATCTTATTGAATGGCAGGGCAGGCTAGAGGGACCGAATGGCCTACTCCTGCTCCTAATTCTTATGTTCTGAAAGGTCGGTTGGGATTTTATGGATCTGAACTGTAGCTTGGCTCTATTTTGTATCCTAGATCTTCTATAACTTGACGAAGCAGGTCTGGAATCTCTTGATCTATCTGCCATTTAGGTTGTCTGTAACTGTGCTTATTCTTTTTGATTCTTACTAGATTATAAAGAACATTTCCTCAGATGGTCATCCACCTGTTTATTTTAAAGATATTGGTGTGAACTCATTAAGTTGGATGTTTATTGTACAAAAGAGGGCTTCTGTGGTAAAAGAACTTTCTTCTAATCACAAGTCTTGCTGGACACTACAAAAAACACACTTTATATCCTGGACAGTAAAATAATTGCAAAATCTCTACCATTGTTCTGCTGTTTAATGCCATTTGATCTTTCAGTTAGTCACGATTACAAAGATATTTTACTTCAAGAGGTCAGTGCATTTCAATGTGCTTTATTAGATTACAATTAACTGGAAATTAATTGGTGGTTTTACATTTCAGGCACGTCTTTGTTGCAGATGTTATGGATCAGAGCATCCACGTCATGCAAGTAAATCCCAACAAGACATTGACTCGAGTGAAGGTACGATTGTCACTTAGAATCTGCTCTCCTCCTTGGAGAGGTGTGTTCTAATCCTTGGACTGTCAGCAAACGTAACACTTAGTTTGTCAACAAATATGATTCTTAGATTGTCAACACACATTTATTTTGCTATTCTGCTCCCTCTCACAGCACCCTCTGCTGGTTGTCTATGAGTGTGGCGGCCGGGGAGGGTGGGTTGTCATGTCCTCAACAGTTGAGTGGTCTTGTCAACACTCACTGCCAAGGCTCACAAATGAACAATGCACATAGGCAGAGGATCGGAGGCAACCAGTGTCCACAGAGCCGCACCTCAGCAAGTGGAGGCCAGGCTAAGAACAGAGAAGCATATGCCAATTGGGAGAAAATTGGAAAAAATAATTGGATTCACTAAATTTGAAAGAAAGAGATTACGAATTTGATTATGAAAACATTCAGTGGAGACACAAGAGACAAACTTGACGTGACAGTAAAAGATCATTGTAAAATAACGTGCAATCTGAGCACTACAAGGTCAACAAGTATTAGATCAGGCGAAAACCTCGGGATAGTTTTCTCGTACTCCATGTTTATGTCATTGGAAACACTAGATTTTCTTTCACAGTTATTGATCTCTTGACTTTTTCAGGGGATATTTCTTGTTCCTTGATATGGGATTCAATGCCATTCATATGCCTCTGTTTACCTAGCAATAAGTAGGAACCCGGTTGTTAGTCGATTGGCGAATTGCTTTTTTGGAGATAATAATCCTTCAAAAACACGAACAAAAAAATAATTTGGCCACTCAATCCACAACTATTTGTGGGACACTGCTTTGCGCAATTGACTGCTGCGTTTCGCCCACAAATATGCAGTCAATTCACATTACAGTATATACTGTGAAGCACTTTGAGATGTCCAGAAGATGTGAAAAGCGCTATATTAAATGCAAGGAATATTATATTAGCACTGGAGGTTTAGGAGAACATTTTCAATATTTTTTTAAAAAACATTTCATATTTGCATATTAAATTCAAATAGAGCAAAATAGTTTGACGTCTTGTACCCAGGAATACATACTGTCAATTCTAACATTGCTTGCTTGAAGGTCTTGAATGTAGGAACTGGGGTGGACAATATTGAGGTGGACAGCAAGACTGGAGATGTTTGGGTTGGCTGTCATCCTGTTGCTTGGAAACTTATTTCCTACAATCCTGAAAAGCCTGCATTATCTGAGGTTTGTTGCTTAAATTGTAATTAATAAATGGTACAACTCATCTGCTACTCACCTGCTTTATTAATGTAATGCATTCATTACATTTTAGACTAATATTTTAACAGGAAAGGCAAAATTACACTATGTCAAATACAATAATTATACGTTAGTATTATTAATATGTAAACAATTATTAAACTTCTTTTATTTCGCTCCACACATACAGGTAATCAGAGTGCAAAACATTCTTTCCAATGAACCAAAAGTGACCCAGGTGTATGTGAACAATGGCTCGGTTCTTCAAGGCTCGTCCGTTGCCACGGTTTATGAAGACAAACTGCTCATTGGAACCATTTTCCATAAAGCTGTTTACTGTGAGCTCAGGGATAGGGGAATTCATTTCTAGTGACCAGGGGAAAGGCATGCTGATCTGGGCAAAGTAACTAAATCCCTGTGAAGTGAAATATTACTATTGTATTGTAGATCTTTCTCATTTGTCCTTTGATGACTGGGAACTCAATGTTATTTCCTGTAATTCAAATTGCAGCAATGGTGAATGAATAATGAGTTTTGTAATTCTTGATAATTGTTCTTTGGTAACTTTGTTATTGAATTTAGTACAGGGGAATCCTGCTTTAACACTCTTTAATTGAGTGCTGCCTCGAGTGGACCCAGGTTAATTGGAAGAACATTTTTTGTGGCTCACTTATAACAATGTCACTTGTAACAATTGTTAAAGCAATATCAGTGAGACACTGGTGCCGGCTATAACAAGGTTCCCCCATAATATAATAGTTTAATGGTGGTGTGGGGATAATGAGGATAATTTTATGTACTCAGTGCAAATTAAAAAAAAATCTTTTAACAGTAATTTGAAAAACTCAGAAACTCACTATTTCAGGTGCATCGTGAGAGTAGAATCATTCACATGATCAGAAGATGGGTTCGGATGAAGAAGGCCCTTTGTCCCATTTGATCTCAGGGTTATATTCAGATCAATAATTGTGTCTTAATTAGTAACTCAATGAAAAGTATAACTAATAATAATAATAAGTCCTTGTCTGGGGTGTTATTGCTGAGCATTGTATGAATATTGTTTGTGCTGTTACCCGACAAAAAAAAACCTGCACAATTTTTATAATCTATTAGATGAAGACATTCACCACTTTGATGCCATAACTACTGTAATAGCATTTGTCTATCTCGATTGTGTAAACATTGTAAAGTGCTGTGTGATTCTATAACAGTTTTAAACAGCTAGACTTTAAATACAGTATTTTTACATAGAGATGATTATGGTCTCAGCAAATCCCATTGTAACAGAAAGTTATCACTCAATACTTTCGAGGTTTATTTGCCTTGGAGTACCTTTTGTGAACTTTATTTCTGAATTTTCTTCTGTCGCTGTTTGTCTTGAATTTTAAAGGGGCACTGTCACACAAAAGTTTGGCAAGTTCTTCCTTGCGTGGATCCAAGAAGTGTTATTGTTTTCATCTGCACAACATTCTCTCCATACTCAACATTTCAGTGATCGTTGTGGCATGAGGAGCACAGTACAGAATGTTTTGATGATCTGATGAATAACATTAGTCTATCTACCTTAATGTTTATTGATTTTTTTCAAAATATAGAAATAAAGGAAAACTTGACCCTAATGCCTTGTGTTTTTTCTTATCCACGCAGTCTGTAACCAGTTTCAAACCCAACACAAATTGATAATTGATGAAATCAATGGTTGCTGAAAGGCTTTTAATGAGGGCATTTTGGCAAATTTCTATCTCGTATATTGTCAGCTTTAAGAAGCCATTCCTGAACTAATTAATGAAAGGTAAAGCTTGATATAACATTTTACTTAAATATAGACCTTCGTCAGTTATGAAAAAACACTAGAAGCAATTGTGTTTAAATAAAGGGCTTCCACAAAGTGGAATTAGCAAAATACCAGAAGCTTGAAACTCAACTTAGCCCTAGCCTATAAGACCATTTGTCTTGAAGTTCAAGATTGTGCAGAAATGTGGAAGCTGTTTTTCTTTGGTAGTTCCTAAAAAGAAGTGTCTTCCAAAATAAGTTAACTTTCCAGGTTTCCATGCAATGTTCAATTTTAAGACAGAATGGTCTCACTGGCTAGGTGACGTTTTGAGTCAGATTTGGTCGTGGAATTGAATTATATTTACTGCAAGAAAAAAAGTTGAAAGGATTTCTATTCAGAAGCAGGGCGTGATATATACAAGAAAAAACTGAGGATGGCTGTTCCGGTAAACCTTTTCTGTCAAAAAAGGGTGACGATCAGAGTTCAGCCAAAAGGAATAAATATCATTGATTTTCTCAGTTAACTTTGTGACAAGCACTTGTTTGGTAATCAGGTGTTGCTTTCTCCTCACTGGTAAGGATTGTAAATAGACTTGCTAGACAAGTTCTGCCAGAGGGAATAACTGGCTAACTAAAATAACTAAATTATATAATACCTAAAGGTTTTAACCTTTCCTTGGTCACAATTTTGCTCCAATTAGTAAGAAGAGCCTTTCACATCTAATTTACCAACAAACATGTCGAACAAAATCAGCACATGTAGAAATGATTGGACCGACACAAGATGTTTTTGGTGCTGAATCCAAACCTGGTGAAGAATAACCTTCAAACTGAACACGAGGCATAAGATGACACCAGGAATTAATCCATTTAACACATCACCAAACAAAAATCTATGATGGGTGAATAAACTGTGTTGCATCCCCAGTCCTCTAGCTCAGTGGTTAGAGCACTCGCTTTGCAAGCGAGAGACCTGAGTTCAATTCCAGGCAGAGGGCGAAACCTTGGGCAAGTTTCCTTACTCCACACAGAGCCTAATAATAATCCCTCCAAAACCAAAACCAATAATAAATTGGTCATTTTCAATCTACGACTGTTTGTGGGACATTGCTGTGTGCAATTGGCTGCCGTGTTCGCCCACAAATATAGTCAATTCACTTTACAGTATATTCTGTAAAGCGCTTTGGGACGTCCTCCCGATGTGAAAAGCGCTATATCAAATGCAAGGATTATTATTATTATTATTATAGAGCTGTGGAGTTAAAGGGATCTGCATAGAGGGAACAAAATAAGGGAAAAGAAGTAGTCTAATGATTGGTGTAAAATTAGACATTATTTAAGAATGGAATGAATTCCCTCCCAATGAGAGGAGAAATACCATTCCAATGTCATTCGACATTTTACTGCTGGGTAATGATTTCATTAAGTGCAGTGCCCTTTTACTGGTTGTCAAAAGATGAATACATGGAAAGTCAGTGTCCTGAAATTATAATGACAAATACAACAATTTGCACTTATATAGTATGATTATGCGGATCGAATCATGGAGCGCTTAATCGTGACTATCTATCTAAAGAGAGATGGAACTGAATTTAGTTGTTCACAGTATTCTCATTTATATCAACCAAGTACAAAAGAAACATCTTTAAAAATGACAAAAAAAACAATTTTCCAACATTTGTTATTTTTATTGCATTTGTTGTCTGATAACAATGCTACTCGTTGACAAATTGTTTATTTACAGTGATAACAAAAATTAGTTCATCACAAGCATTTTAAAACCAAGGGGAAAAAAACACTAAAACTAGCCAAGATAAAGCTCCCATCAGTCATGAACATAGAAATAAAACATTGAGGAATGTCATTTTGTAAACAACATAGGATTACAGTACATCACCAAGCACAGAGGACTAGGTACAGGCATGGCACTAGGTTTTAATTAACATGCAGTCAGAGAAACATTGAAAAATTTACGAAGGATTAAGTGTTCAAATCAGATACCAAGCCATGCTATTTGTACACATTTTACTCAAAGGTAAATAACTTCCTCCATATGGTGCTTATGTAATACAAATAGAAAGGTAAACCCGAGCAATTTAAAACAATCTCATCCCCTTCAGTGCATTTCTTTGTTAGCTGCCTTGTCATTCTTGAGCTACATGTAATTGTGTTACTAAGAAATGAATTAAATGTTACACAATTCAGAAAAAGGCAAAACACTAATGCACTATCCTTTAATACAGTTTATGTTAAATACAAAAAATCCTCATTCTGTTCAGGCCAAGCATCATACCTTCCTACCACAGATCATCATCTCCATTGTATACTACAGTTGTTAAATTTTGTTCCACTGTTCAGAGTATTTTATAAATTAAACAATAAAAGCCAATTATCAGTTTTCCCACTGTCTCACAGCTTTGTAGGTTTGACAGACTACAACTTTCTATAATCAGAAAAAGTCTGAACCATTCCAACTGAAAGATTCCAGTTATCAGAAAGCAAACTTCTTGAACAATCATGTACCGGGCCGACTGATTTAGCTAACTGGTAAATGGTTAATCCAACAATCTGGATAATTTTATACCCTATAGCAGTTGTTTTTTTCACTATTGCAGTAAAATTGATTTAGGAAGCTTGCTACAAATCCCCCTCACCCACAAACCCACCCCAACAGTAAACAAGTTATCCACAAAATGCAATACTGGCCACTACACTTTGAATTTGGTTTCTCAATATGGATATACATGGCAACACACTGTAAATGAAGCACAACAAACATATTGTTAATGGAAATGTGTATTCCTGTATTTAAGAAACAAACTTGCAAGTCAGGTTTATACAATTGTTAATTGTATAATTTGAGCCAATTGGAAAAAGAGTGGCCATATCTTCGACCAAAATGGGATCTATTTAAAAAAAATTCTTATTTGTTTTAAAGATATCCCGATGAACTGTTGGATTAACGGACAGTTTATAGTCTTAGCACACTTCTAATCAAAATTATTACCACTCACCACTGGTGAGTAAATAAAGCACAGGTTTGAAGGAACTGATCTACAAATAGAATTGCATTACAAATTTCTTGAACAGAACAAGTGATCAATTACCATCCCAATGGGCTTGTTCAAATAACTGCCCATACCAACCAACACTACTTTCAAAGCTGTAAAAAGGAACTTTTAGAAAAAACACCAAAGCTATGGTGAAAGTGCTTAATGCTGCATGTTGAGGAGTGTATTCTATTGTTAACATTTCCGATATGAAAATATATCAAACTTTCTGCTGGTATGCAGTTTTTAATTGCTTTCATTAAAATATTAAGGACACCCTATTTTCAGTTGATAACTAAAGCAATTATAAATGCAGTGATGGAGCACACAGAACACAGGTAAGAAGTCACCAGTCATTCATAGCAAAGCTACTTATATTCAATTCTCAGCATTTCTTTGCTTCTTACATCCTACATTGTTCAACATACATGCCCCAAACTATTTTAAGCCGATAGTTCAGGGCACAGAAACAGAAAGAATGTGTGCAACTGGATAAGGATTTAAAAAAATAAAGACCACACTTATTTGGTGCACAGATCTGTTCTTCAACTATATTTCTTACACGCATGGACACCTTCTAATATATCTGAATTTAAGTATCAATGTTGCAAAATCTGAACGAGTTCAGTATCCCAACAATCATTTACCTTGTGAATCAATTAGTAAAGATGCATATTTCAAATGTTGATTGACCTGTTATAGATTTTCACTTTTCCTTGGGTCAACGTTGCAAAACCAAGAATAATTGAAGTACAAATATATAGTCATGCTGAAAACAGAGTCATTTATCTATAAAATACCAATGTTTTCTTTTTTATGTTGAGGGATCAAAATAAAGCCTACTTGAAACTTGAAGATAGGGCATAAATTCAGTGTTCTCCATTGAGGAGTGAGAATATCTTACATTATATGCAATTGAACTACCTATACGATAAATTGAAATGTGATGTTAGAGCTTATCATTGTATTAGGGCTCAAATCATTTTAGTTATTTTAAGAGTTCATACTATTTTCCACACCAAATGTACAGTAGCTGTTATTATGGACAACAGAAAACATGTTTGCTTTTTCCTCAATTGATTAACCAATTTTTTCAATAATTTCTTTTCCTATTTGTTTTGCTGAATGGGAACATTACTAAATTTACACCATTTGTGTGGAATAGAAACCGTAATATCCGGTAAAAATTATTCTATAACCACCAACCAACAGATTATCAGGATTGCTTTATTTTAAATCTGGCTCCAGTTCAGTTTATCACTCTCTTCTAATCCCAGATCAATCCACACTTAGACCCTGAGTAATATAAAATATTGTGAATTTTTTTTTATAGTTTGTCACTCAGTTTGAACCTTTAACAAGTTATAAAAAAAAATTGGCCTGTAATAGCCTAATATATTTAATTTTTAAACCTAATTCCCTGATTCGGGGAATTTCCATTATGGCAGTCAAATACTCATGAAAAGATGAGTTATGTCACATGACTTCATAGGGAGCAGTAAAACTCCTTCATACTAACTTCCAGTGAAATCCAATAAGAATACTTGAAAATATATATTCAATTCTGCAGCACAATACCGTGTGAGTGCAGGACAGTCTGTCCTTGTGAGATTACCTTTATATAATTCAGAAAGTTTTCTCACTTGTGGAATAAACTGTATATTCTCTCTTAGGTATTGTACATCCTCTATTTGCCATAGTCGTATTGCAAGAACTATTACTCGGAAACTGCTTCCTGCCAGGAAGTTGTTCAGGAGTTTAGTCCAAGTTAGTGCAACAGGGAGGGCTTGACAGTTGCTTATTTTAGGTCCTTTTAATTATATTTTATAGCTTTTGATTTGCAAAATGTGCCTATAATGAAATGATTGATGCAGACATGTGCATTTTATCATAAAATAAAGAAATGCTACATTCCAGTGAAATCATAAAATTTAAATTCTCAAACAAAATGACCTTTGAACAGTAGTCTTGTGTGTTTCTAACATGAAATATCCCCCAAACCCAACAATATTTACATTTACGCTGGAAAAGATTTTTGTACAAAAAGATTCTGGAAAAAAGTGGCAAAGGGTAACTACACCCCTAATGCTTATTTTAGAAAAGGAATTCAAAATGGACGTTAAATTTGTTTGGCCTTGATAGTTGACTTTAAATTTTATTTTTACTAAAAATTTGAGCAGAAAGATGACTGTACTTTGTTTCTTTTAAGACAGACAACTGTAGCTCCTTCACTCTTTAAATGATCAGAAAACAGTTCATGATTTCTGACCTATTCAAACATTTGAAGACCCTTCTACTAGGCTTCACTCAGCTTGGTGCTAATGAACAGAGAGTTACAAGAGCAACATAAAATGAGTCTTCCGCAGATGACATTGTATATATAATGGTAAACAAACAGTAGTATAGAAATGCCACTGATGTTAGCTAGTACTAACTAGCTAACCTTTGCTGATTGACTATCTGAGGAACACCACTAATTATGAGATTTTTGGAGCATTTGAGATTTGAGGTGCTTCTTTCTCAAGACCAGTACAATTTAATAGAACCTAGTAACAGAGGACACTGCATTTTTTTTAATATTAAAATGCTCTTATTCCTCTTTAATAATGCAGAATTTCCACCAGTCTTATTCGGTCTCTGGCTCTGCAGCTGCAAATGTCTTGCTTGGTTTTCTATTCTGTTTCACAAGTTGTTCCTGTTCCTTCTTTTTCAGCTTTTCCTTTTGTTTCTCTAGCTTCTCTTGAACTTTACGTGCTTTCTCAATTGATGCCTTCAGGTCCTTCAGTCTCTTTTTTATGGCAGCTCGATCCTGAGACACAATAACTCCCAAAGCCTGTAGTGAAGAACGTAATTAAAAAGCCATTCATATTGACCTCAGCACAAGGTGGACTTCATGTTTGTAAGTGCAGCTGTAAGAGATGGGTTCATTTGCATAAAATGCAGTGTTGCTGGTGCTCACTGGTGCCTCACCATGGGATTGTGGAGGGTGGGGATTATCAACCCAGTGCCAGGATGCCTCAGTTGTGAATCCTTGTGTCTCCCATTCTCTCACTAGCAACAATTTCAGAACATTGGCAAGCATATTTACTTAAATGAGTTTAGCAATCAATCTAAAAAGTGATAATTGGAATTTCATTTTCAAAATAATTTATTTTTATATTCATATTTCCACTGCAATATTTGTAATAGAACATTATATAACATTAATCTAAACACAAAATAATTTTATGATTTCAGATCAAAATAAGGATCCATTTGGAGGTTCTGCAAAACCATGGCTTTTCCCTCCATTTAAGCTAAAATATTATTGCTTGGTTTGGACTTATGAAACAGTTCATGATTAAATTTAACATTATTGTTCAGCTAGGTAATTCAAGGTATGAAAGCGTCCTATGTTTTTTGGACTTCATCCTCCTTTAGATTCTGAAAGTTATTTTCACACGTAAAATAATCTGACAAGTGACATAATCCAATTGTTTTAATTTTCATTCAACCATGTGAACTGTTTCACTAAAATCAGTCTAAACTATTCAAACTCCAAAATTTCCATGTTTGGATTGTGGGGCATTGGTTGTCAGTGATTTATCTTGGCACAGGTAGGTTTTAATATACATTCAGCCAATGAAGTCTCAATTGTAAAACAAATATTTTGTTACCTTCAGTTTGCTTCCATCCAGCTGCAGCAACTGTTCTCCATCAATGTTTTTGGCAGCAAATTCTGGAATATACTGTTCCATGTTTAGTCCCATCAGCCAGTGAGAAACCTGCTGAGGGCTCCACTCCAGAACAGCACGATTCTGCCACTGATTGTGTTTAGGCGACTGCCCTTCATCAAGGATCTTTCAGAAATGTAAAAATAAATGACAAAACTAGATCCAAGATGCTGTAAGATTCTTGTTTGTTTTGTTATTGAGTCACCTATAGAATTTTAATTTTGTCTCGAAGATCTACAAAATATTAAATTTTTTGGACATTTTCCATTACTTAAAAGCAAGCACTCTTATCTATACTCTCTCCCTCTGCACTACATATCTGAAGGTCCAGTGTCAAGCAAATTGTATTGCTAAATGGGTCACTTGTGAAAATTATGTTTAAAATGCAAAGTCTTATTGTAACCACACATTTGTTTACGGATAAAACATTTGATTGAAGAAAATTATTTTGAATTCAGCTACAAACAAGATGGAATAGAACCTAGCAATTACAGTGATTTATATAATTTCCATGTTGTTCAGAGACATAAAAATGGAAAATATCCTCAACTTAATGTACATCCTAAACAACTGATGTCTTGAGGATCTCCTGAACCAACTGGTATTATATATTGGTAATTGACAGGTAACTAATGAAGATAAATATTAGACTAGAGATAATCCAAGGAGAGTTTAAGCATTTTAACAGTGGTAGACAGCCGAACAGTTCTACACATGATGAGTCAGTTCCATCCTGCTATATGATAAAAAAAGTTCCTTCAAAAGGCCCCAGGATTTTTGAAGTAATGGGAAATTAGATGCCCCTCCAGCTCATAACAAGATTGTGTGAAATGAGAAAAGATCATTTAGATTCTACAGATTATGTATAAATCAGATCCACCTAGGAGGAGCCAATTTATTGAATCTCCTGAGGAAGTTTTTCCAAACTTTCTCACAAAAAAGTAATCAAGCAAAACTCATTAAACAAGTACTTTGCTACTGTCTTCACCTTAGAAGACACTGAAAACCTACCAAAAATAGAGGGGAACCAAGAAAACAATGTTAGCGAGCAACTTGGGGGAATTAATATTAGTAAAGAAATGGTTTTAGGTAAATTGTCAGATCTTAAAACTGATAAATCTCCTGAACCTGATGGCCTACATCCTAGCGTTTTAAAAGAGGTGGCTACTGAGATAGTGGATGGCTTGTCCTTGATCTTCCAAAATTCTCTGGATTCTGGAACGGTTCTCATTGATTGGAAGATTGCAAACGTAACACCACTATTTAAGAAGAGTGGGAGAGAAAAGATGGGGAACTATAGACCAGTTAGTCTGACATCAGTGTAGGGAAAATTCTTGAGTCCTTAAATAAAGATGTCGTTATGGGATTCCTGGAAGACCATAACAAGATGAGGCAGAGTCAACATGGCTTTAATAATAATAATAAACATGGCTTTACAAAAGGGAAGTTATGCTTAACTAATCTTTTAGAGTTTTTTGGAGATGTATCTAGCAGGTTAGATAGGGGGGAACCAGTAGATGTTGTATATTTAGATTTTTAAAATCCCCTCTCGACTCTCTTCCCCCTCCTCGCTCCCTCCCTTCCCTCCCCTCACCCTGACCATTTCCCCCCTGCTCGGGTCCTGACCCAACTGTGCAGCGCCTTGGGACGTCCTCCTGACGTGAAAGGCGCTTTATAAATGGAATCTTGTTGTTCTTGTTGTTTAAAAGGCATTTGACAAAGTGCCACACAAAAGGCTATTGCACAAGGTTAGGGCCCACGGGATTAATGGGAACATATTAGCATGGATTGAAGAGTGGCTAACGGGTAGAAAACAGAGAGTAGGGCTAAACGGGTCATTCTCAAATTGGCAGAATGTGACTAGTGGAGTGCCACAAGGATCAGTGCTTGGGCCTCAGCTATTTACAATTTACATCAATGATCTAGACGAGGACATTGAATGTAACGTATCTAAATTCGTGGATGACACTAAACCAGGTGGGAGAGTAAGCTCTGAGGATGATGCAAAAAGATTGCAACGGGATATAGATAGGCTAGGGGAGTGGGCGAGTAGGTGGCAGATGGAATTTAATGTGAAGTTATTCACCTAGGTAGAAAAAATAGAAAAACAGATTATTTTCTAGAGGGGAAGAGATTAGATAGTGTTAGTGTTCAGAGGGATTTGGGTGTCTTTGTACACCAGTCTCAAAAAGTTAGTTTGCAGGTTCAGCAAGCAACTAAGAAGGCGAACGGCATGTTAGCGTTCATTGCAAAAGGTTTAGAGTACAAGAGTAGGGAAGTCTTGCTGCTTCTGTATAGGGCCTTGGTGAGACCGCACCTAGAGTATTGTGTGCAGTTTTGGTCTCCTTATTTAAAAAAGGACATACTTGCCCTAGAGGGGGTGCAGCGTAGATTCACTCGGTTAGTTCCTGGGATGAGGGGACTGACCTATGAGGATAGGCTGAATAAACTGGGCTATATTCTCTAGAGTACAGAAGAATTAGGGGAGATCTTATTGAAACATATAAAATTCTTAAAGGGCTGGATAAAGCAGACACTGAGGGACTGTTTCCCCTGGTAGGAGAATCTATAACCAGGGGTCACAGTCTTAAAATTAAGGGTCAGCCTTTTAGAACAGAGTTGAGGAAACATTTCTTCACTCAGAGGGTAGTGAATTTATGGAATTCACTACCCCAGAAGGCTGTAGATGCTCAGTCCTTGAACATCTTCAAGGCTGAGACTGATAGATTTTTTAAAAAATAGAGGGATTAGGGGATATGGGGATAGGGCAGGTAATTAGAGTTAGGTCTGAAGATCAGCCATGATCTTATCGAATGGTGGGGCAGGCTCGAGGGGCTGAATGCCTACTCCTGCTCCTAATTCTTATGTTCAAGAATATTTATCAAATTTCAATACATAGTTTATGTGGAGTCCTGTAGCTCAGTGGTTAGAGCACTTGCTTTGCAAGCGAGAGACCTGAGTTCAATTCCAGGCAGGGCGAAACCTTGGGCAAGTTTCCTTACTCCACACAGAGCCTAATAATAATCCCTCCAAAACCAAAACAATAATAAATTTGTCATTTTCAATCCAAGACTGTTTGTGGGACATTGCTGTGCGCAATTGGCTGCCGCATTCGCCCACAAATATACAGTCAATTCACTTTACAGTGTGTTCTGTGAAGCGCTTTCGGACTTCCTCCCGACGTGAAAAGCGCTATATCAAATGCAAGGATGATTATTATTATTATGTTTCACCTTAGTCAACTGTTTTCTATTAAGACATTAAGCTTCTGATCACAATCATATTTATCGTTATAATTTTCAACCTAGTTTCACCTATTTATTCTTGCTGCAGTTAGCTCTGTGAATTAACTCCAAGTCTTCCAGCTCAATCACCCCTAAGGTTACCCGTATGCGTGACCATTTTCTGTAGTTTCTCTAACTGCATAAACAATGTTATTGAAAAGCTTGCGAGTAGGTCACTGCACTTTTAGTTGGGGTTGCTGGTGGTGGGTAAAAACATTTTAAAAAAAGGTTTGAGCAGGAATAAAATTTTCCTTACAAACAGAAAGTGTTTCCAGGCATTTTTATTGCTATATGCTCACGTACCATTTCAATAGGATGGGCCAAGCTTTAGCTACATGCAAAGCTGAACATGATTTCAAACTGGGCTGAGAGTGAAGTCAATAACAATTCCCACTTGATTTTAAGCCATTTTTGAACCTTCTAGTGTCTTGGTTTTGATTTCTCCTTCTTCCTACAACTATTTCCTTTGCTTTCTTTGTAAAATTAACAATGCATGTTTTGTTGATTTCAGGCAGGAAGTTTACTACAGGCTGTTATGTGAAAAATAACACTTCTAAACAAAACTCCTACTTCTGTATACCTTCCGCATTCGCCCACAAAACACAACTGCTGTACTTTCCTGTATATACAGTGAAGTGCTACAGGATGTCTCCCAATGTGAATAGGTGCTAAACCAGATAGAGGATTATTATGATCAGTAAAAGAAACTTTGAAAATCAATGTGAAAAATTTGAACTACAATGTATCTTTTTTTTATACTGCGAGGGTTAGAATTTCAATAGATCTTCCCTGGAATCTATAGCTGTGCTTGCAGTCTTGTTTCTTATGGTTAGGTTATCTATCCTTGAATACAGAATATTTATGCTTGTCTTCTGTAACATATCCTATACTCAAAAGTCTGGCACGTACACTATTTAAATTTCAAGCTATTCTACAACTTACAATAATAAATAATCTAGCACCTTATCTCGTTGTTCAGACGACTCAAAGCGGTTCACAGGATATATGTAAAGTGTAATGACTGTATTTTGTGGGCAAAACTTCCTGTTAATTAAGGCGTTTGAGCTCAAAAATTTACATTTGTGTCTGCCAATTTTATAACCCAGCTCACATATGCATAGGATGTGCTAGGAGTAAAAGCATATGAGCTATAAGTTATACAGAACAACTGGCAATATCAGATTACGTCTTGATGGGCGAAAACACACAAAATGCTTAATGGTAAGAGAGGAAAATGAAAATGTAACATGCGGGACATGTTTTCAAGCATCTCACCTCATCATCTATCATATCCAGGCTCTGGCCAAGATAGCAACAAGGAAAATGAAAGGAACAGTATTTCAGAACCAAAATAATATAAGCAGGTACATCAATTACCAGACATCATTAGTTCTCAAATAAAATTAAGAAAGCTTGATTCTTTTTCTGGTTAGGTTTTTTTTCTAAAAAAAATCAGTACTCTTTCAATTGCCCAGAAGGCTGTAAATTCAAATCCTGGGTTTGTGCTGAGTTAGTGATCATTTGGGGATGTACTTCATGAATGTTAGGGAAGGACAAGATTAGACTCAGCTTTCATGCTCAAATTGTCAAATAGCTGCTAACAGTAACTGCAAAGGCTCCCACTCCCTCCTTGCAAAGCTTCCTGGAGCAGGTATCTTCCCACTCAATTCATATTAACCATGTAAGTCAAAACTTTAATGCGATCCAAATTGGACTAGCAGCAGAAAGTTGCCAGACATTACTTTCAATAGCAAGCTATCTGGCTTTAGCTGTACCCTAGGGCACAGTCTAAGGATTGCCAAGTCTTGGCTCTTGCCAACCTATGCCGAAAACTCTCTGGAATTAGGTAAGCAGGGGAGGTGTTCCTCCAAGCCGAGAGTATGCACTCCATTCCAGACACAAGGAAATTTCTATGTAAAGGTGACAAACATATGTGGAACTCAATCCGGTTTGGATAAGTCTGACCACAACAAACCATGCAAAGGCTCCCATTTGAATAATGGCAAAGAGGATACTTGACACTCATGAAAACATATCCTACTGTTAGTAAAAGTTTTTTAAAAAATCAAACACCTTCTGGAAAATGGAAAACAAAACTGACTATATTTTTATATCAAAATTCTGATCACGTTGCACCTCATGAAGTAATTTTACTTATTCATACCCTCCTATTTCCACAATGAGAATTATAAAAACTAGGTTAATACAACGTTTATGAATAGCCTAGATGACAATTTTCATTACTGGAATGGAACCCTTTTCCACCTTTTAAAGGCAGTACCACCATCAATCAGCCTCAAGATCTATTATAGAACAAGTCAAATATGGAGAAAAGCTGCATTTCCTAACAAACTGCCTTGAAAGCACCTCCTGTTGGACCGATGTTCCTATTTATCACATCAGTCAACCTTAGCAGCTTTTTCCAACTCAGACTCAGATCCATAGATGATGGGATAGTGTTCTCGTAGACTGGATCATCCAATACTGCAGTTAAATTTGGCCTCAAAGAGTCAAATGTCCTTTTAGTTTTTTAAGACAAACACTATTTTGGTCTGTAGAAAGCTAAATGCCACAACATCCATTTCCATTAAACATTTCCACCTTGAGGACCCTTTGCAATTCCTTGTTCTGGTGTGGAAGTATGCTGGGAATCTGTTCAATCGGCTCAGTAATATTTAACTGCATTGAAAAAAGGCCTGAAAAACATTCATACAGTTTTCAAGACTAAAGCTGACCCTAGGCAGCATGGGTGCAAAGGATGTTGAAGCTCCAGTGAGTTGTGTATGTAGGGAGATACTGATTTCAGACACATTTTTTGTGGGCAGTTATTGAAGAGGCCAGACACTTCTGACTGAGAGGGAAGGAAAATCCCTGAGAGGCAAACCAAACTGCCCATGATTTCAGTACAGCAATGGGATAATCGTGGAAGCCAGGATGTAGAAGGGAGAAATACCCTTCTGAAAAATAGGAACTCTCACGCTCTTCAATTAAGAATGAAGTTGAAAGAGTTTGCCAGTAAAATAAAACAAAATTTTTTGGTAGACATATTTACTTACCTCGTCAGAGGAGAGTACCAACATGTGGGAGCGCCCTGTAGATTTTGGTTCTACAACCAATCCACTCAGGTCAGCAGAACTTGTGCTACTGGGGCTAAAGTCATCAATGTTGGTGAAGTTCTGCAAATCAAAGATTCTGGATGGTAACATGATCTTTATTGGAGGAGCCTTGCATTTGATTTAAATTTAAACTCAAGCATATTATTTGTCTCCCAATTTCCCCTCCTTTAAAACTTGCTTAAAGCAGTAGGAGGGGTGTGGACCTGAAACAAGCAATTATGTTTCAGGAATGAGCTTCAGAAGCATAGCCTCGTCTGGAGGTGAGGATATTTCTTTGTCAAGACTAGTTACTAGTCTGTATTTCGCTTAATTTATTTTCTAAAAGGAAATTCCATTGTAGTGCTTTATTTGGGTATTTTCATAAAGGAAAAATCATCTTATGGATGTATATTCCTATGACTATAAAATTAGATATTTATGTAATTGGAGTGCCTTTCTTATTGTAATGTGAGGTTTTATAGGTTAAAATAATCTCAAAAAGGAATATTTGTGTAGGATCCCCTCTTTAATGACATCTTAGTGCTCTAGGAAAGTGCTGTCTCTGTCCTTGTTGGTGAGGTCACTGGAGCAGAATTCATGATGGACTGTCATTTTAATTTCCCCCTGTTCATCTTTTGTTCAAGACAGTGAGCAGTTCACTTATCATTTATTTGGCTTCTATCACCATGATATCAGGTGGGGGACTGTGTCAGCAAACTGGAATTCAAATACACCTCCTCCTACACTGTAGAACTACATATTACGACTACCCAATTTGATAAAATGCAAGCCTGTTTTTTTTTAAAAAAGACTAAATTGTCAGCCCAGTTCAGCTGGTCAAGTCACTGCCTATTGCAGAACTGAGCGTTAGAAATCCAGAAGGTGATATTTGCAATCTCTGGTTTGTCCTGAGTCACCTGATCTCAAATGAGGTAACAGTAGAGGAAGGCATGTCTATGGTTGATGTTAATGGTGTTCTATAATCGGAGATTAATCCAATTAACCCCTTGGCCTTCTGTTCTAGAACAGCACAAATTTGCAGATTAGCTGCACCAACACTCGCAAGATTCCAACCAGATTTTACTACAGCAGCTTGAAGTTTAAGTTAATTAATAAATCTGATTAGTATATTTTGAAGAATTCGCAGAATATCTAGCTGATTTCTTTAGGGATAGCCTAATAGGGAGTAACATCTTTATATATCATTAATGTTGCTTTCAATTTGACAGTAATTCCACCATTTTTGTTTCACATGCTTAGGCTGACACATAGCATAGTTCACCTTCAAATGAGCAAACTATAATGCCAATTAGTTCCTGAATGTGTCATCTGGATTTCAAAACGACAAATCTGCTCCACTTTGTAACATTGATTTGAGTATGAAATTTCTCTTGCAGGAAAAAAAACATTGGGAGAGGGGAAAGAGATATGTATACAGTGGAAAGGTATGCTGAGTAAAAGAAATTTCAGCCATTCCTGACAGTGTTATTATGCGTAGGCTGCAAATTTTAAAGCAACTCTTCAACAACAAGGAAAGCTGGAACTGTGGGGTTAAATAAATGTTCAGTGCTCAGAATGTACTTTCGAATGACAAGCAGACTACAGCTTATTAAGTCAAGTCAGTGCAAATAGGCTACATGTTATGATAAAAATGTTAAATAACCAGATTCACATTAAGTTTAGAGATCTATATTATATAACCTTGCTTCTTTGTAAATTAATCCTCTACTTATCAGTGGATTTGGGTCTAGCAATTTATTTGACAATTTCCTGGTTCAGGAAGGATGATATCAAATGGTTTGAGGAGCCTTCTTCATCTAAACCTCTTGTGAAACATGGGAGATTATACCAATCCCCTGGAAAATAGGTGTTTTCACAGCATGGCCATAACCTCAATCTTTGCTATCCTGCACGAAGGGCAATATATGTTTCTGTAGTTTTGATTCTCTTACAATTAACAATTTTTTTTTAGAGATACCTTTATTTCTAAAATATGTGTCAAAGGTTCGAGAAATATCCTTTAATTATAACTATTTGATAGTATTTTAAAAATATTTAACTAGGCAAATAGCAGATTTGGTAAATACTAACTTGTAGAAAAGGTTAAGAGGAGTTTTCAAAATTATGAGGGGATTTGATAGGGTGAACAAGTAGAAATTATTTTCACTGGCGGGTGGGTCGGTAACCCGAGGACACTGATTTAAAATAGTTGTTAGAAGAAACAAAGGGGAGGTGAGGAGAAATTTGTTCACACAGCGAGTTGTTGGAACCTGGAATGCATTGCCTGAAAGGGTGGTGGAAGCCGATTCGATAACAACTTTTAAGAGAGAAGTAGATAATTATTTGAGGAGGACATGTTTGCAGGGCTGTGGGGAGAGACTGGGGGAGTGGGATTGAACTGGACAGCTCTTTTCAAAGAGCTGGCACAGACACAATGGGCCGAATGGCCTCCTTCTGTGCTGTATAATTTGATTCTATGATATAGTGTAATCAGTTTTGTGATATCAGCTCATGCCCGCTAGTAATAATCTATAAAATAGATAAGCAAAACAGATGTGCAACTTCTCCTGATATAGTCAGTCCCAGTATATTTTCAGTAAACTGAAATCTTCATGCTGATAGTCTCTTTGAGCTGTTTAGACTGATTACTTTGCAGGCTCACAAGATTCGATCGGATGAAGAAGGCCCTTCAGCCCATTTGATCTCAATCTTCTGGAAAACCCATCCTAACAGAGTAAATGGGAGAACTGATGCAACATTAATGAATTCACACTTTCCTTACCAGTGTGGATATAATCCTCAGTACCATCTGGTGCAGCTTTAATTTCAAAAATCGTATACTATCTCTAACTGGGTCAAGTGAGTTCAGAATTCAAATGACTTGAAATCCATTCTGGTATTTTTCCCTCCCATTTTGAATGAAACCTTCACATGACGTTTGTTTTAAGAACAGGCCTAACAACTTAAAGCCTGAAATTGAATGAAAATGGATACCTGAATCAGAATTCTTGATTTAGATTCATCTGCTGTGGGCAAGATAACTTCACTTTGTGTCTGTTTATAACATGGCTGTCCTGCGAATGTAAGCAGGAAGTCGCCCTGTCCACCCTGAAGTGACGTCAGTGGTAACCTGACAACCCAGAAGAGGGACAGGCAGCCTTTTTTTCTAATGGACCCATCATAACAGTGTCTAATTTTATCGACCCAAAACACTGTGTTAAAACCTTTATATGGTTTTAAAGGAAACGTAGACTGATAACATGCTATGCTTAGATTTACTTTATTAGATTATTGCAGAGTTTAGTAAAATAGCCCACAAATTATTAATGATTTTAATTTGAGTATCTCAAGAGTCATATATGAATTAAACATTAACACATATTTGAAGTGCCATCATTCAGATGTTAAAATCAAGGTTCCACCTGTCTATTTAGGTGGACATGAGAGAACCCTTAGATTTGTTTAAAAAGAGAAGGCAGTTTCTTCCAGTGAGCTGACCAGCAAGTCCCCATATATTTAAAAAGAGGGTCATTTTCTTCATGGCTGTTTGTGGGCCATTTTTAGATGCAAAAGATTGCCTTGTTGGCCTACCAATATACAATCTCTACACTATGCAGTAATTCAACAGGTTGAGATTTTTGACAACATGATAAGGCACTCCATGAAATACCAAGTTTATTATTATATCATTGGGTACAATTGTGTTATTAGAGACTACCTACAGGAATATGATTCTAATAAATAATAATAATCCCTGCATTTGATATAGCGTCTTATCACGTCTTTGGGACGTATCAAAGCGCTTCTCAGAAGATACTGTAAAGTGAATTGACTGTATATGTTGTGGGTGAAATTTGATTACATAAACATTCTTTATATCCACAGTTTATAAATACTCATAACAGGTTCACTATCAATCTTCAGAAATACCTAGCAGTCTAATATTTTGATCATAGATTGGTGGTGCAGCAGATCAATCCATAGTATGTAGCCTTGAATTCATGATTCGCTATATCATGCATATCTAGTGGTAACTAGATTGTTTGCGAGAGACTATTTAGATTGTTTGCGAGAAACATTTAGGTCATTTAGAAATTATTAGTCATACATCCTATAGTTTTTACTACAAACAGCTATTTTTAGTAATTGCTTGGGAATAAGCCACTTGTGTGTAATGTTGTCAATCAATGAAAAAAAGTCAGAGACTACAACTACATTAGCTTTGAATATAAATAAAATCATTCATGTTTACTCATTAAGAAATTGGAAAACAATACTTGTGAAGGATAGCTTACTAACTACATTTTTTAAAATCTCAACATAGTAGGTTCAGGCTATCTGCTAATGTTCTAAACTGTGTCAAGCTGTTTCTGTGATCAACCAGTTCTGTCTTCCAATCCAACATCTAAACAGCACAACTGTACATTCTCGTACTTCAAACTCAAATTTAAATATATACAAAAACATTAGCTTTGTTTTTCTTCCAGGGACAGGCCTCCCTTTCTTCTACTAAATTGGTCAATGGTAACCTGTCAGCTCTGTGACGTGTTTTGCAGGTTTTGATAATTTGAAAATAGTAAGACTTTTATCCAGTTGTCTGTTTCCGTGAGTGTGGTTCAGTTTATAATTGTTGGAAGCCGCAGTTCAATAACGCTTCTTGAAAAACAAATCATTTTTGCCACAATACAAACACTAAACAACATGATTACATAACTATTCTAGTATGATTCCAAACCTCAAACAGTTACAGAAATTATTTATGGAAGCGGTTATAAAGCCGAAGAGGTTATAAAGCCAAAAACATATTTTTAATAGTAACAGCTTCTAGAATTCAAATCAACTAATTAAAGCAGATCAAAGAGTATCCCACCACAAGTTTTAGTATTAGTAATGATTGACAATCAATACAATACAGTTGAACATAAACTAAATATCATACCACATTATAAGAATAATGGAAGAATGATGGCCAGGACAAATGGGTCTGTTAAAAAGAAACAGCAGAAGGATGGAATGAGTTCAGCCATAAGTATTACTACATGCACTTGTACAATAAGGTTTATTAAAAACACAAGCAATGAAACAAAAACAGGGGACATATGTTAATAGCACAAACAAAACATGGCGTTGGGGGGGGGCAGAAAACATTATTAGTAGCGAACATCCCTCATGCAGTATAATCTGATACTGTATGTGATTTTACTTCAACTAGTATTGCTATTTTACTGTATTTCCCATCAACAATAGCTCACGACAGTACATACATTTTAAAAAAGCACACTTCCCAAGTCAGGCCGATGGGAATGCAAAATCAATAATCAATGGACTGTATAAAACATTGTTTGGCATGGGTTCATACTCAAGATTCTCCATATACTGTATTAAATTTCTGCAACTGGTCTGGAGCCAGATAAATAAGGAAAAAGCAGCTTCGACTGGAGACGTAATCCTTTCTGCATAGATTCACCTGCTCCTCCCAGCACTGGTAGCACTATTCCTGCTAAGATGGAAGGAATGTTCCAAATGGGTAATAGTGCCCTTCATCACTGGATGGAAAATATTGCTGACAGAATATACTACTCAACAGCGCAGCCATATTACCTTGAATGCTGATTACAGTCAATTTTAAATAATATTTAAAAACTCATTTATGTGATTCTATTTTTTTTCCTTCTTTGATTAAAAAAAATCAGACAAAAGAAACCATAATAAAGCTCATGCTCCGGTGACTTTCAACATGTTTTGAATGTTTCTACTAATTCTACACCAGGTAGCACATTTTTGTGTTGTGAACTAGTGAATGCAGGCAACTGAAATTAGGACAAATAACAATTAGAGACGATGATGTTTTTCTCCTTTAGTTTGGATTTGAATCTAAACAGAATAACAAAGGTCACTGTTGTATTCCATTGTCCTTTCCAGTCCAAAGACTGTAAAATGAACCTGTAATTACAGTTGTCCATGGTAGAAGCTAGATAAAAATGACCTGTTCAATAAACATATATCTGTTATCCAGTTTTAAGCTTTTAGGGAAGGCATAAATGGCAAAAACATACACAATCAAATACTGTATATTATTCTTCCCATTTGTACATTTACTGACCTTTACCAGTTTATATTTAGAATCAAATTTTCCATCAGAGAAAAGGAGCAATAATAAAGCCCATGATTCAACATCTGTCTTGAACTTATCCCATTATAAAGCCACATTGCCTGAGGCTGGTAAAATTATCGACAAGTGGAGAATTTCACTGACTCTTGTGGACAAAATTGGGTATTTTATCAACAAGTGGAAAATAACCGGCACAGATCTCATCTGGTTCTTCAACTCAATGCTTTTCCAAGTAAAAGAGACGGAATCCAGTCACAATAAAAAAGGAAATGGTAATGTGCTAAGACCACACACAGATTCGAAAACATTAAAACAGGACATTCAGCTCAACTTGTCTGTGCCGATATTTCCATACCATTCTTAATCCCCCTCCCTAGTTTCCCGCTATAGCACTCTACTCCTTTTCCCTCATATGTACTTCTGCTCCAGAAACTTGAACAAGAGTTAAGAAAAACCACAGTAAGCATATATAACCATAGGTGCATGTCTAGAAAAAACATGGGGAAACTGTGGCCTTAAGAATTCAATGTTTTTTATTTGTTGGGCCAATTATGATAAATATCATTGTCAGTTTTACAGCACACTGGAATATATCAGTTTAGTTTAGATATCAATTCACAGATTCAAATTCAGAGCTTTATGAAGTATGTTTTGCAGTTTTCTAACAGGGATGCAAGAAAATATTTGGATTCTAGTGCAGTCATATGCAAAATTTATACACTATTCATCAATAGAATGGCCCACCAGTGAAAATTTACCCCCTTTGAAAATTAAACCGATTGAGAAGATCAAAACTGATTAAATATTATATTTTACATACACCATTTTGTCTGAAGAAACTATGCATTCTAAGTTACACATCAAATGTACCTGTATATTTTACAATTTAAACTCTGGTATGTTCTAGTGTGCTGGAAAACTGCCAATGATAACTGTCATAACAAAGATGCTTCACACTCATACAAGATGATGCAATTTACCTTCGACCTTAGTTTGTCTGGACTTAGGCTCTCCGAAGAAGGTTCAGTTGAGCTACAGGGAGATGGCAGATTACTAGAAGAGTTGGATCCTTTAGTGCTTTCTCCAAACCAGGAAAAAGGTACACAGGGTGGGATGGATGAAGATGCTTCTATGGAGGTGTTGCTGGCTGAGCTTTCCAGTGTTTCCTTGGAGATCCTGCTTAATATACAAGTAAAATGTTTATGAAAACAGTGCCCTTCGAAGGATCAATAAAACATGCTTCACTTTTCTCAATATTCCAGGTCACTCGGTTAAATGAGCTTTGGTCAAAAGTTTAGAAGTTCAAATCTTTTCATCTTTGTGAGGTCAATAAATAGTGCAGCACAGTGTCTAAAAGATAGCCTCCTTGGAAGGAGGTATGAAGCAGCATCTTCCAGTGGTGCAATAGAATACAAATCTGGCAAAAACAGGCAGTGTACTACTGAAAATAGAATTCCAATCAGGAAACCTTTGAAAGAATCCAGCGAATATAAAATATCGGTTTTAGTTTTACAAGAAAGTCAACCATATTTCAATTTTAATTTAAATTTTAATTGAAATAATAATAAACTTTGCTTTTGATGTCATTGAAAATGTTTCAAAGCACTTCACAGGATTTTAACTGTGAAGTGTAGTGACTGTATTTGTAGGAAAATGTAGAGGCCAATTTGCACACAGCAATGTCATGCACCAGTCATGAATAGAAGAACCAAAGTTTTTGTGTCTTTCAGATTTGTTGGGAAGGAAACTGGGAGAAACTCGGTTCTCTTTTTGAATACTTATCTCGGCCAATGATTTCTCCTCTTGCCCCCGCCCAGTCACTTGTAGGGTACCCCAGGGCTCCATCCTTGGCCCTCTTCTTTTCCTTATCTATATACTCCCATTGGGCGATGTCATCCACAGACACGGGGTAAACTTCCACATGTATGTGGATGACACACAAATCTACTTTGCCTCCTCCAGTACCAAGTCCAGGTCCACTGATGTCCTATCAGCTTGTCTGGCAGACATCAAGGCCTGGATGAGTGCAAACTTCCTGCAGCTGAATGTGGACAAGTGGAAGCCATACTCCTTGGCTCCCGTCAACGTCTTCACTCCTGTGGATCTGAACTCCTCAACCTCCTTGGACTCTCCATCACACTCACCAAACCAGTGCGCAATCTAGGCATCCAGTTCAACCCCCAGCTGTGCTTCCTCCCCCACATCAGGATCACCTTCTTCCACCTCCGCCACATTGCCCGCTTCTGACCGTACCTTACCCCAAAATGCAGCCAAAACCCTCGTGCATGCGTTTGTCACCTCCCGCCTGGATAAATCAAAACGCACTCCTCGCCGGTCTCCCTAGCTCCACTATTCAAAAAATCCAGCTCATTCAGAACTCTGTCGCCTGTAATACTTACCTGGACCCAACGCGTCCCCACATCTCACCAGTCAGTGTCTTGGGACATCCTCCCGACATGAAAGGTGCTATACAAATGTAATTTTGTTGTTGTTCTGGCCAGGCTCCACTGGCTTCCCATCACCAAACGGATTGACTTCAAGATCCTCACACTTGTGTTCAAATCCTTCACGCTCTGGTACCTCCCTTCCTCTCCGACCCCCTCACTCCCCAATCCACTACCCGGCGCCTCTGTTCGACTGGCACCGGCCTCCTGCTCGTCCCTTGCACCCTTCTCCCCACCATCAGAGGTCACGTTTTCAGCCAATATGCCCCAAAACACTATCCCTCAATCCCTCCAACTTGTCCCCACTCTCCCCTTTTTCAAGTCCTGCCTGAACACCTTCCTCTTCGACCGTGCTTACGGCCACCTCCCTCCACCCCTCGGCTCGGAATCAGGCTTCGTCATTGTTAAGTGCTCTGCGGGGAGGGCGCTATATAAGTGCATGTTGTTGACATGGTGCCATGTGATCTTTAACATCCTCTGGAATAGGCAATTAGGACCTTGGTTTTACAATACAAGTTTACATTCATATAGCGCGTTTCACCTCAGGAGGATGTCTTAGCTGAAGGGTGGCACTTCTAACAATGCAACACTTCCCCAGCATTGTTTTAGAGTGCCCAGGTAGTTGATCCCACAGCCTTCAGACCCAGAGGCAAGCGTGTTATCAAATGAGCTTGGCTGACACCTTGGTTAAAATGGTTCTGACTTTTAAAAATATAACAATTTTAGATTGACTCAACAAGTCTATCATCCCCATTTTCGCCTGGCTTCACTCCCCCAGCGGATCATGTTCAAGATCCCTGTCCAACCTCCATGATCTTGCCCCACAATACCTCTCGACCTCCTCAAATCCTACCAATCTGGCCATTCCCTCCGCTGAGCAGGCACTGGCCTGCTTCTTGTCCTCCACCATACCCGCCTCACCATTAGCAATTTCAAAGCTTTTGAAAGCCAAACTGCTGATGGTGGTACTCTTTGGAATTCCATCCCAGAATCCCTTAGATTTACTCCTTCCCTCACCTCCTTTAAGGTCTGCCTCAAGACCTTCCTCTTTTGGCCATCATTCTCCCCGACCCTGGGCTCCCACCACCTCGGCCCCTACCACTAGCTTGCGTGCAAACCCTGGACTGCCCAGTACCTTGGGACGTCCTCCCAGCATGAAAGGCATTGTATAAATGTAAATTTGTATTGCAATTATTAGTTTGCAAGCCTTCACACGCCTTTCTCAAATTCAATATTCCTGTAACATGTTAAAAATGCAAGTTCTTCCTTTCTGAAAATATACATTCAATTCACTTTACAGTATGTTCTGTGAAGTGCTTTGAGATGCTCAAAGACGTGATAAGACACTGTATCAAATGCTAGGATTATTATTATTATTCTTGTTTATATATTTTGCTGATGTTTTGCATGTCCTGGATATTTTAACCAATAAGGACAAACACACTCAAGAGTGATTCTAACTGTAGGCTTCAGTGATATTTGTGCTTCTTGGAATGTTTATAACACAAAAAGTGATAGCTAGTAGAAATATATCTTTGATTCTTTTTGAATCCTTCCAAATTGTTTTGCAAGTCCTCCACTTCATCAATCTACCCTGTCCATCAAATTGAGGGGCACAAAAAATACCTTTAAAAATGATGTCGCTCGTCGACCAAGATCTTATTTTAAAAATATAGAAGTAAAAAATGCAACATGTGATTTGCTAACTTTGCTTGTGATAATCAGCACATCATAGAAAATGTATTGATTGTTCATGAGTGCCTCTTATCTCTCATCACAATGGCCAAGTTTGAAGCAAGCCCATAATTTATCAATATAATACGTTAGACTTTCTGACTTGTGGCCTTCAGGTTAGCAGGATACAAAGTTAATTCACCAGATGAAAAAATAATTAAGCTGGTATCCTGTAAAATAGCAATTCTATATCACAATTCGTAGGTTGGGGAGAAAAATGGCACCGGGTGGGCCTACTTTTGAGCTCAGTCATCGTGACAAACAAAGGCAGAATTTTCTATGATGTGACAGCAATACTTAGTATATAGACAGCTATCACATCATAGAACGTAAAAATGTAAAACATATAAAATAATTTATTGATAATGCACACTTTTCTATTTTTGTCCCCACATTTTATTAAATCTGTAAGCCAAACTTTGGTGAATTGTATTGCCTTCCTGTAGCACTTCAGTATACCTGCTTCCTGAGGAGAGCCTATTTGTTTCTTTTTCTTTCTCCTTTTCTTTTTTTCCTTTACTGGATGTTCTTCGTGGGGTAACTCTATGATGAATTACAAGCAAGTAATCTGCATTAATGCTAGCTTCATAAATCTATGTAAATTCATGTTTTTCCACTACTATTTCAGTATTTGTCCATAAATGCCAAATTCAGATGAATACAGTATTTGATCTTTTTGAATTTTTCATATATTGATCGAAGGAAATACGTCAAGACGATATTCCTGGAATTTCATGATGGTAAAGAGGTCTTACAGTGTAAATTGTGTAGGCATAATGTATCAAGTTATTCCAACCTTCTTTCTCCTGCATTTTTATCTTGACTATAAATTGATTTGGGCACACGTTATGTGCTTGCTAGATGTAAACAATATACAGGAACTATTTTTTCATTTCTTTGCCCCATGTCAGGTAGCAATAAATTTATGGCACAATGTCCAATGATCAAAATAGCTATCTGTAAAGATTTACCTAACGGATATGGAACAGTGATTTCTTTGTGCAATAATTTACTTGTACAATGGGTTGAATGGCCCAATCTCTAGTGTAAATTTTTATTTCACATTACATTTCATGATATTTTAAATAATAATAATAATAATAATCCTTGCATTTGATATAGCGCTTTTCACGTCAGGAGGACGTCCCAAAGCGCTTCACAGAACACACTGTAAAGTGAATTGACTATATATTTGTGGGCGAATGCGGCAGCCTATTGCGCACAGCAATGTCCCACAAACAGTGGTAGATTGAAAATAACCATTTTATTATTGTTTTTGGTTTTGGAGGGATTATTATTAGGCGTGTGGAGTAAGGAAACTTACCCAAGGTTTCGCCCTGCCTGGAATTGAACTCAGGTCTCTTGCTTGCAAAGCAAGCGCTCTAACCACTGAGCTACAGGACTCCATAAATGTTCAGTCAATTTACCAAACAGAAATTGGTTTAGGGTTATCCAATTCCCATATGAATTCCTTGAAAACTTAAAATATTAACTTCACAGAACCATCTGTATAGAGATACAAAAATAGCTTACAAATAATATTCTCCCATCAAAAACAAGGTTTTTACTCTCTGAAAACATAATCTAGTGAAATTGTTTAGTTACTGTGGCTTAGTAGCCAAATGATGCTTTAAAAAAATTACACAAGATATAGACATAGTTTGACACATAATACCCAATAGATTATGCAATTCTATATTTTCATGAACTAAGGGAGTTATAAAGAGCAGCTTACCCCAAATCATCAAATTTTCGCTTTATGTTTTCTTTCTGGAGAGGAGGACTGGTTTCCTTTGGAGAATTGACACTTTTGCTATCTTCTGGAAACAACAACAAAAATTATGCAATGTAGAAGTGGTTTATATTTCAGAATAGTAATTCTTTGGTAATTTACCAACACAACAATATTATCTGCAATCATTCATTCTTGCATTTCAAGTACATGATCTGACATTTGTAGCACTTGAATTCATCATCTTTCATATTTAATTTCCTCCCACAGAACTTAGGGTAATAATATGGGGGGTGGAACAAAAGTTCCTACCAGTATTATGTTGCCATGCTGCTCTTCACAGATATTGCAATAGCAATAGACTAAATACAACTGCTGTGACTCAATAGAAGCAAACGTCATTATGAATGTAGTGCATTGAGAACATTGTTTTCTAAACTTCCCAAACTGATCATTTATCATATTATAATTAGTTGTATTCTTGTTACATTCGTTAAACAAACCTATTATGGTACAGACATCTCAGGTGTAGCCCAGGGCTCTATCTTCTCCTATTTCTGCTTGGTTCTCTCCTATTCACCAACTACATGCTGCTACTTGGTAAAGTCATCTGCAAATGGGGGATTAGTTTCCGTATGTATGCTGTACCTCTACTCTAACTCTACCTCTTTGGCACTACTCTAGGTTCAAAGATTGTTTTTTTTGGTCTGACAATTAGTTAATTTTAAAATAAAAAAACAAATCTAACCATTCTATTAAGTCATGGTTATCAGACAACGGTAATAAAAATTACGAGTTCATACCAAGCAGATGTGAAAGAAAGATCTACTTCATTTTAAACTCTGCTGCAAAACAGACATTGAGATATTCATGAACAATTAATGTAACTGTTAACTACTATTACAATAACTAATAAAATAACATGTAGGAAGAACCCATGACTTTTACCTTGAGGACTTTTTGCTTTAAATTGTTTGTCTACTTGATGCAGTGGAGAGATTTCAGCATCCTTGCAAGATTTTGAAGGTGATGAGGTTGGGGTTTGAGAAGACTGCTCTTTTCCTCTCAAGACATGCTGGGCAGCTTCTTCCCGGCTTCCCACGGCATTATCAAACGTGAAGACTGTATTGCTAGCAACTGGAGATAATGAAGAGGCCCCAGAATCGGACGCTGGTGAGCATGTTCTCAGTGACAATGGGAGGGGAGATCTGGCAATTTGCACGGGACTTCCATAACTGTCTGAAGCCTTTAAGCAGTGGAGAAATAATGAAAAAAGTCAGGTGAGTTCCTGAATAATAAAGAATATCAAATATTGATATGAATGTCAGTGATAATGCTTTGAGCTTAGATGAGAAATATTACTGGCCACAGCAGGCAATTTACAGAAAAAACAACAAAATTACATTTACAGAGCGCCTTTCACGTTGGGAGGACGTCCCAAAGCGCTGAACAGTCAGGTGTTGGGGCCCGAGCATGGGGGAGGGTGGTGAGGGAAGGCAGAGAGGTGGGAGGGAGACCAAAGGCACAATCGAAGAGAAGGGTCTTGAGACCACCCTGAAAGAGGCAAGGGAGGAAGCGAGGCGAGGGGACCGAGGGATGGAGTTCCAGAGTGTGGGGGCAGAGAGGCTGAAAGCCCGGCCACCGATGGTAGGGCGGGTCGGGCGGGAGACATTGAGCAGACCGGAGCCCGTTGAACGGAGGGAGGGAGTCAGCAGGTCAGAGAGGTAGGAGGGGACAAGGCCAATGCATGGCCTTAAAAGTGAGGACGAGGATCTTGAATTCGATCCTCTGAGGGATGGGGAGCCAGTAGAGTCGGGCGAGGGTGGGAGTGATGGGGTCATGGAGCCTGGTGCGTGAGAGTACACGAGCTGCAGAGTTTTGGATGATCTGCAGCTTGTGAAGGGAAGAGCTGGGAAGGCCGATGAGGAGGGAGTTCCTATAATCGAGCCTTGATGTGTCGAGTGCGTGGGTGAGGGTTTCGGCAGCCTGAGGGGTGAGGCAGTGGCGGAGTCTGGCAATGTTGCGGAGGTGGTGGTAGGCAGTGCCAGTCATGGCGCGGATGTGGGGGAGAAAGAACAATTCAGGGTCAAACAAGACATTCAGGTTCCTGACTGGCTTAGATTGAGTGTGCAGCCGTGGAGGCTGATGCTGCCAACGCCCGAGGTGCGGAGGCGCTGGTGCGAGCCAATCAGGAAAGCTTTGGTTCAGCTGCAGAAAGTTGTCCCTCATCCAGGACTTGATGTCAGACAGGCAGTCGGTCAGGACACCAGTAGTCCTGGAGTTGAGGGTGGAGGCAGAGAGGTAGAGTTGGGTGTCATCCACATACATGTGGAAATTTACCCCATTTCTGCAGATGATGTCACCAAGGGGGAGCGTGTAGAGGGTGAAGAGGAGGGGACCGAGGACAGAGCCCTGAGGGACACTGCACGAGATGGTGTGGGGGCTGGAGGAGAAACCGTTTGCTGCGACGAAGTGGAGGTGGTGTGAAAGGTTGGACCTGAACCAGTCAAGGACAGAACCTTGAAGGTTGAGGTGGGAGGAGAGGCGGTGGAGGAGGATTGAATGGTCCACAGTGTCAAAGGCGGCAAAGAGGTTGAGAAGGACGAGGAGGAGGAGGGAGCCCTGGTCACACATGGTCAGAATGTCGTTTGTGACCTTGACCAGAACCTGATTGGAGGGATTCATGGAGGGAGTGGGAGAAGAGGAAAGAGTGAAGCTGGGAGGCAACAGCTCTCTCAAGGACCTTGGATAGGTAAGGGAGGTTTGAGAGGGGCCGGTAAAATCCTGTAAAATACAATATTCCTGGAAAAGGCAATGGTATTTATTGGTCCACCGTTTTTAAAACCAACTTAAATTTACCGCTTTTCAAAAAATAATTATGATTAAAATTCTTTTGTATCTGGTAATATTTGGTTGGCAAAGCAATTCTAGAATTTAAATCAACCTTCCTGAACTGCTCCAATTTCCTCAGAGAACTAATGTTCATCATAGTACAGAAATATTGGACACAATATGACACTTTGTATCTAATTTCTTAAAATCACACACATTTAAGTAAAATTACATTTTCTCTGTATTAAAGCTATCCCACCAGGGGCATGGAACTTTTCTGTATTTCTGCATGTATGGACAAAAAGGGAGTTAACTTCTTTGTATAGATAGTGCCACTCCATAATGCCTTCATTTTCAGTTGAGGTGTCAAATAAGCATTGATAAACAAATTTAGATTTTAAGCACAGATTTTTCCTATAATCTTTCTTCAGTGCAACTTCAGGCGATTTGAACTTACACATTGGGAGTGGGAAGGGAGGTAAGAAACCCACAAAGCAATTTGCACCTGAAGTTGTATTTACTAAAATTGGCCACTGAGTGGCATCTAAAAGATAATAATAATAATCCTTGCATTGATATAGCGCCTTATCACATCTTCGAGACGTCTCAATGTTCACATAAAGACATTTAGTACCATATTATCTCATGCTTCCATAACACCAATCCTACAGTTTTTCTATTATAGCATCTAGCGGTTTCTGAAATCAGTACAATATCAAAGCCCTCAGAGATGCTGTCTGGTAAGCTGTTCCAGTCTCGCCCTGATGCCTTGACCTATCTAAATTTATTGTTTGGTACCTTACAGGCACGTGATCAGGATCAGCAACTATGATATCAGGGTTATAACAGTAATAATAATAATCCTTGCATTTTATATAACGCTTTTCACATCTTCTAGATGTCTCAAAGTGCCTAACAGAATATACTGTAAAGTGAATTGACTGTATATTTGTGGGCGAAACGCAGCAGCCAATTGCGCACAGCAATGTTCCACAAACAGTCATTGATTGAGTGACCAAATTATTATTATTATTTTCTTGAGGGAGTAAAGAAACTTGCCCAAGGTTTTGCCCTGCCGGGAATCAAACCCAGGTATCTCGCTTGTGAGGCGAGTGCTCTAACCACTGAGCTACAGGACAGCTACAGGGTTCTTTCAAACATAATATTAATAAAGTTTTAAAATGTGGATTGAAAAATCTAACATGTTGTAAACGTGTGGACACAAGTTTCCTTTTCCTTAAGTACAGTTCAAAACTTCATACACAATATAAATACTTCTTAAAAGTTATGGTCTTTTACCTTGCGCTCAAGACTGTCATCCCCATCCGTTGAACTAACACTGTCGTGCAGCCTTGACCTGGAGGGCCGATGTCTCTTCGATTTGCCTGAGAGCTGAACTCGAGCCTTCAGCACTTTGCTGTCCAGTCTTTCTGTCTCAGGCACTGCCTCATTAAAATCTGAAAATAAAATTGATACGTTTTTAATGTAAATGAATGTTCAATGTTCCTGTTCAATATAAAACAAAGGTAATTGAAAATATAGAACTGTAAATCTATGTCTCATTGCAAGATAAATCAAATATTGTCATGGGATTTGGTATGGCATCAATAACCAGTCATTGTAAAAGATTAACAATAATTTAATAAATAATTAACACATGCAGCAATAACAAATTTCAGAGAGGTCAGTCTCCTAGCTGCTCCAAACTCAAAGAAACTCAGTTTTGGTCCCTAACCCCCATCCATTTTATTAGGCTGTGAGGTAGTTTTTTAGATGGGATTTAAAGATAGATGGAAAAGGCAAGAGAGGGATAAAGGGAAGGAGTTCCAGAGATTAGGGATGTAGTAGTTCAAGGCTCGGCCTCTGTAGGTGGCACAATGCAGCTAAGAGGTATTCGTGCGAGGCCTGAATTAGCTGAGTGGAGTAGGCTGAGTGGGATAAGAGATAGGGAGTTGAAGGGCATGAAGGGATTTATAAGTGAGGGTGAAGACTATGAAGTCGATCTGTTGGGCGGAAGAGCGGCAGTGCAGCCTCGCAAGGACTGGGGCTTTGGGCATGCAGAGTTTGGTGTGGGTGGGGATGTAGGTTGGAGGAATATTGGATTAGCTGGGGCTTATGGATGTGGAACTAGGGAGACTAGCGAGGAGGGTGTTTAGAGAGAAGCTAACATAGGTGTGAATGAGGTTTTCGGTGGCACTAAGCCATAGGAGGAGGTTGTCATTTGTTTTCATTAGTTTTGAAGGACGTTTACTATAGGAATGTAGGTTTCAACATTCTGCAGATTAATCTTGCAAATGCAAGAAATTATGCATTTTATAAAAAGACGCAGAGTATGGAAAGGGGGCAGGTGTTCCTGTTGAGAGCTGCTTGGATATGTCTACTGGAAGAACAAGAAACTTACCAAAAACCTCATCTGCGTCGCCTGTCTTCATGGCTGATGTTTCAACACCTTCTGTAGATAATTAAAAGATAGTCGTTATCAACAAACTACTTTCCTGGCAACATATAAACATTTTATCTTTGTGAAAACAAAGTGAAACTTCCTGGATGAATAACTACTGTAATGTTGAATTCTACAATTGATTCAATTTAATCTAAACTTAGGTTACATAGACCTACAATTGCTGCTTATTGAGTGTCTGACCCTATCCTGCATGAGGGGTGCTATATAAATGCAAGTTGTTGTTGTTGAAGTACAATATGGATCCTTGTAATAGCTATCAGAAAAGGAGATGGCAAGCTGAAATAATCTACTTATTGTAAATATTGAGATTTTACACTATAGAGAAGTTGCCAGTGTAATCTTAGTGCATCTGAAGAGCACATATTTCTGTAGTTGATCGTCTTTCTAAGAACACAGGAAACGTCTCCTCACTATTTAACCATGCCATTTACAATCCTGCCATTTATTCCTTAGGATCTACTGAAAGACTTATGATATCCAAGAAATATATTATGCTTTGCCTGCACTTTTGTGAATCAATCATTGTGAACTCATTTTCGAATATATTTGACAATATTTTGTTAGAAAAAGTGCATTTTGTAAGTTTAACAGATCTGAATTCCTAGTTTAATTGACTATGGAGCAATTTTGAGGATCTATCAAACAGAGCGACTGTAGCCCCCAGGCTGCACTCACATGAATCTAAGCTTGGGAGCAAGTCTCAACACCACCTCTTGCATGATCTCCAGCTTGGCCCGTTCATGTTGCAGCCCCACCACATCCACTCCGAGCTTCCTGTGCTCACCCTGTGCTGCCTCCCTGCAGTTAGAAATTGTGGTAGATAATCTGATATGTGGATAGCAAGGCTCCACTATCCTACAACTAGAATTTCACACCCCATTATGCACAATCATTGCCAAAGTGCACTAAAAAATACTGTACTACCATGTAAAACATCACTTCCCCCTTCAGTTTTACTAACAATCCATAGCAACATTGAGAATTAATCACTGATAATATATTAAGAAACCATTTATAAATCTGCTATCACCTACCCTTTAGCATTTTATGGACCTTGATGGCTCAAATATTTATGCTTTTATTATATATCTTTGACTTTTATCCACTCGAGCAAAGTTCAATCACTTAACACTATAGTACCTATTTATACTTAATTACATTGCTGAGAAGTTAATCCCTTGATTACCGAGTGCAGGTGTATGATACATTTTACGTGAGCATTTCTCAAGCTCTGTTCATAAAATATTTTTAAGTATAAATTGGAATTGGCACTAAACTAAGTTACTGAAATTTCCTACACCAGATGGAAATGCTGTGATTTATTTCCACTTTTACTAATTCAATTGTAATAAGGCGCCTTCCACCAATTTAGGAGAAATTCACTTATTCTGCATATTTGCATTTGAAATACAACCTAACCATCAATATTCCCAGAACAGAAATCATTCAAAAAATCTGCTTACAAATAAGACATAGAGTGAAATTTATTGTGTGAGATAATTTAATGTTAAAGCCTGCAATAATAATCACCATTAGTGGCAAATTAACAATCCTAACTTCATATGAAACCTGATGATACAATGACTAGCCACAAGAATAATTGACAGGGTGTCTCTCTCTCTCTCTCTTTTACCCATCCCCAAACCCTTTCCCAAGTGCTTGCTCTGAACTTCAGATACAATCTGCTGCCATGTTGAATTTTCATATATGAAGCAGTAAGCAAGTGGTTTCTTTGGTCCTTAGGCAGTTTGGTAAGTACATATTTTTCCTTTAATAATTATTTTCTGGTTTAAATCTTAAGAGTTCTCAGAAAATTATATTTCATAATCAATGTCAGAAGAGAAGGTATGTGGGCTGTTGTCACCAAGTCACCATTCAGTATATTAAGAAGTGTTATGTGAAACTAGAAATGTTAGTTCACACTGAACACTGCTATATTCAGTGATAATATACATTTTATATCAGTTTCTCAGAACATTTAGTATTATCCATAATACGTTGGATTTTCCTGTCCAGTACTTTACTCCTGTCAAACAATTCTTCAATGTTGTTTGATTTCATCTTATTTCTTCCTTTGAGTTTCAATCCTGTTGCCAGTTGAATAGAAGTAATAATTTAAGATAAGAACCTACAATTTGAGGCACTCATCTCAAATTTAATTTTAAAAATAAAAATCTCACACGATTACTTACTGCTAGGTGAACAGAGGTGTGTGGAGTAACGAAACTTGCCCAACGTTTCGCCCTGCCAGGAATCAAACCCAGGTCTCTTACTTGCGAGGCGAGTGCTCTAACCACTGAGCTACAGGACTCCAATTTTATTGAATCAAAAAGATTGAATTTGTTCCAAAATACAAGCCTCCCATGTTGGCCGCTTCCTGCTTAGCATTTGTCACGTTATCTTTCCAGGAAAGGCAACGTATTAGTGTTTAGCCTCAAAGGTACTGTTGGAATGGACATTGTGATGAATGATAAACACATATTCTTTCTGCTCCTGACTTAAAAATGGTGAGATGTCAACACTCATAGGAAGAATATTTCCCTCAGTAAATTTTCAAAAGATAATGTACTCAAATACAGTACAAAATAACATTTTTTTAAAAAAAACTTTTACTGTCATGATTGTTAGAATCCAGATTTAAATTTGTTGCAGCTCTATTTATGGTTATTTTCCCTCACTTAATTTTATTGTGCCTTTCCAGTGTTTCTATAGATTATACCAACAGGTATTACTGAATCTGCAACAAATACTGCCTGGCATGATCTGTTCCAGACTGGTCACAAACTTTAAAAATAGTCATATTTATTCATTATAATAATCCTTGCATTTGATATAATGCCTTATCATGTCTTCGAGACATCTCAAAACGCTTCACAGTATATACTGTAAAGGGAATTGACTATATTTTGTGGGCGAAACGTGGTAGCCAATTGCGCACAGCAGTGTCCCACAAACAGTCGTGGATTGAAATGACCAATTTTATTTATTTTAAGGAATTATCCCCAGAAAAGCTATCCGCTAATTGACTAACAACCAGGTTCCTACTAGGTAAACAGAGATGTGAGGGGTAAGGAAACTTTCCCAATGTTTCGCCCTGCCGGGAATCAAACTCAGGTCTCTTGCTTGCGAGGCAAATGCTCTAACCACTGAGCTACAAGTGTCCAATTTTATTGACCCAAAAAGATTGAATTTGTTCTGAAATATGACCTCTGTGCCATCAGAAATTGCAAAGATTCTGGATGTTAATGATATCCAGAAGTCTCTTTCTCTCTATGAACCTAAGTATTTGTGGAGTCATGTAGGTCAGTGGTTAGAGCACTCGCCTCGCAAGCGAGAAACCTGGATTCGATTCCTGGCAGGGTGTAATGTTGGGCAAGTTTCCTTACTCCACATGCCTGTTTACCTAGCAATAAGTAGGAACCCGGCTGTTAGTCGATTGGCGGATCGCTTTTCTGCGGGTATTAATTCCTTAAAAAAAATTGGTCACTTCAATCCACGACTGTTTGTGGGACACTGCTATGTGCAATTGGCTGCCACGTTTCGCCCACAAAATATACAGTCAAATCCCTTTACAGTATATACTGTAAAGCGCTTTGAGATGTCTCAAAGACTATATCAAATGCAAGAATTATTATTATTATTTTTGTAATATTAAAAACCTTGATGTTTGATTTCATTGTTGTGCTCATATAGCCATCAGCGCTCTTTATGAAAAGGCTTTGTGAACTTCAGGTAAAAATAAACTGTTGGCCAACAACTTTTGGCTTTTTCCAGATTTAATTTTTAAAATAGTGTTTGTAAACAGAAAACAGGTTTTGCTTGTAAAACCTGGCCTGGTGATGAGCAAAGGTGTGGATAGTGAGCGCAGTACAACCCAAATCTTTAATAGACCAACGAGCATGTTGGGTACTCAAAAACAAAGAGACAAGTTCCCTTGTTTTAATAATCAAACTCCATTTTTTAAAATCTATTCTGTGTATATATTTTAAGATTAAGACAGGTTATTACATTCATCTTTTTATCATTTATTTGGTGCTTTATTCTGTTCTTTCATTTTTAGCTCAATTTTTGTGGCTTTCTGTGACTGAAAAGAAAAATGGGAACAAAACGTTGGGTTGACATATCTAATATGCAGACATCCCCAGTGGTGGAAGCAATGTAATAGAAGAGCAAAAAGGTCACTCAAGCCTGTACTGGTTGCCACATCATTATCACTCAATCATATTTAACTTTTTTTAAATCACTGCTTGCCAGAACCTGTTCCCTGTTTAACTCTTGGTTTCAGAGGTCGGGTAACAGAACCTTTTCTTTTGCATCTACAACTGATATTTTTCAGGAACTATGTTTCAGAAGGTTTGTATTTAATTCAGCAGAATGTTAAAATTTCCATGACAGGTATGCGTCAGGACCATAACACCCAGTTGCCCACTCAGATTAGCTCCAGGTAATCTCCATCGATCATAAATCTAATGCATTTATTGCAATTTGGCAAAAAGTAAAGAAAGTTGCAACTGAGCCACAAACTAATTAAAGTCACATAAATTCACATTACATGAGTCTTACAATGAAACTGAATAATAAAATTAGCAAAGGGAAGGGAGATGTGTGCAGCAACCACCACTGCACATTTTGCAGTTATCTTGTGAGATGGGTAAATCTTAATCTCATAGCACAATTCATTCTGCTGGATTTGTTTTACAGGTATCAGTGATGTTAACCCAAATATTGAATTACCATAGGGGATAAATATCAGTAGGCCTATTTTTAAAGTCTTCTTTGGTGCATGAAGTTGTCAGCTCTTCAATCTTTGGGTGTTCCATGCTTCCCTTCCTTTTAAATCTTTAGATTAACAATTGTTTTCTTTTGTTTCTCTTTACATTGCACTGAAGTTTCTTACAGTATTTATGTATTCTGAAGCTAATTCCTGGTGTTCTTTGTGTTAACATATCTACACACGGAGATAGACAGACACACAAATAAGCTTTTTTACAGTACAGTTCAGATCCTACAAACCATATGAAATTGTACCTGCCTATAACAATCGTTTTATTAAATCCTAAAAAAAATTATAGGGCTTATTTCTTAACGGCAATGCTGATTATCACACTATGAATTTGAAGGAATACAAAGAACATTCGGAAGCTCCTGGTATCCTTTGAACAACAACATATTGTTTTCCATTTCTTTATAAAGCAGAAATAGTGTGGAGCTATTGTGGTTTATTTCTGTCCTGCTAATTTCTTAGGTTGTTGCCAGTTTTAGAAAGGACTGAAAGTAGCCTTTTTTAATCTTTAACCATTCAATGAAATGTATAATTTAATATTGTAGCACTGTGCTTTTTTGTTCCATAGAGGATAGTTACCAAGCTCAACACATAATTCTGGATTATAAATAACATGGCCAGAAACACCTAGGAAAACAATGTGCGTGCAGTATCATTGGAATGCTGTAGTTCCACACTTTTCAAACAAAAATAACATTAGCTATACAATCAAAATAAAGTCAGTGAACAACAATTTAATAATCACGAAACTATAAAAAATACAAAACAAAATCAGGGTTGACTTAGGAAAAGAAAATTTTGTGTTAAGGATATTAGCTTGGCTTAAATACTAGCCCCATCATTCAAGCTCCTGGTTGGACACTAAGGAACAGTACTGGAGAAGGTTTGTATTGTCAGAGGTGCCGTCCTTCAGATGAAACGTTAAACCGAGGCATCGTCTATCTGTCCTCGGGGGGGATTCTAGAGTTTCCTTGATACTATTGAAAAACAGAAGGCCAACAGCACTCCTAATAAAATTGCCATGGTTGTTCATGGGACCTTGCTGTGTGCAAATATCGATCATGTTTCTGCACATTTACGAAGTGTTTAACAGGATTTCGCACCACTTATTTCTGGAGAAGTTCCCATCTTATGTTTTTCCATCATTAATTGATGGTTATCTAGATTTCTCTCTAATTTTCTCATACTGTTAATTAAAACTCTCAAAACTCTTTTTATATCAGCTCAAGAATTAACCAGGCAATGTTTTCTCTACTACCTTTTCTCCACTCATTATGCAACTTCATGGTTATTTCACTTGCTTAACTTCCTTTAGATCACACACTCTCAGTGGACACAACCTTTGTTCCTCTTATATTCCAGTGGCTTTACCATTAAACTTTAATCTCTTTCAGTGAGATAGTAGAATCTTATTTTCAAGTGTAAAAAAAAGTTTCTTCGATTTGTTTTAATATATACACGTCTATACAATAGCTTCCGCCTTACATATGACTGCCCCAATTTCAAGCCTTTCATATCTATCAACATTCTTGGCATCACTTTTTCCTGTAACCTCAAATACAATGCATATTTCCATTGCTAAACCTGTTTCCAAGAAACTCCCTCTTTCTTTAAAAAAATCTTATTTTTTCCATCAGCAATTTTCAACTGTCCTTCTATCCAATATGTGAGAATTTCTCCACATCGAATAATAATCCTTGATTTTGATATAGTGCCTGTAGAGTGAAATATCTTGAAACACTTTACAGGGAGTAGTGCTGTAGAGCCTGTTTTTCATTGGAAAACATTGCAGTCAATTTGCGAACAGCCATGAACTGAATAACCAATTTATCTGGTGCATTGCCAGTCAGGAAGTAGGGAAAAACTAATTTTTTCCCCCAAAATTGTTTGATGGGATTTTTAACATTTAACTGAACAGACAATTTAACATTTCATCTGAAGGACAGCTAATTGACAATGGACATAACATCAGCACTGCACTGGAATGTCAGCCTAAACTATGAGCTCAAAGTTCAGCTTGAACCCACAGCCTTTTGACCAGTGCCAACTAAGCCAAGTTGACATCTCTTAATTTCTCTCTTGCCTCCTATATATAAACAAAGTATTTATCATTTTACACCTTTTCAACTCACTCTCTTTAGTTAATATCAACATGCCATATTCCATATAATCAACTGTAATTGTTTTTAACACACAAACAAACTTATACGGTTTATCTATTTTATTGGTGAGTTTAACCAGGTACAGTTCACATGGTTTATGATATCTGATCTAAATCATAGATAAATGCATAATTTGAAAGCAGCAAAGATTAAAGAGAACATTCAGGGTGAGAAATTTGTATGACATGGATGATATACACTAACAGGGGATTCAGTTTTATAGCAGCCAAAATTGTTAACTTTACAAATTTGAGGAATTTCTTGCCCTTAGCTTTAAGCTTTCAATGTAGAGACTGAAAAGTCCCTATTTTAGAGGTAATTTCATGTCTAATGCAGGAATATAATTGTACAACTGGAAAATTATCCTCACTTTATATTCTAGCTCTGTTGCTACTAATAATCTTAAGTGGACCCTGAAAAGTAATGGGCAATCTGACCAACTTCAATCAGCTTAGGAAAGGAATAAATAAGTGAAAAACAATCAATTTATATCAGACCCCTCCCCCCACCTTGAACCGAACCATCTAGGTAAGTCTGCTGCATTCTCGGCAAGCCATCGATTGCTTCAGACGGGGCTCCTCTCTTTGTATCCACGAAGGATGATCTCCTGTCCTGCTCCCCTCCAAAGATGTTGTTGTTGTTATTCATCTGAGTCCCATTAGTCCTAGTTAGTTTTTGGAGTTCAATTTCCAGTTCTGCAACCTAGAAAAAGAAGAGTCATATTACTAAAGGCAAAATGATCTAAATTAAGGTATTCCATTAACTTTCAAAGTAAACATCCATTTGGAATGTACAACCCAGTTTGTTGGTATTCTCCAAACTAGCCTTTGCTTAATTGATTCACAAGTCTACTTAGCACTGTAGGAAATTAATTTTATGAATTCTTGGTGGGGGCAAAATGTGGTACGATAAAAATATACCGTTTCACCTAGGATAATGTGTCAAAAAATGCCCAATAGAGCTGGAGTGGGACTATGAGTGTGATGGGGAAAAGGGATGGAGCGGTGTTGGGAGTAAGGTGACTGAAGAAATAGTGAAAACGATAGGTCTTTAGAAGATTTTGAAAACAGTAATGGAAGATGCAAGGTGTTGATAATCCATTGGCAGGGGAAGGGGGAATTGAGAGAGAAGAAATGAAATCAATTGCCGCTCATGTATGAGTTCGAAAAGACTCCAGAACACAGTAGACTGAGTAATTGTAATGCTTTGGACTGGCAATTATAATGTCAGATATTGTCTTGACCCCATCCAATAACCCAGCCAACAATTTTGAACCAACACAATTCCTTCTGCAATGCCCCAATGTGACGTAAATCCAGTCTTAAGCCAAATTTACCTTCAAATTATTTTTTTCATATTAATTGGTTGCTCAGCTTATTGTTTATGGGATTGCCAATGCAGATTTGCTTCTGTGTTTTCCTATATAAGATTCTTTTCATTTCTAATCAACTATACTTTGTAAAGCACTTTGAGGCATTTATTTTACAAAGCAGGAAGTGATGTTAATGGCAACCTAATGAACCCAGAAGTTGGTGATTTGAGCAAGAAAAGCCAGAAGCAAATGCTTGCACAATAAATGAGTTCACAGTGCAACCCACGTAAAAGTGAATTTACATTAAAATGAAGCATTAGAATAGGGTTGCACTGTATATCAATGCAGTTTTATTGTTATATGGACCTATAGTGCTATCCAAGAGATGAAATTATATTATTAGAGTTCCTGCACTGCTTAGTCCCAATTAATTCTATTGTTTTTAGAAAGGACATCTTAAGTGACTTCCACTGTATTTTATTTTAGGGATAACAAAGTGTATGCCTGGGATTGCACTGGCTCCACGGTGACATGTTTGACAATGGAATATTGGAATCCAGCCAATCCTCTGTGGCAGTGTCATTAGTCCAGTTCCTTAGCCAAGCAAATCCACAATTCAACTGGTTTAAACACTGCCAAAGATGGACTTGCCAGCCTAGCGAACTGGAGGAAGAGCAGACCAGTAACTGGGGAAAGAGATTCTTTCCACTCGGCTCTACGGTGGTCTGAGCTGGACAAGCAGGAAGCTCACAAGTCAATGTTCACAATGACAAGTTTTATCTGGCTAAACTCCAACAGTGCCTTAACTGTTCACAGTGGTGTCCCTAAACCTTAGCTCTTGCCAACCTGCACCTAAACTCTCTGGGATTAGTTAAGCAAGCTACGTCCATCAGAGAGTATGCACTCCATACCAGACATCCAGAAACAGATTTGATAGAGGTGCTTAAGATTATAAAAGGATTCAGTAATGTGGGCAGTTTCTACTTGTTGTTAACTCTGAAATGAGAGGGAATAAATATAAGATAGCTAGTATACACCTAAGAGGCAGTTTAGAAGGAACTTCTTTACGCAGAGGATGGTGAGAATGTTGAAGCAAAAATCATCAACGTATTAAAGAGAAAATGATGCATACATGAGGGAGAAAGGAATAGAGGATTATAGAAAGGGTGCAGGTTTGTATGGAGTATAAACAACAAAATAGACTAGCTGGGATGAATGGCCTGTTTCTGTGCCTTATCGTTTTATATAATTCCACGTAAATTTCCATATATATGTGGAACTCCCAGTAGTTTAGTTTGGTACTCTTAAGCAGGGTGAGGAGTTTCCACATGTGTCAGACAACCAGCTGACCAAACAATAACAATTATATTCATCAGGTAATAAAAATAAGATCTTGAACAAAATGTAGAAGTTTGGTAAATCAGAATATAACATTATTGTTGAACAAACAAACATCATTTCAAATTAGGAGCATTTACCAATGTCCACCAGCTAATTTTAATTTCATACAACCATTAGGGAGCTATTTTCCAACAAATCATATGAAGAAATAACTGCTAAAATGAGTTTATTACCCTGCTTTGAAGTTTCTTAACTTCTGCTGCATGAACATTTTCAATTTCTTCAAATTTCTTTCTGTCAGTATCCTGGCGCTTGACAAATTCAATTTCCCTGGAAAAAAACAATAAAGCTTTTCAGGTTAAGGTGGTCATTCTCAGTTTTCTGTTCATTATTTTTTAAAAAGATGACATACTTCTGCTGATAATCTTTAATCAATTTCTTGGCTTTGTTGTATTTCTTCTCCAAGGTTTGGTACTGACTCTGTGTCTCTTTCAGATGTTCATTGACAGTGTGACATAGTGTCTGCGCCTCAATCCAATAGCTTTCCAATTTTAGCATTCTTTCTTTGTTTTCTTCAATGTTCTGTTGGAGTTGCGTCTTTTCCAGTTCCCACTGACTCCTCTCATTCTCTGTTAATTGGAGCTGATAAACACAGGCAAATAAATAATTTAAGTCAAATACAATTCAACTTGTCAAATCCATTGCTACATTTTATTTCCATCTTCAATTTTAAAGACATTTGTTACATGTCAAAAGGTAAATAAACACAAGATATTTCACAGCAAGTAGTCTGCACAAAAGCAACGTAGGAGAAAATTGTGGAAATGGCTGTTTGACACAATATTGATTGCAGTCTGCATGTGAATGGAAATTTCTTATGGGAAGACAAGAGGGATGGTAACATTAAAGAATAATATTTAATGTTTTACAAAAATCAAACCGTGATATTGGCACTGGGGAATGGAGCTCATTGCCATTTCAGGCACTCTGTCAATGTGTAACAAGGCCAACTGGAAGATAAACTACTTTGCTCCAAAAATGTATCATAACCATTAATCTCACCACATTCTCTCCCCACTCCTCTAATAACAATATAATATTTCTACTTTCTCTAAATAAATGTAACTGTTTCTGAATTCAGGGAAGCTTTGTGTTATAGTAATTAGATTTAGATTGTCCAATTTCATTTTAAGCGGTATCCTCACAGCAAACAAAGAAAGTCCTTTGTTCCACCAGTTCTGAGTGGGATTCCAACCTTCAAATCCGGATCTCAAAGATGAAATGATCACATGCTAACCAATCCCCTTAATTATGTATTTTAAATTCAAGTTATTAGGTACAAATTCTGAAAGAGTTAGTGGAATTATCTATATTCCAGCGTATATCTTTGTATGAATAATAAACAAAATATTTAATAACTAATACCCGTAACAGTTCAGCCAAAACCTGTCAAGATCCATGATCAGCAGAGGATAAGTTAATTTGCACTACCTGCATTTATACTAATTTTGGGTGAAATCACCTTCTTCTATGTGGCCTTGGCAAGTAGGCTCCAGTGCAAATGGCTTCACAACTCAAAACCAAATTAAACTGAATCAATGTGAACAGTATAAAGTAGATGTTAAAAACATCATATTTCAAAAATATAATTAGGAACTCAAGGATAAGTCAAACATTTTGTTGAAATGAAATTCTCTTGACTTTTAATTTCAAGGGGTGAAGAAATAGCAACAGTTTGAGAATTTGGAAACAATATGTTTTGATACCTGCAATAACTTGCACTTGCACAGCATTTATCACACAATTATCTTGAAGCTTAGAAAGATATGATGGCAAGCACCAAACAGGAGATGGAGATTTAAAGGTTTTGAGCAAACGCTCAAGAGATACATTCTGAAAGGGTTTTAAAGGGAGGCAAAGACGCATCAAAGCAAAGTGGTTTTGGAAACAAATTTGAGGATACGGCACATTAGCTGAAGGCATAATCACTAATAATGGGTCAGAGAAGGTAGAGCAAATAATAGATCAATTGTGAAGGGTACAAGCCAGAGAATAGGGCTGGAAAAGACTCAGAATCGAGTGAACCCTCTGTGGAAATCCTGTTAGCCAGGCAGGTCTGCAGAACTCCAGGGCATTATTGATGACAACCCAGCCAGCCAGGCTCATCAGTAGGACTTGGAAGGGCAGACCAGTTACTGGGTCAGGGATTCTTGTTAACTCAGCTCCTGTTAACCCTGCAAGCCATGACCCTAACAGGTAGGGAGGTCTTAGGTGGGCAAACAGAGGGAACGCTTGCCAGACAGTGCTTTCAATGGTAAGCTTTGTGGTACAGCTGGCTAAACTCCAGCAGTACCCCAATGGATACTACAGGGTCCCTAAACCTTGGTTCCTGCCAGCCCAAGTCTGAATCTCTCTGGAATTAAACAAGCAGCTGCAACCCTCCAAGTAGAAAATGCACAGTAAATTCAAATACATAGGAATTTCCATGGAGGTGGGATGCATGGAACTCTTAGTTTGGTCTGGATACTCTTAAGCATGGCGATGGGTTTCCACATGTGTCAGTTACCCGCCTAATGAAAAAATAGGAGGGCATTGGAAAAATTAAAATGACACAGATATGGATAAGGATTTTGGCAGCAGTTAAGTAGAGGCAATTCCATAAGTGGCAAAATTTTGAAGATCAATGAATGGTCTTTATTTTGATAAAGTGTCAGATGACACACAGCTGAGGGATCAGAACAGTAAGGTTGCACACCAGCTGCTTGAGTCTGAGCAAGTCGCCAGGGAGCTTGATGGAGTCTGAGATAGTGATTGAAGGACAAATAGTGATCATGCCTGTTTTTAATACTCGTTACATTATTAGTAGCAAAGTCAGTTGCTTTTGGATGTAGTAATATGCATCATTTATGATGATTAAGTCAAGAAAATTAAAAAAATCAATTCCCCCCAACCTCATGCTTGCTGTTCCTATCTAATTGATACACAATTTGTTTATCAATTTTCTTGGTTAAACTGTTTGATTGCATTTCTGAATATACATCAGTTATGTCATACCCAGATACTAATAAAATGATCAAAACTGTTGTTTGAGCTGTTGAAGTCTTATTTGTTATAACTGAAATAAAGTACTGCAGTTTATGGACGAAATGACAAATACAAACTAGCCCCAAATTACTGCTGAGCACTCTCAAAACAAATCATTACACAGTAATTTTTAAAAACAATACATACATTTTGTATTGATTTATGATAATTTTAGAAGCATGGTTGGAGGAGACCCTGGTGTTATATATTTTAGAATCTCTGTACAAGATCAAACTGTTTAACATTTAACTTTACACCCTGGAATAAGTCTCAACACAGTTAACATAATACAAAACCTCCACTCTAATTATGCACATTATTTTTTAATTCTAATCATTTCATTAACTAAATAATTCCTGGTACATCATTGTCAATCACACAAAAACACAGATAAATAATTGTTGAAGCCAATTCATACAAAAACAGTTTTAAATTCAAAACCATAAAATTTCACAAAATAATGCTAAATATTGCAGATTATTCATTTACAGTCTTGAACAAAATTAGCTTGCATTCTGCTTTTCAGTCTACTTTATATTATTAAAATGCAAATATTACATTGTGAAATTAAAAGATACAAAAAAGATTCAGATACAGAAATTACGGTTGTTTTTTATACTCACAGCTAAAGAGGATGTAAACAAGTTATTGTTCAAATTTATTTTATAGTTTCCTACCTTAGTTTTCAATTTTTGAATTTCTGCTTCAGTGACAGCATGTTTGATCTGTAGCTGGATGGACACAAAATAATAATGCTGTCAGGTGGTATTCTACAAAGCCCCAACAGCACCCGGAAAAAAAAACCTTATTCACCAGTTAAAGCCATTCTCATACTACTGCAGTGCAGTGCACTGTAAATTAAATGGTAGCTTGTGTGATGACTCATATAGAGTCTGATTAAAGCCATACTGTATCTAATATTGCTTACCCTTCACAAATTTAAACTGGTCTACATTCAAAAAAACTGGGACTGAGTTACTGTGGCAAAGTAGTCAAAATAAATTCTGCAGTATGCTGGGACTGGATGATTTCCTATTACGAGCTACTTCAACATGTTTTTGAATAGTTGCAACTGTCAGCCATTCATATTTTGTATATAGTTCTATTAGTAAGGTCACTTTATTAGCTTTGAAAAAATTGAGTCAATCAAAAACCGAGTAATAATAGTTCCTCATGTTTTAAATTGAATCTGAAAGAAAAATATGTTTTATTTTTAAGGGAGTTTTGTTTAAAAAGAATTCAATGTAAAATGAAGAGACATAAATTAGGCAGGCACAATTTGTAAGTAATCTTTCTGTGGTTTGAAAAGGGAAGAGGCACTTTAGTGGTGAGGAATGTAAAGTTTCTATCTTAAATACCTACGATTAAGATCAAACTCTTTTGATGTGTGTAACACAGCTAGAAGGAGAATAAGGCCAACTTCACCACTTTTCTCTGACTGTAGTTCAGTGCTTCAAGACACTATCCCGTGAAACAGGCTCTATATTAATGCAAGTTGTTGTCACATCAAAATTAAATTCTACCTCGTTTTAGTCTGTAACACCATATTTAAGGTCACACAGAATTGTGAAAAATTCTAAAATTTGGTCTAGACTTGGAAAACAGTTTTCCGCACTTGTTGTAAAGATTTGGCTTCCAAATAAGTGAATCATTCCTTAGCCCCCAAATCTAAAGCCATCTACTGCACAACAACGGCAACTTTGTCATACAAACTATTCTTGCACCTTGCGTAGCAATTTGTTAATAATAAAAATCCTTGCATTTGATATAGCTCCTTATCACGTCAAGATATCTCAAAGCATTACGTACTGTAAAGTGAATTGATTGTATTTTGTGTGTGAAATGCAGCAGCCAATTGCGCACAACAATCAGCTACAGAGTGAGTGACCAATTTTACCTGGGGACTTGTTGGCCAGAATTCAGAAACACTGGGAGAAACTCTCTTCTCTTTTTGAATAATATGATGGGATTTTTAACATCTACCTGAACGTCTCATCCAAATGAAGGATTTTGTTAATATGTTCCAAGTTCATAAAGTCATTTATATTTTGGGCTTCCATGATTGATTTCTAGTTATGCAGACAAGATTAACTTTTTCCTGGGAGAATCCAATATTTCTTCCAGCTAGCCTTTAAAGAAAACTGCATATTTGATCTGTACAATCAGTTTATATTATGTTGTGACTCATATAAAATATGTTAAACTATACCATATTTTTAAATTTTAAACAAATTAACAAAAACATTGAAGATTGAAAGCTCACAGTGCGGTCGAGAAGTCAGCTTTCTACAAATCAAAGCTATACTCCACATACCATGGATAAATCAAATTGTACAACAGAAAAGTCTAGATTGTTGTCTGACTCTTTGAAAGATTTGTCCACCAAAACCAATGTGACCTTTGCTTTTACCATATTGAATAAGAATGTGCTCTCAACTTCAGTTCTTTTTTTAATAGAGAAGGAATAACAATGTAACATTTAGAATAAAATCAGTTTTACCGTATAATAAATACTTAGGAATAGGGCTTAGTCCTTTCCAAATTGTTCCTTAAATAAATCCTATGAAGTCCAAAGTAGCAGTCATTTCAGTAAATGATGATTTCAATCAGATGTGAACAGAAATATAATTGAAACATGATTAGCATAACAAAAGCCTGGGACCCCTTCTCTGTATTGTTAGTAACTTGACTGAATACACCATAAAACATTCTCACTGTAAACTGCTTGCCAAGTCATATAAATATTAGAGCTACTTTAAATGCTGAAAATGCCATATCTTAGTTTGTAATAATTACAGTACAATAGAGTACATATTCAAAAATTCCTTTTAAAAAACAGAATTTGCAAAATCAAACCTTCTAAGAACCAATGAAAATACAAAGCCCAAACTAGCAGCATATAACAAACTGTAGGGCATACCTAGATGGGCACAAACTGTTTTAAACAGTACATTAAAAACAAATGGTTTAGGTTTAAAGAATGTGAATATCAATAATTCTGAACATTTAGACATGAAAACATATCAAATCCCCTTCAGTATACGTTTGATCATCTGGTAACAGAGACAAGCACACCTGAAAAATCCAGTTAAGATCACTGCAGATTCTGAAAATGTGAAAAACACACGTGAGGCACAACTTCATGTGAAAAATGTTGATGACTAAAGGTGCATAATCTCCATATCTTCTTTATTCTTTAGATGCTTTATGTTCCACCACAGTACTTTATAATGGAGTAAAGTAGACTGTATTACAGGAAGAACTGGCATTTCTTTGCAATGAATACTGTTTAAAGGTGTATAAGGTTTTCCAGAATATCTTCAAGCTGCCTCTTGACTAAACCTCAATAGCTGGTACTCAAACAGAGATTCTCTCTGATATAGGTATAAAAATGACAACTGGAGAGCAACCACTGTGTGGTGAATGGCAAATGACTATGTTGTGAAAGGCATTTTCTCTAGAGAATCCCCTATCTCTCACACAGACATTTTTTTAATGAGATCTCAGTGCGAACTACATGATTTACAACAAACTAACTGTTAGTGACCAAACAGTGTTTAGAACATTAAAGTGCTTATTACACACCACTGTCAGGGAATTCTGACTTTGTTGACAGTAAGAAAGGATGCAATGAACCACCCCATAATCCAAATGTTTTGGACTAGAACTTTATTTCCACAGTATAAAAAGATTTGGAGGGATTGTAACCTCCTAATTTAAATGATAAATGGTAACCGTTGATCATTTCAGATTTATGGTAAAAAGCAGGATACCATAACTTCCTGAATCAAATTAAATTCAGCAGAAATGTTACAAGAGGGCAAGGATCTGCTTTATCCTCAAGCCACATCTGATCAGGTGCCTCAATATAAGAACTTGATAGCTCAGTTGGTTGTGCACTGGATTTAGGATTAGTGGTTTCACTCAGCTCTTGCCCTAAGGTCGATAATAAGGATACTGTGTGTGGAAAATATCTTGAGGAGGGGAACAGAGGAAAGAGAAGATACGTGGGCTGAAAGAACTCAAGGTGGCATTTGGCAAAATCAGGTATGGCACATTAATAATAATCTTTGTATTTGATATAGCATTGGGGATATAGCATCTTATCATGTCTTTGAGACGTCTCAAAGCACTTCACAGAATATACTGCGAAGTGAATGGACTGTATATTTTGTAGGTGAAATGTGGCAGCCAAATGCGCACGAGTGACCAAATTATTATATTTTTTATTTTATTTTTGAAGGGATTATTACCCAGGAAAAATAATTCAGCAATCGACTAACAACCAGGTTCCTACTTACTGCTAGATAAACAGAGGCGTGTGGAGTAAGGAAATTTGCCCAACGTTTCGCCCTGTACTCTCTATCCTGTAAGCCAAAGCCAGAGGATAGAAGCAATCCTAGATGGGCAAGTATTGAACTCCATAGTTGCTTTAATTACTTGGCATTTAAAATTAATTATTCATCAGTGGTTCAGGCAAATTGGTTTTCATGTATAAACATCTTAAAAAATAGATTTTCACCATATTACTATAGTTTCAAAGACAACCACATCAGAGTATTACAGTGGGACAGAGTTCCATAGATGTGGTTGGATTTACCTAGAATATGAAAGGGAAAAGGTTGACAATTTGACCATATGACCATGACAGTTTTCTGAGGATGTCATTTTTGCAGTGTTTTTATTCCATTGAATAATTTATTATGAAAAAGAAACGGCCAAATTTAACAATAAACGACAATGTGGATTGTGGATATTAAACATAAAAAATTGACATTGAAAACCTGAAGCCTAAATAGTTCTCCTTGATACTTTGACTCAATCTGTATATCTGAATTCCATCACCTTGAATGTCATTGAGCCTCTACAACTATTTAACCCGCCCCCACCCACCCCGCCCCAGAAATGCTGATAGAATTTGCAGTCTTCAGTGTTGCTTCTTTTATTTAAAATTATAAAATGCGTCAAAAACATTTAATAGAAAAATGATCTGAAGGCAAAGAAGATCTGATTTAGCAAGAGGCAAACACTTCATGCAACTTTATGCCAAATTTAAAATTTGAAGCTGGCATAAAGAGACCACAATCTCCAGACTTAAATAAACAAGATTAATTAAGACTTGCCCTGACTGCAAAGCTTACTTTTTCTTGTGATTAAAGAGCATGCAATGTGATTACTGTTAACTTTTAGGACTAAAGAACTAAAGATAACCACCTGAACATTCTTAAAGGAATGGTAAAATAAGGTCACATGGGTTCCAACTGAAAAGTCTCTTAGAGGGGCACTCATCCCTCTATTTCTTCAGTTGAACAACTTACCATCTGTGTGGTATGTGGAATATAAAATAATCATAATTTGGCAAAAAAAAAATTAAATTACTTCTGAATTGCTTGTATTCATATAAATGTTTCTACAAAAAGATAATAATGCAAAATGAGCAGTGGATGTAGCATTATTTGTTCTGAAAGCATGAGTCAAAAGTGTATATCCATATTACTACGGAGCTATAATATTTAATACAACTTGCATTTAGCATTAATCGTGCACAGTGAGCTGGTGAATTAAAGATGCTGACCAAAGGCATGGTCAAAGAGATGCTTTTAGGAAGTTTTCAACAGCAGGGAGAAAGATAGCAAGGCAAGAGGTTTTGAAAAAAAGTTCCAGAGGACAGACACACTGGCAGCTAAAAGCTAGATTGAAGGGGTAGGGAGCGAGCACTAAAACAGATTAATGTGGATAGCAATTTGAACACACTGTCTGTGAGCAAAAGCACCAGGAAGCAGTGGGATTTGATTCTAAAGTTTTAAACAGCTTGGTCATGGAGGTTGTTTTTGTTATGGGCACTAAATATAACATTAACAAATAATTCTTACTTTTGCTGTAGTAGTTTTCACAGTGGAAGGATGTCTCAAAGTGCTTTACAGGACACACTGTAAAGTATAGCAACTGTGTGTTTTGTAGGCAAACACAGTAATGTCCCACAAACATGCAGTGAATAATCAAATTTCCTTCGGGGATTAAAGAAACTCCCAAAGGATAGATGAAGCATGCCCCAACACTGCGTTGAGTGTCAGCATAGACTGTAAGAGGTCCAAGTCCAGACATAGGTCTTGAATCAGCAACTTTCTGACTCAGGCGAGAGTGCTACCGACCGAGCCCGGCTGACACACAAGAAACTCTACAGACTCAAAGCAGTATTTTTCCAGGTGGAACTGCTCTACTTGGAGGTTTGAGGAGGTGATAAGTCTCATTACTGAACCAGACAAGCTAGTCAAGCATCAATAATGTTGTGGATTAATGCAGACCAATTCACCTATAGGGAGAATCCATTTATCTTTGTTTCCCCCCTCCCAGATATTTTTAGATATGGTATAATTTTTCGACCCCAAATGGCGAAAGAGCTGAGTGAACCCAGTAGGAAATAAACCAAGAACCCAAGTAAGCTGCCCGGGAGAAGTAAAATATGATCTTGTGCCAAAAGCAAGTATATTCAGCCGATTCCAAATTGTATTCCTAGATAAGAAACATGTAGCATACATGCTTGATCCCATGATTCACTGGTAAAACATTTAAGGTCATAGCAAGCTGGGGGCTTATAGATCAGCCCCAAAAGAAATGCATGCCCATTTTTGAAATGAGGTTTAATGTAGAACTCCAAATCTCGCAAATATGCTTGAGTTATTGAGATGCCAAGCAAGCATTTCCAGGCAGACCTCCTGCATTCTTTTCATAAATCCTGCAACATGCAATTATCAGAAAAAATCATGTGTATTAAGTAACAGAAACTAGCATTTAAAAGGAAAGATGCAATACAAGAAACACTTTGAAATACAAACAAGCACACGCAAACTTACATTAATGTTCACTGCATATAAATGTTTCCCATGACCCAATTCTTGAATCAAAAAATATAGCCAACTCTTCTGTATGCAGTCTTTTTGTCTGTACTGACCTGTTGCATGTAAGCAGCCTCTTTTGGAATTTTAAAAACAACTACCTTTTGAAAAATATAATCATACTTTTCAGAATGCCTTTGTCCAGGGAATTACTTCAAGCTCTTGGTATTTCAAAAAAGACTACTGTCTACACTCAATGTCTTCATGTTTGACCATATTTTGGTCTATTGACTGTATTCCTGGTTACCTCTTTGAATTTGTGAGCAATCTTGTTGGTGTCCACCTCTGTAGGAGAAAACATGTCATCGGTTTCAGGCAGGTCAAACACTTCAATCGCCATTTCACCACCTGTGAGAACTGGACCAATTTCTTCTTCTTCCTCATCAGTGGCATATTCTCCTGTCTTAACATCAAATTACATTTTTGCAAGAATGAATACTTAAGTTAAACATGTATAATTTGTTTTTAAGACAACAGAATGGCAATAAATAAAAGGGCACATATGTCCATTCATGAAAATGCAATAATTATAGTGTCTAGCTTGTGTAATTATAATGTGGAATTGTGTTCAAACATTATTCCATCAGTGTCTCTCTTCCCCCAACAAATTTCGCAATGTTAGGGGTTGAAGTGCTGTACCAAGGAATATAATGATTGCAGAATAATAGTAGTACTACAAAAAACGTAGCTGAAACATGAATGAGATAGATGCTTGTTGAGTACAATGCTCAATAACTATTTATCTTTCTTCCAAATTTCACTAAAATAGCTAAATAGCCTGTGCACTATACTGCAACAAGAAGACAGAACAAAAGCTTGTCATGCAGACTGCAATTTTTTCCAAGCAATGCGTTATTTCACACATATAACCCAGAAGCAAAGCAACATCTTTGAAAAAATACATAAAAGGACAACTACCCGAAGCCTGATTCTCAAGATCTGACATTTGCTTTTTAAAAAAAAATGTCTACATGAATATTGTTAAATATGAAATACAAATCTCTAATACACCCAAGGGGATAGATTTGTAAGGCCAAATATTCTATATTACTGATAGATTTTACAAGTAAGGCATAAATTACCTTTTTTCAGTTTCAATTTTTAATAATTTTACAAAAACAGAAGATAGCATAAAAAAGGTGAAAATGCTATTTGGCTCATTTTTTGGGGGGTGGGGGGTCAGCCAGATGACTGACACATGCAGAAACCCATCCCCATGCTTAAGAGTATCCAAACCAAACTGAGAATTCCATGCTTCCTACCTCACATGGAAATTCCAGAAATAAATTGTTGGTATGGAATGCGCACTCTCTCCCTGGAGGGACACATCCTGCTTACATATGTTAGGTGCAGGTTGGCAGGAGCCAAGGCTTGGGGAATCCAGAGTGTGCGGTGGGATACTGCTGGAGTCTAACCAGCTAAAACTGCATTGCTTGCGATCGTTAGCACTATCTGGCAAGCTTTCCCGCTGCTTATCCAGTTAGGACCACCCTACCCATTAGGGATTTGGCTTGCTGGGTTAACAGGAACCGAGCGGGAAGATTCCCTGCCTCCAGTAACTGGTCTGCCGTTCCAAGTCCTGCTGATGAGCCGCACTGGCTGTGCTGTCATCATCAGTGGGCTAGTGAACTGCAGATCCACCTGGCTTAGGAACCGCACAAGCAAGACCGCCACAGAGGGTTGTCTCAATTCCGATATGCCGTTGTCAAAAATGTCACCTTGGAACCAATTCAGCTCGAAGGAGATCCCATTTATCTCCCCTTCCCCCGCACACCCCTCCAGGAGAATCCATGGCCTATTTTGTTCATCACACCTACTCCCTCCAAGGATCATGCAAAATGATGGATCGTCCATTATCTACTTTACATAGAACTCTCTCTGAATCCCAAATGCAGTTAAGTAATGACTCCAGGTTATTCTCCATCCTCTTATCTCAACTATTCAAATACAGAAATCATTGCGTCGATTTACTCTTCAATCTGTATGCATTACTATAGCTGCAAATGGTTTTGTAAAGCAGATGCTTACCCACCTGTGACAAATTAAAAATAGTATTATCCACAATCGTCTTAATAACTAAAAGAGTAGTTTACAAACTGGTTCTGGAACATACTCTAGAACAGACTGGAGTTATAGAGGTACGTTCTCTGAAGTTCTGCTCGCAGCAATGTCTGCATACGTGTATCTAACTATGGCACAATGTGCCCCATGAATTAAATGCATCGATCAAATTTAATTAATCTCTAATGCTCAAATAATGAATATGGATCAGGAATGCAATGTGGAATTGTGTTGTTGGAATTGGAAAGGTTGTTTGGGGAGGAATTTGGGCTTTATTGCTGAGGGGTGAAAAAATCTCATCTCAAACTATATCCTGTGCCGCTACATCACCCGATGCTTTCAAATTTTCTGCTCATCAATGAAAGGTACAGAAGCAGAGGGAAGCAAAGTGCTGAGATTTAGAGAGTTCAAGAGAGTAGGGGCAAAGTTTCTGAAAGTTTGTCCTCTCTGGAAGGGGGAAGGGGGCGTGGGGGCCATGAACCAGGCTAGTTAAAAAATGGAGGGAATGGGTGGGGAGATTTAACATCCAAAAAGAAGAATGTCTTTGAGCTATTTAACAAATGGAAATTGTTTACATTTGCTTTTTACTGTGATAAAACTATTGCAAGAACAAAATACATTACAAATCATCCTCTCAGACACACAGATCTACTTCTCAAAGGTTTAAATACTGATTAATGGAGGATTTCAACAACAGCAGAAAACAAGATTACAACCATCACCTGCAGCTCTTCTAGCAAGACATTTGAAACAGCAGAAATACGAATTGCAATGGCAGGTCACACCAGAAAATAAATCATTGAGAAAATAGGCAGGAAATGTTTAAATGCTGCTGAAGCACACTGCACATTGAACAAATTATAATTGATTATTGCAGGAATATTGAGAAATGTTATAACTTGTAGAACAACAAGATTACATTTGTATAGCGCCTTTCATGTCGGGAGGACGTCCCAAGGCGCTGGACAGTGTACAGCATTTCAGACCCGAGCTGGGGTCAGGGAGGGAGAAGGGAGGGTGACCGATGGCATAGTCGAAGAGGAGTGTTTTTGAGGCGGGACTTGAAGGAGGCTAAGGAGGGGGTGTGGCGGAGTGATTGGGGGATGGAGTTCCGGAGGTTGGGGGCAGAGTGGCTGAAGGCTCTCCCACCAATGGTGGGGCGGGTGGGTCGGGGGGCGTGGAGTAGGCCAGAGCCGGCTGAGCGGAGCAGAGCGGGCGGGTTGGTAGGGGGTTAGGAGATTGCAGAGGTAGGGTGGTGAGGCCATGGAGGGTTTTGTAGGACCAGGATCTTGAACTGGATCCTCTGATGGATAGGGAGCTATTGGAGTCGGGCGAGAATGGGAGAGATGGGATCACGGAGTTTGATGTGAGAGATGACATGGGCTGCAGAGTTCTCGATTATCTGGAGGGAGGAGTTGGGAAGACCGACAAGCAGGGCGTTTGCATAGTCGAGCCTGAAGGTGATGTCACATGAACAAGTTTCAGCAGCCTGAGGGGTGAGGTAGTGGCGAAGTCAGGCGATGTTACAGAGGTGAGGGAAGACAGAGCAGGTCACGGCTTGGATGTGGGGAAGAAAGGACAGTTGAGGGTCGAACAAGACACCTAGGTTCCTAACTGGCTTGGTGAGTTGTAGTGTGCAACCATGCAAACCGTGAGCTAATCAGGAGGGCCTCAGTCTTGTTCACATTCATTTGTAGGAAATTTGCCCTCTTCCAGGACTTGATGTCCGACAGGCAGTCTGTCAGGACAGCAGTGGTCCTGGAGTTGAGGGTGGAGGCGGAAAGATAGAGTTGGGTGTCATCCACATACATATGGAAGTTGACCCCATGTCTGCGGATGATGTCACCAAGGGGGAGCATGTAGATATTAAAGAGAGGGCCAAGGACAGAGCCCTGGGGGACGCCAGACATGACAGTGCGGGGGCTGGAGGATAAACCGTTAGATGGCAACAAAGTGAAGATGGTGAGAGAGATAGGATTGATCCAGGCAAGAGCAGGTCCGCGAAGATTGAGTAAAGCGGAGAAGCGTTGTATGAGGATGGAGTGGTCGACAGTGTCGAAGGCGCCAGAGAGGTCGAGGAGGACAAGGAGGCAGAGGAAGCCCTGATCACAGATGTTCAGAATGTCATTAGTGACTTTGACCAGAGCTGTTTCCGTGCTGTGGGCAGCGCGGAAGCCGGATTGGAGAGGTTCAAAGAGGGAATGGCGAGAACGAAAGGAGCGGAGCTGGGACGCGACAACTCGTTCCAGGACCTTGGAGAGGAATGGGAGGTTAGGGATGGGGCCGTAGCTGGAGAGGTGGGATGGGTCCAGGGAAGGTTTTTTCAGGATTGGGGTGATGACGGTTGTGTTTGGGGGGGGGGGGGAGGGGGGCGGAAAACTGAACTGATGGGGAAGGAGAGGTTGATGACTTCGGACAGGAGAGGGGCCAGGAGGTGGAGCTGGGAGATAAGGAGAGAGGTGGGGATGGGCTCGAGGGAGTAGGTGGTGGGTTTGAGTTTGCATTTAATTTTCCAAACCACATCAGAATATTCAGCAATTGAACCGGATTAAATTAAATTCTGAAAACATGTATGAAACAGAACATACATTTTTGAAATCCGAAAATATATTTGTTTGCTCATCAAAGGGAATAAAGAGAATATTGTACAAATAAATGGAGTAAGTGACTGTTGTTACAGTAATACTCCATTTACATTGCAAGTGGCAGAGGCATACAAGTTCTGACAAGTTATAAGATTTTAGACTGTCAGCAGTCATTCAGACAACAAGATCCATTTAAAATAACTTCTGCTGTAGTTCCTGGACTGTGAAAGCATATATTGCAGGCAGCTAATTTATGTTGATTCTGCATAAATCCCTAATTCTGATTGCAGTTCAGAAAAAATCTGTTTAACCATGTTAGCTCCATTGTTATAGACTAAGACTCAAAACATAGCCTTGCTGGCTCAATTTAAACTCCTTCCATAGATTTGATTGGGAATGGCCAAATGGGTAGTTTTCTCAATTAGATGTGCAGCTTTATCTTAGATCAAATTTGCCATTGCTACACTTTCAAATATTGTTTTGTACCTCGTGGCAATCACTTCTACTCCATGAAATCATTCAAAATAGGCCTTTAACATAGATTGAGACCATTTCCTTCTACATGGTACCAGAAGACATTTTGTAAATATTTTCCTTTTTTTCCACAAATCTTGACTTGTCAGCAATTTGTTTGATAATAATAATCCTTGCATTTCATATAGTATTTTTCACATCTTCTAGACGTCTCAAAGCGCTTCACAGAATATACTGTAAAGTGAATTGACTGTATATTTGTGGGCAAAATGCGGCAGCCAGCTGCGCACAGCAGTGTCCCACAAACAGTTGTGGATTGAGTGACCAAATTATTAGTTTTTAAAAAAAAACATTATTTGAGGGATTATTATCCCCGGAAAATCGATTCGCCAATCGACTAACAACTGGGTTCGTACTTACCGCTATGTAAACAGAGGCGTGTGGAATAAAGAAACTTGCCAAACATTTCTCCCTGCCGGGAATCAAACCCAGGTCTCTCGCTTACTCTTACCTCTGAGCTACAGGACTCCAGAAATCTGATGCATTGATGCACAGTTTATATTGGAAATGGGCAAACTTATTTTTGCATTCATGGTAGGAACTATTCAAGCATTCTAATATTAGATCAAATATTCAAGCTTTTTGATCCTCCTTTTTTAAGCCATTCAGAAAATGTTGATAAATGTGAGCAAAATATTTTTTGATGGAAGATGGTCCTTGTGACGAGGTAATAATTTGACATCTCACAAATTTCATTTAAGCATTATAATGTGAGTCATATAGGCCACAAGAAAAAACAGAACTGAGATATCAATAAGGGAGCACGAGGGAGTCAAAAGGGACAGTCACACGGTTTCAGCTAAAAATATCTTAAAGGGACAAGCAAATATCCAAGACATTTACCATTGGCATGCTATACTTAACCATGGTCAGCAGAGGAAGAAAAAAATGATGTTTTGAACAGAAAAAAATCATATTTTGACAGCTCCCAAAGCATTCTTACACTCAAAGAATTAAACACATTGGAAGATTTGACTTGAGTAAGTTTGCACATTTAAATAATGTAATATTATAAGGAGCATTTCCAATTAATGTTTACATTAAAAAAACACAATTGCTGATATCCTAAGAATTCCTACTACCAAGAAATGTTCCCGCAGGAAAGAAATTAAGTAAACTATATTTATATCACCTGGACACAAAAGGGTCCATAATAGTATTTTACTAGTAGCCCATACAGAGAGATTCCCAAGCTCACAATGAAATGTTAGACATTGCTGCAACAAAGTACATGCTGGTGAGTAGTTTAATTAGCCGCTCAGCAAGCAGCACAGACAGACAAATCAGATTTGCTGCAAAATAACAAACCTTAAAGGAACAATTGTTGTTATTGTTGCTGTTGTTTGTTGCTCCACGAAAATCATGCTCAGTGTTCTATAAAATGGTTGACAACAGATGATATAAAAATTGCAGCTAAACATGATATTCTTTCTTAAATTGACATAATAGATTGGTTAGTTGTCTACAGATATAGACACAAACTAAATTTGTGCGGTTGCCAAAACACAACTAACATCTTAATTGTATTTGTTTGGAAAAGTAGGCTCTTAAAACAGATTTCTGCAATCTGAGTGATAATTCATATATTGTAAGTGATTTTAATACTTTTAGTGTAATTTTTCCTTTGTCTTAAAATCAAAATTTTAAAATGCACAAGGACCTTTCTTCGATAGGCAGCTATTTTAGCAATTGAACTTTCCTCCAGACTATTCTTATTGTAGAAATGTCTTACCTTCGCACTCAGAACAGAAAGAAAACAGTGAAAAAGTAGATTGCTTACACAAAGTGTAGCAAACCTTATTCTCCAAATAAAAAAATAGCTTGCAAAAGTCATAGATTTTGCCCTGAATCAGAACTCCAAAGATTAATCATTATGTACCATTACTTAACAATACAATTTACATTTATATAGTGCTTTTCGTCTTGGGAAGATGTCCCAAAAACATTCATAGTGCTGGATGAGCAGCTGAGCTGGGAGTGGGAGCTGAGGACGTTGGGGAGGGGAAAGATGACCTACAACAACACAAGATTCCATTTATTGAGCGCCTTTCACGTCGGGAGGACGTCCCAAGGCGCTGTACAGTTGGGTCAGGACCCAAGCAGGGGGACATGGTCAGGGTGAGGGGAGGGAAGGGAGGGGTGGTTAAAGAAGTACACTTTAAGACAACACGCCTTGAAAGAGGGGAGGGGGTGATTCAAAAGGATTCAGGGATGTAATTCCAGAGAGCAGGGGCAGAATGGCTGAAAACCTGTCTGCCGATGGTGGGGCATACAGGGCATGGGAGTTGTAGCGGCTGAGCAAAGGGAGTGGCGTGGTCGGTAGGTTTGAAGTACGTTGCAGAAGTAGGGTGGGGCAAGACCATGATGCATCTTTAACCGCCATGGAAGGTCAATTTGAAACATAATCCTTCTGCACTGAATACAACTTTCACTTAATGCTTCATTCCTACTGAGTCCTCTTTCCAATCAATTTTTTTTTTGGTCAGCCATGCATTTGACACGTACAAAAACACTATTCAACTAAACGCAGTTCCATGTATCCCACCTATACACGGAAATTCCAGAGATATTTATTGGAATGGAATATGCAATCTCTCCCTGGAGGGATGCATCTTGCTTACCTAATTCCGGAAAGCATAGGTGCAGGTTGGAAAGAGCCAAGGATTGGAGATCCCTGGCATGTGCGCTGGGGGAATGCTGGAGTCTAATCAGTAAAACCGCATAGCTTGCCATTACTATTGCTATGTGGCAAGGTTTCCTGCTCCTTGTCCAGCGAGGACTACCCTACCTCTTAGGGCTTTGGCTTGCAGGGATAACAGGGACTGAGTGGGAAGCATCTCAGCCCCCAGAGACTGAACTGTCCCTCCAGGTCCTACCAATGAGCCAGGCTGACTGGGCTGTTATCAGCAGGCCTCTTGGCGTACTGTGACTGAGGAACTGGACAACTGAGACTGCCGCAGTTAGCTCGATTCTAACATTCTGTTGTCCAACCAAGTCACCTTGGAGCCAGTTCAGCTCCAAGGATACCTGCTTACCTGCCCACCAAGGAGGATAGTCACTAGTTAGTTATTTGATATCTGACATGTGTGGGTTTCAGCTAGGTGGATGGCATGGAGGATGGAAGAGTTGGCGGGAGGTATGGAACAGACTGAAGGCCTTAATGACCCAATCTGTTGGGAGGAGGTGGACTCCGCACTTATTAATGCAAGGCAGCAGGTGCGTACGGCATTAATCAAATTTATGTGTTGCAGACTACTTTATTCATTCTTTCAGAATGTAGATTAACAATAATGTGTCTTGCCGGACAAGTAGTGGTGGCGACTTTGAGGAGAGGCAGAATCACTAAGCCTGAGGAAATATTTTTTCCCCTGATCCATAAGAAGACTATGGAAATTCTAGAGGAAAAAGTGGACAAATCTCATCCTGGTGCAGTAACACAGTTGGTTCAACAATTAAAACAAATGATGCATCTATACATTGTACATGAAGCTTGTGTCTCATTCGATGATAGCATCTGCATCATGAATGTTCTTGTTTTTTCTTTAGCAACCACTTCTCTTTAACAACCACTTTGGTCCTACCTCTCCCACCGTCTTCATTTTGTTTCCACAAACGGCTTCCCCTCCAGCCCCCTCACTGTCTTGTGCGGTGTCCCTTAGGGGTCTGTCCTCGGTCCCCTCCTCTTCACCCTCTATATGCTCCCCCTTGGCGACATCATCCGCAGACATGGGGTTAACTTCCACATGTATGCGGATGACACCCAACTCTACCTTTCCTCCTCTACCCTCAACTCCACGACCACCGATGTCCTGACAGCTGCCTGTCCGACATCGAGTCCTGGACGAGAGACAACTTTCTTCAGCTCAACATACGCAAAACTGAGGCCCTCCTGATTGGCTCACGTCAGCGCCTCCGCACCTCAGGCGCTGACACCATCAGCATCCAAGGCTGCACTCTCCACCTCTCAAAGCCAGTCAGGAACCTCGGGTTCTGTTCGACCCTGAGCTGTCCTTTCTTCCTCATATCCGCGCCACAACTGGCACCGCCTTCCATCACCTCCGGAATATCGCCAGACTACGGCACTACCTCACCCCTCACGCTGCTGAAACTCTGGTCCACACCTTTATCACCTCAAGGCTGGACTATGGGAACCCTCTCCTCGCCGGCCTTCCCGGCACCTCTCTCCACAAGCTGCAGGTCATTCAGAACTCTGCAGCTCGTGTACTGTCCCGTACCAAGCTTCGGGACCACATCACTCCCACCCTCGCTCCCCTCCACTGGCTCCCCATCCCCAAGAGGATCGAATTCAAGATCCTCATCCTCACCTACAAGGCCATTCACGGCCTCGCTCTCTCCTACCTCTCTGACCTACTATCCCCCTACTTACCTGCCCGTACCCTCCGTTCCTCTGGCTCCGGTCTGCTCCACATCCCCCGCCCCAACCGCCCTACCATCGGTGGCCGGACCTTTAGCCTCTCAGCCCCTAGGCTCTGGAACTCCATCCCCCAGTGCCTTCGCCGCCTCCTCCCTTTCCTCCTTCAAGGCCGGTCTCAAGACCTTTCTCTTTGACCGTGCCTTCAGCTCCCCTCTCGATTCTCTACCCCCTCCTCGCTCCCTCCCTTCCCTCCCCTCACCCTGACCATTTCCCCCCTGCTCGGGTCCCGACCCAATTGTCCAGCGCCTTGGGACGTCCTCCCGACGTGAAAGGCGCTCTATAAATGAAATCTTCTTGTTGTTGTTGTTCTCAGTTATTATTGGGTCCCACCCAGCCCACACCACTCAGTACCAGTTCCTCCAGAATCAGAGAAGTTGTCCACATTCACCAATATTGCCACACCAAGCCAACAACAAGGAAACACGCCAGCAGAATGGAGGGCTCACCTCCAGCCCATGTATGGTGAACAAAAAGCACTGCAGAGGTGAGGAGTTTGGTTAGTAAGAAGAGCAGGTCAACAAAAAAACATTTGGACACATTTGATTGATGGTGAACTTCATGCAGAATCAAGGGACAATGTGTACAATGTCTCACTTTAGAGTCGACAAACATGCGGTTGGAGAATTCTGTAGTGTCCTTACCCCTCTACTCATTGACATCGTAAACCGCTCCCCGTCCTCTGGTATTGTTTGCACCCCTTTAAAAACCGCTGTCATCATTCTTATCCTTAAAAAACCCTCCCTGGACCCTACTCCCTAACTACCGACCCATCTCCAACCTCCCCTTCCTCTCCAAGGTCCTGGAATGAATTGTTGCCTCTCAGCTTCGCTCCTTCCTCTCCCGCCACTCCCTTCTTGAACCCCTCCAATCAGATTCTGTGTCAACCACAGCACAGAAACAGCCCTGGTCAAAGTGACAAATGACATTCTTTCCATCTGCGACCAGGGCTTCTTCTGCCTCCTTGACCTCTCTGCTGCTTTCGACACCGTTGACCGCTCTATCCGCATCCACTGCCTCTCCTCTCACCTCAACCTCCACGGTGCTGTCCTTGACTGGTTCAGATCGTACCTCTCACACCGCCTGCACTTCATCTCCTCAAACGCCTTCTCCTCAGCCCCCGCACCGTCTCATGCGGCATTCCCCGGGGTGCTTTCCTTGGTCCTCTTCATCATCTATATGGTCCCTCTTGGTGGCATCATCCACAAACATGCGGTCAAGTTCCACACCCAACTCTACCTCTCTACCTCCACCCTTGACTCCAGGACCATTGCTGTGCTGACAGAATGTGCGTCAGATATCAAGTCCTGGATGAGAGCTAACTTTCTTCAGTTGAACATCAACAAGACTGAGATCGGCTCCCGTCAGCACCTCCTCACCTCAGGCGTTGACAGCATCACCATCCATGGTTGCACACTCCACTTTACTAAGCCAGTTTGGAACCTTGGGGTCTTGTATGACCCTCATCTATCCTTTCTACCCCACATCTGCGCCATGATCCTCTCTGCCTTCCCGCACCTCTGCAATGTCGCCCAGCTCCAACACTGTCTCACACCACAGGCCGCTGAAACCCTCATACATGCTTTCATTACATCGAGGCTCGACTATGCAAACTCATTGCGTGTCGGCTTCCCCATCCCAACTCCTCCCTCCACAGGCTGCAGATCATCCAGAACTCTGCAGCTCGTGTCTTCTCCCGTGCCAGACTCCGCAACCCTATCACCCCCATCCTTGCCCAACTTCACTGGCTTCCCATAACACAGAGGATACAGTTCAAGATCCTGGTCTTCACCTTCAAAGCCCTCCAGGGTCTTGCTCCCCTCTACCTTTCCGACCTCCTAATCCCCTACTATTCTGTTTGCTCCCTCCGTCCGACGCTTCACATCGCCCGCCTTGCTCGCCCCACTATTGGCGGGCGGGCCTTCCGACGGGCGGGCCTTCC